GCTGCTGTCGTTGTTGTTGTTGTTGCTGTTGTTGTTGCTGTTGTTGTTGTTGTGCAGTAAATATTTTCAGCAAGCACAAAAGCTGAAATCACATTTGGTGCCGAGGTGCGAGTGCGATTTAGGGCGTGGATGGCCAGCCAGACAGGACGACAGGAGGACAGGAGGACGGGAGGACAGAAGGATACCTGCACACAAAGCCGAGCAAAGGACACGAGTCAATAGCAATAGCAAAAAAAAAAGCAAGCAAGCAAAGAAAATAGAGATTTCCATTTGCTGCCCCAGCACGCGCCCTGACTAAATTATGATACAGTTTTAGCACTTATGCATATATGTATATACATATGTATATATGTATGTATGTATGTATGTTGCACTAAAGGTATTTATACCCATCGAAAGTTGTAGCCTTGTGCTGGCTGGTTTTGTAAGCCTGTAAGTTAATTATACGCTCGTCTCCTCTAGCTGTCGCCTGGTCACTTGAAACGCAAATATCCAACTCGACTGGGGGCAGCAAAAGGCTTCATTGCATAATGGGGCCAGGGCATGGCAGCGATAATGAGTGTTATGGCAACGCCGGGATGAGCATAGCTAAAAGGACACCACAGTCAGCTGTTGCGCAACGATAAAGCCAGCCATATTGTCGCAGCTCGTCCACATGATCTATTAATACACAATGGACGGCAGCAGCCCAACTACAACTAAGTATCTCAGCGCTATGGAAACTGCGACACAAAAGGATTCAAATGCCGAGTTGCTTTAATGAAAATCGTCGTAGTTAAGCCAAGTTTTCCAACTAATTACAGATTTACATCAATATCAGACAGAGTTTGTATTCATATGAACTATCTGCAAGCTGAAGGAGGAAGCCAAGCGAGGAGTTCTACGAAGTGGAAGAAGTAAAGCTAATAGCTAGACAAGTAGAAATGTGGAATATGAAGCCAAAGTGTGGAAGAAGAAGCCAAAAGCAATGAAAAGTCAATCGATCTATCAAGCGAGAAGCACTGCAAGAAGCTGAAGAACAATTGAAGCGATGTTCTTAAGAAGTAAACAAACGAAAAGTTGAGCATAGTTGACAAAGCGAGAAGCACTGCAAGAAGTTCAAATACACCCAAAATTAACCCGAAATACAAATATAAATCAGAGCGAGAAGAGAAATGAGAAGTAAAGCGAGTTGTCAAATGAATATCACAAGCAAAAGCAAAGCAGGAAATTAATGAAAAAGTTAACATGAAGAGTAATGATAAGTTAAGCCAGCTAATTATTGAATGCCAAAGAGAGAAGCACTGCAACAACTTAATATACCAAGCTCTTATAGAGTCTTGTCTAAATCTACAGTCTAGAAATAAAAGAAGTTAAGCAGAACAAGAAAAAGTTACACGAGCTCTCTGTCAATCTAGACGTAAACCTAAGCCAAAGTAGAAAAGAGGCCACAGGGAAGACAAGCGGAAAATGAAATGAACAAGTAACAAGCAAAGCAAGCAGCTAAATGATAAGTTAAGGCACAGAAAAACAAAAAAAAAGAGAGTGAATTCAAAACAAAATCAAGAACTTCAGCCAGTGTCGAAGAGAGCAAATAAACATCAAATCAGGTGCGAGTGGAGAATCGAGAGAGCTGCATGCAAATCGATGAGCCATAGAGTAAACTTTGCTGATTGCTTTTTAACACTTTGCTGCTGCTCTATGCATTCCATGCTTGCTCTCTCGCTCTCAAACTCTCTGTCTGCTGCTTATGCATTTGCAGTTCAATTTTGGCCTCTACCTCTCCCTCTCTCTGTCTCTCTATCTCTATCTCTCTCTCTCTCTCAATGGCAACTCTAATAGTTATATGTTTATATTCGCTGAACTAATAACTTTCCATTTCGCAGCTTCTTGCACGCTTCTCTCTCCTGCTGGACCTTGTAGAAGCGCCATCCGTTGGCTACGTGCTGCTATCTTTGTGTGCAATCCGAGCCAATTGCTTGCATATTGCCAAACAAATTGTTGGGATAATTTGGTTCCTCTGCAGCATTTGATGTCCTGTTGCTGCCGTTTGGCAACTTTTTAATTGCAGTCCCATAAGCTTGGTGCAGTCGAATGTCAAAAGCTTTGCCGCCGGTTCCGAATGCTGCCAGCAATTGCTGGCCACGACAAAAGTTTTGCTTTGATACGGATCCCATGCATGCCCAACTAGCTCCGCTCCACACATGCCTTGGGTGTGAGGGAGGGTGGGGAGGGGAGGGGAGGGGCTGCATTAAAGGCATGCTTTAAGCATATATGGGAGACATCTACATATGTATGTATGTATGTATGGATGTCGCCCATCACATGGATACATGCGTCAGGTATGGATGTTCCGTTGTTGCTGTTGCTGTTGCCGTTGTTGCTGTTGCTGTTGGTGTTGTTGTGTTTTGTTGAATGCTTAGGTTTGGTTTCCTGGAAAAGTCATAAAAGCGTACAAAAGCAACTGGCAAAGAAATGCCAAGCCAAACAATACAATTTGTTACCAATTAAATGACTGCATTACATAATAATAATAATAATAACAGCAACAACAACAGCAACAACAACAAGAACTGCCTGAAGTGGCAGCTGCTGCTGCTGCTGCTAACCCCCGCCAGCAACCATTACGACTGAATTGAGTGACAGACAGGGCAACTGTTCTTATTCTACCCTATTGTTGGGCATTTAATAGGGTATCATATTTTGAGAATTCGATACGAAGTATTTGCATTGAGCAAGTTGCGCTTACATAATTGCTTAGATAATAAGATAAGAGATTAGGCCGAAGGCTTACGACATGCTAACTCGGCGCATGAAAACAGTTTTGTGCAGTCGTATATTATTTGGGAAATAACAAGGCTAGCTTTAAATGATATGCTAATGCTCTATAAGCTATTTTTAAATTAAATTAAATAATAAATTTGTTTTTCTTACTATCATCCAAGAAAATGTAAGTAGCTGGAGAAAGTTTTTTACTAAGTTCCCAACAAAACTGATTTCAGATTGGGAATTAACCCATTAAGATTCTTTAATAAATATTCATCATATTTCTTCAGATTTATTATAGCACAAATATGTTCCAGATAATAGATTTAATAGTTCCATATTTCATTCTTCAGCTTATATGCAACATCTCATATCAATCCTGTTTATGAACCTCTCTTTTCCTTAAGCAATAACTCTAAGACAACAATATAAATATGTATATAGACAAGCTGAACTATTCTGCCACTTTCAGCCTCATATTCAGGGTATTAATCTAGTCGAGAACGCTCCATCAAATCATATTTACTTGCTCCAATTGCTGTTGTTGTTCCTGCTGCTATTACGCTTGGCGTCAACGAAGCCAGATAAGTGTGTGTTTGTGTTAGTGTGTGTGGGTGTGGATGGCTGTGTTAGAGTGTGCGTGTGTGTGTGTGTGTGTGTTATGGGCATACGTAAGCATACAGCATCCCCGGATCCGGGCAACGCATATGGGTTGTCAAAGTAACCGAATCAATGGCGTACAACACAGGACGCGCTCAAGGACTCTTTGGGGCAACATCTTTTTATTATTGGCAGGTGAGCGCTAAAAAAACAACAACAACAACAACAACAAAAACAAAGCAAAAGGAAAATTTTATATTACTTCATTATGTGTTATGCTTTTTGATTTGATACCTTAATTTGCTCCATTCCCATACCCACACCAATCGCTGTCCCCATTCTCGTACCCATCCCCATCCCCATCCCCATCCCCATCCCCAGCTTCAGCTTCAGCTTCAGGTATTTTCATAAATTGAATATCCCCATTCATTAGCAAAATTAGCAGCAGAATTTCAATATGCGCCCCACAGCAATTAAAATAGAATCAAACGCATATTTATTTATATCAAAATATATATATATAAATGTTTATTAGCAATATTCATATGTGTGTGTAGGGTGTGTCTCTGTGTGTGTGTGTGTGTTGCAATTAAATTTATAAATTGCAAACAATTTATTCATTTGTGATTTATGTTTATTCTTGTTTTATTGACTTTCTCTCTTTCTTTAATAATTACCAACATTATTACGAAAGGCCAAAATCATTTCACCAAAAGTTATACAAATACTTTTTCCAAAATTTCCTCCATTTTCCCTGTGATTATTTTTCTTTTCGATTTGCTGTTTTTCACACACACAAATTCATATAGGGGCGAGGGCAGGGCTTACAATTTCTATGCACAATTATTGTTTTATTCTTCATTTTTGTTCTATTTTATATTATTTAATTTATTTATATTCATCAATTTAGTTCAGTTCTCTATGCTACAATTTTGTGGTTCAATTCAAAACTATTTGTGTATTTAATTATTAGATTGTGTACTTACTTGTGTGTGTGTGTGTAATGTGTGTATGTGTAATTGTAGTGTGCGGTCCATCAATATGTGCTTATGCCTTAAAGTAGACAGAAATCAGCTAAGGCTTTAAAGTTTTCAAACATCTGGCAACGCCATAACTGAATTGGCCTCTTAAGTAAGCTGCGCATGAATTTTATTTGATCTGAATTTATACGTTTATTAGAGTAATCTATGAAGCCTTGTTATAGCTGATAATATATAGAGTTCAGCTATCTGGCAACGCTAAACAGCTTAAATGGATTTTTCTTTTTCGATTAATCCAAAGTCCTGACTGACGTCTCCTGACTACAAAATGCAATGGATTTATCATCTCATCAATTTATAAAGCTGACTGACTTCACTTTATTTAGTCTGGCAACGCCAACAAGCTGATAATTTGGCTTTTTAAATTAGCATTATAAAATCTAAAATTTTACACAGTAAAAACAATTGAGTTTCAAATTGATCAAACATCTGGCAGGATAAACAATTGGCAGCGCCTGATGCCATTTTCGAAATACTAAATTATCCAATATTTCATTAGTTGCTCGGATTTGCTGGCAGTGCTTAAAATAAATAAAAATTATGTATCTTTGGCATTTTTTATTCAAAATAAATTGATACCGTTATTGTTGTGTAAATGTATGTGTGTTGTTTCTGTTGTTGTTGTTGTTACAAAATACAGTGTAAACATTTGTTTTAGGCTTAATGAGCTTATACAATTTACTCAATTTAGTACACATTAACGTACATAGGCTATATGCTATATATGTATGCTTAATTTAATAGGCTTTACGCCGCATTGCGGTCGCATTTTCATTCAATTTTCATTTTCCTTCCCATTTCATTTGTTCAATTAAGTAATTTTGTCAAATTCTTATAAAGTTTTTTTTTGTGTTTCAGAGAAATTATTGCTCTAACTTACAAAGTTGACGATCTCGTCTATAAAATCAATGGACATAGTCGCTACATAGTTTCAATATGCAGGATTTTTTTTCTCATTTAGTACAATTCAAATGTTTCATTCTCAAGTTAATATTAGGTTTAAGTATATATATGTGTATATATATAAATATCGTGTATATTCTAATCATATAGGGATTTTATAAAATCATTTAATAACTAAGGGGATTCGGGGAGGGCTACTTTAAGTAATAATTTGATATAATTATAATTAGTGTGTGTTGAGTGTGTGTGTGTGTGTGTGTTTGTTGTTTGTTGTTTCTTTTATGGTCGTTTCTTGGATATGATTTGGTGGTATGGAGGAAGCACTTGTGGGGCAACTTTATAGGAATTCGGAACATGTACTATTATTTGTTTTTTTGATTTCTTGGTTTTGTTTGTAAATGAGTCGAGTGAACATTCATTCATTCATTCACTATTCAAATTGGCAGCTGTATCGAGTAAGCATTATAAAAACGTTTGCTTCTTATAAACTAAATGCAAGTGAAGCTAAGTGCCCCTTCCCACTCAAAGGTCGTGGCCGATTAGTGATATAAATGATATGACATAATACTAGGCAATCAACAATTGCAAGCACCAAAACATGGCTCGACGATGTTGACGCCAAAGGAAATTTCGAGTTGGCCCCCAGGCAGCGGCCAGTCTTTGTTAAGAATTCGAATGTGAGCGGACGGCACTGGCCTAAGCTAGAGTCGGAAACAATTCGACTTGAAGGAGCTCAAGCCGAACGTTTTAAACTTCAATTAGCTGCTCAAGGAACATACATATTTCTTATAAGAAGCGCATACAAACGAGTCGAGGTTTGTGGCAAGGGGCTAAAAAGCGGCTGGCCGCAGTTACAAATAAATTCTAAATTCTATTCTATAAAAAAGGTTTGTGTTTTTCAAGCTCGTTCGCTTGTTTACCAAAATGTGTGTGTGTGTGTGTGTATGAGTGTGTCTGTGTGTAAGTATACATATAAGTTAAGGTACATACTAGATAAATTATATGCAGCATAGTGATTTTTTGTTTTAAATATTAAATTTTTTAGTTTTTTTTTTTTTTAGCTTAATTTGTTAGCCAAGAGTCGCATATTGAAATCGTTAATTGATTGTTTTACAGTTGTGTCCATACTTAATACCGTTGTTTTTCATGTTAAATATATTATCATTAATGTGGGCGGGGGGCTCGAGTTGCACCTCAATTCAAATTTAGAACAATTTTTGATTGATACTGTTGACATTGAGGGTGCGAAAGATTTCTTTGATTAAGATTGTAAATTGTTATCGATTTTTTTTATAGTTTTTCCTTATTTTTTGTTAAGAGTTGATTAATAGTGATTATTGTTGTTGTTGCTGCTTTTATTGTTGCTGATGCTGATGCTGCTGCTGCTGCCGTTTCCCTCATTTATGGCGAAACATATGGCGGTGGCTTGCGATAGGAGGGCGTTGCCGGTGATTTCCCTCGCACCTCGCGTCCACCGAGCACCACAGCCGGCGGTGGCACATACTCATCCACATCGTTGTCGCCATTCATGTTGGAGGTATTGTACGAGGGCGGCAACAGCGGCGGCTTCTCGTCCTTAAGTATAACAGGGCTCTTATTGCCTATTTCGGGCTTCTCCTCGAACTCGTCCTGAAAGATGACGGGTATGCCCTTGGTGCGGAACGACTTGCGTTCCTCCTCATCGCCTGCGATGATATAAATATTATAACAATACAATACAAATTTATTATATTTGATTTCACAACTTACCTAATTCCATTTTGCCGCTCTTATGACGACGTCTATGCAAGCAACAGGCTATGATGGAGGCCAGCAGTACCATGACCACAATAATAACGGCGGGCAATATAAATGTGGCTAGATATTCCTGTGGGAAGCTGGGCTTCAGACTCGGCTCCTTGTTGCGCGGCGGTATATACTCGTGCTGGGTAATGTCGCTATTCTCCGAATCTAAATACAAACAGAAAATATTATTCAATATTATGGTCCATCGAATTCCTAGCATTCTCTGCCACTTACGATGGCATGCGGCCGAGGGCACCACCGTAAAGTTGGTTAGATTCAGCTCCGGCCCCAATGCCTTCTTCACGCTGGCACTTGGCATCATGTCGCTGCTCAGATAGATGCTGCGCGTGGCGGCCATTTCGGCGTCGGGACAGCGATTGTGCGTCTTGTACAGTGAGGCATTGTAAAAGTTGACAATTGTGCCGTCGGAGTCGTGGTGCGTGGTAATCGAGCGCACAACAATCTGATTGGTGTTGGCATCGCCATGCAGCTTCGCAATGCGCTCCACAAACTTACGCTGCAGCTCCGCATTGAAGTTCTCGTGGCGTATGGCCAGGTATGCCTTATAGAGTATCGCGTACTCCCTCTTGGGCATGTTGTTGACGACGACAACGAGCGCATCGTTGGCAGTGAGGCCGCCGCTGTCCTCGGCAACGAGCAGGTACTCCTCGGAGCCCAAGTCGCCGCCCTTTGGTATGCCATAGAACTCCTGATTCTTGGAGTCGAACTGCAGCCAGTAGCGTGTGCCCAGCTCTTTGTGGTCCTTTGTCTTCAGCGAGAGCGTCAGCTCATTATCATTGGGATCGTAGAAGGTATCGCTGGGCACCTTATACACGAGCAGCTGGCCCACGGAGGCATTCACTCGATCCACCTGGTTGCGCGGCATTGGCGGCAAATTCTTGGCCATATGAGTGGTGGGCTTTATCTTGGTCAACTCTGTCTTCTGGCAAGTGCCAATGAGCTGACCCGTTATCGACTTGATGCTCAGCAATGGCTGCAACAGATCATTCAGACGCTGTTCATCCAAGCGACGCACCAGCTCATTCAACTCCGCCTCGGGACACTCACTGGTGGGCAGCGTCTCATTGAAATACACAAAAACAGCGCTCTGCGGCTCCTGCAGAGTCTGCCGTACCTCGCGCACCACCAGCGCCGAGCTGCCGCCATCCTCCAGCGTGTGGGCAACAGCCCGGATTAGCTTCAGTTGCCAGTCAATGTTGTTGCCATGCTTCTCATTGATGCGCACAGCGATGCTGATCTCGTGATTGATGGTGCGCACCGCCCGATGCTGTTGCACGCTAATCTCCACAGTTTCCGTAACGCTGGAGTTGCCGGAATCGGTAGCCGAGAGACGATACTGCCAACGCGACACGGTGTCATCCAGTGGACTGTGAGTTGACGAATCAAGTTAATCTCTTAGCCAAGCCAATCAGGTATTTATATGCTCCACTTACATGCCGTACAGTTCACGTTTATCCGCATTGAACTGCAGCCAGGATGTGGGCTTCAGCTCGTGGCCATCCTTGTCGGTCAGCTCCAGGCGCAGATTGGTCTGATCCTCGGCATCGAAGAACGTTTCCTCGGGCACAATAAAACTGAACGCCTTGCCGGACGTCACGGCCAGCTTCTGCAGGCGCATTTTAATGATCGGCACAGTGTTCTCCTGCCGCGGCTCCACATAGTCCGTGGAGGCCTCCGTCGAGGTGCTCACCGGCTCCTGCTGCGGCTGTCGTGTCGTCGCTGCTGTTGCCAGCTGCCAAAGAAATTCAGTTTAGTCACGTTCTCATATAGCCAATGTCACATGCTTGACTCACCTCATTGCTGGCCAGATTGGGCACGCTGCTGTTGCTGGCGGCTTCGAGTGCGTCCACAGCATCCGCTGCCTGGGAATGACAAAGAGCTCATGAAATGACTTACGAACCGGCTAATAAATGCGACGCATCTTCTCATTGCTCATATTTTGCATGCTCGTTCATGATATGCTAAACAGTTTGGAGTTTTGGATGTTCGCTAAGGATATAACTAAATTAGGTTGTTAAGGGCTATTGGGTATAAATACCCTGTAAATTCTACAGATTGCATTTAGTATAGAACTATAGCAGTTTTGGAAGGTAAATTGTTTAATGAAATTTGTTTTCAGACTCGGAAATAAAAAATCCTCTTATATATCTTTTTTTTTCAAACTGTTTTCTCTACCATGAACGAGTATTACTTAGTCGTTTATACCCGACTACAAAACATTGCATTTTTTGTTTTATTCTTTAGTGTCATGCTTGAATATTGTTGAGAGCAGGCAGAGTTTTTTTTTTTAGTGTAGCAACTATGGAGGGTGCCAGAGACACGGATAGAAATACAAATACAAATAGAGTTACAAATAGAGATACATATACATATACATAGCTAAAGATACATAAAGTGACATGCAATACCATGCGAGGAGAATAAACGCTGCTAATCAGCGCTGATTGGCATCCCATTTCAAAAGGATAAGTGCATTGGACGTAAACGTTGAAATCCCTTAATTGGCTTAACTAGTTGCCTTGGCTAAGGGGGAGGCTGGTCTACTGGGCTAGTGGGCTGCGTGGGCATGGTTGGGGCATGTTGGGCTGGGGAGTTTGGTGGGAGTTTTGTGCAGCTTATTATAGATATAAATTCAGATATATAGAAGATATATATATATACTACTTTGATGCATAGCAGCGCACAGAGAGTCTGTGCGCGTGGACTGAAGTAGTTCACCTTAGGGCTAATCGAAAGCGTGCTGTGCGTCGTCGTGGCCAATTCGAGCAACTCGATCTCGGCCAGCGTTGTACGCGGCGTTGTGGTGGCAACCACATCCCCATCCGCATCCGCATCAGCCACATCCGTTGTAGTCAGCCAGGTGCTTGGCTCAAGCACATTTGCATTTGTCTGCAGTTTGCATTAGGGTTTTTTTTTTTTTCAATTTTTCATATTTTTTTTTTTTTGTATATCAAAACAAAAATTCATGAGATAAACATGAGATAACGGAACAAAAATCATAGGGACAGCATATCGAATGGGTTCAGATCTGATATGTCTTGAAATTTCAGAGAACGTATAGTCAGAGGGCCTATGAAGCGAAGCACTACAGAGAAGTATTGCAAATGAATGCAATAAAATATTAGAACTTTTCTATTTTGATTTTTAGGAATATAAAATATGGAAAATATATCGAAAATATATTGAAAATTCTTTTACTTCATCATCTCTAAGACTTATAAAGGACTTTTCCTATTTCTATTGGAGTGCAAATAGTTAGTAGAGTTAGGAGCCATAGCAATTAGATATAGAGCCCTATGAAACCTTAGCCAACACCCTTTATAATACATATATATACAAAAATAAAGTCAAGTTTAAAGTATATAACTAAAAACAAAGGCAAATATCTAAGCAAAAACTTAAGCTAAATATACTTGATCACAAAAATCAACTAAATTAATAATATCTAGATATTCATAATTTATTTGAGTGTGTCTAGACCCTAATAGCCCTTTGGCCCATAAAACACAATTCGCTATAGCCAAAAGTTGAACAAAGTACTTAAGTTTATATTGGCACTATGGGCATTATTAATATTATTATTATTATCATTATTATTTGAGGTTAGATCGGCGGCGAAGTTGTACAACATCAGGATTATAACAATTATACAACACAAACAACACGTGTATACATATGTGACACTTGTACACAGATACATATTATATGGATATACATATATAGTTTGTTGCGGCTCTGACTGAGGGACGGCGGCGACGTAGACAGACAAAACAGGCGACAAATACAGTTACAGAGATACATAAAAGGCTAAACAACAGTTACAATTGTCGCACAACGCGAGACATAGTGAGTGTGAGAGCGACACAGAGAGAGAGAGAGAGGGAGAAACAGACATACACTCACACACACACGCACATACACTCACACTCACACACACAGACATAAGCGACATTACCTTTGGCGTTTGTGATTGTGTTGTAGTTGTTGTTGTTGTTGTTGGCATAGTTGCAATTGTTGTTGATGATGATGATGATGATGAAGTTGTGGGATACGATGAGGAAGGTGTTGATGACGATGCTGATGATAATGAAGTTTCGGTTGTTGTTATTGTTGTGAGAGTATTAGCCATATCAAAGTCTATGACACTTGCTGTGCTCGACGAAACTGAGGTGGAGGTTATGATGCCAGGAGCAACAGGATTGCTGCCGCTGCTGCCGCTGCTGCTGCTGCTGCTGCTAGTGTTGCTGCTGGGGGCAGACGATTCGACAGTTTCAATTGTGGCTACAATCGCTGGGGATGAGGATGTGTAAATGTTGGACTGGGACATGGTGGAGCTGGCATCGTATGGTGAAAATGATTCAGACGGTTGGGGATGAGCGGACGACGACGCTGGCAGAGATGTGCCTGGTGTAGCAGGTGTTAAATTATTGTTGTTGATGTTCATGTGGTGGTTGTTGTTGTTGTGGTTAGTGGTCGTTTGTGAGGTGCTCGTTGCAGTGTGCTCAGCTACATCAACAGCGTTGGCCGCAGTGTCAACCTGGTTGTTGTTGTTGTTGTCAGCAGCATCTTCAGCTGCAACGTTTACCGTTGCCATGAAACTGCTGCTGCTGCTGCTGCCAGTTGTAGCGGTTGTGGTTAATGGCAGCTCCTGCTCCAGCTGCTGCTCGATGCTCGGCTTGAGTTCCAGCTCATTGCCAAGCTCATTTTCAGCCTCCACAATCACCGGCGCAGCGGGCACGCCCAGCTGTGGCAGCTCAACTTCCTCAACGTCTTCGACCTCATCGTCGACACTGAGCACCGGATCCTTAATATTTTTCGTGTTCTCAATGGTCTTGCTAATGACAGACTCCAATTTGGAGACGCTCTCTTCGATTTCCTCGTCCAATTTGTTCGCGGGCAACGATGACGCCGACGATGTGGAGACGGAGCTCGCGTTCTCCTCTTGTTCCGACTGCAGTTGCTCGTTCAGGGATTAGTTGTGTATGGATGGTTGTTGTTCGGGTTGTTATTGATGTTGTTGTAGTTGTTGTAGTTGTTGTTGGAGTTGTTAGTTAGTTTATGAATAATTAACATTCATATATTGCAATGGTAGTAACAGTAAGTAAATGAGCACAGCGAGAGAGAGAGATAGAAATATAATGTAAATGTCAAAAAAAGAGAGAGAGAGAGAGAAGAAAAGACGAGAACACCATATGATGAATTACATATACACAATGTTAAAGAATCGTTTCATCAAATTCAATGATACTTAAGTATAAATATATATATTGAATATATATATATTTGATAAATTTATATATATATGTGAGTATTTTGTGAACTTGTGTGGTTGTTGTGTGTCGTTATCAACAAAGTGCAGTAACAAACATAATTATGATCTTCCGTAACAGCTGATACTTAAACGTATTGGTCTGTATAGTCGTAGTATTCTTAACTCGATATACAGTAATTTATTTAGTTACACATTATCCAACCAACAGTTAAAACCTCAGAATATCGGAAAACACCACAAAAAGATAATCAAAACCAAATAATAGCCTAAGAGATGACACTTCTTAATATCAATGACAACACTCACCACGCCATGGTGATGTCGATGTGCATGCGATGTGGGCAAAACCGTAACCAGTTCACTGAAAACAAACAAGAATGATATTTAGCAATTCGTTATTTACTTTTTTATTGATAACACTTACGGCGTCTGCTCCTCGTCATCCTCGCCATAGTCATAGTCTTCTTCAAGGCCGCTACCCTCTGCATCACTGCGCTTACGCCGCGATCTGCAAATACAAACCACAAATGAATCAGTTAGTGAGTCAACAGAGTTTTGCCAATATAGATACACGTATATACAATTGTCACTTAGCTTCGATACATACTTATATATATAATTACTGGGATTTAGCTTTTGCTTGATGATCAACTTCATTGAAGCATCAGCATTCTATCTCTTTCTCTCACAATTATCTACTGATCTAGCATTTGTTCAGTTTACTTTAACATTGACAGCATTTTACTTATACTAATATTCACTATATATACATACATATGTACCATAAACAATGATCAGGGCTAGACTATATATATGTATATCATTTTGCTTCGATGAAACTGAATAAAATAAGCTGGCAAAAGCCAATGCCAAAGCATATCTCAAGTTACTTATTTCAGATATACAATTATACAATTATTTATACGTCTCATACGAGCTGATTTGCCTTGCTTTCGGATATTGCTTGAATGACTGCATCACAGCCTCATCATAATTTCTCTTAGTCACATTTTAGTTTTACATTTGCCCGAATGATGTACATTCACTACATCTATCCACACTCCACAATTATCAGTGCTTTGTCTCTCTCTCGCTACCTGGATTTCAATTCCTTGCGCCAAATAAACCACAGTCCAAAGTTCTCCTCCGTCAGGGCGCCGATGGTGCCATCCTTGATCTGATGTCCAATCTGCTTGGCTATGGGCTCGCCCATGCTAAAGTAACTCGAACCACAGCCGATCTGCGCAAAGAGATTTCAAGGCAAAGATTAGAAGCAAACACAGCGCAAAGCGAGAGACAACGGCATACCATAAAGCTGGCGCGTCCCAGCCGGCGATTCGCAGTGTCCACATGCTTCAGGCCCTTGCCGCCCTTGCGCATGGCCAGCTTGTGCATGTTGCCCAGCTCCCGCTTCGTCACCGAATCCAGCGTAATGAATTCCTGCAGATGCAAAGGCAGAACAAAAGTCAGTTTCATGATGAATTCCCTATGATGCAGTCAACTCACCTTGGGTATGGCAAAGAACTTGGCCAGCTTGGCCTGGACATGCATGCGCTTGGCCACGCTCAGCTCGCTCCAGTCCTGCTTGCGCAGCAGCAGCGAGAGCACAATCTCAGGCTGTGCCTGCTGGCAGCGCATCAGTTCCGTCACATACGGCTCCTGCTTGTAGGCGGGCGCCTCTTTCGGCTCTATGACCGGCACCTACAAAAGAGAGACCGCAAAAGAGTTCAAGAGTTTAACCACTGGCTGCTGGTGGAGTGTGGGGCGGCCACTCATTGTCGGCATTTTCAAGTGAAATGTGTCAGGCATCATCAATCAAAATTAACAGACAAATGACAGGCCGCAGTTACAGTTGCTGTTGTTGCTGCTGTTGCATTGGCTTCTGCAGCAGCAACAATGCAACGCATTCTTTGTTTGCTTGCCCCGCCGTCCGCCTCACCTGTGAGTCGTTCACATTGAAATCCCGTTCGGCATTCGCAGCCGCCGCCAGTAGCAAACATAGCAATAAAATTGGCAGCGTTGCGGCTCGATTGCACTCCAGCGATAACACCGACGGCCTCATGCCTAACAGCAATGTCTATATAGACGACCGACTTCTATATAGAATATGAGTTCAGTTTCGTTTTCGTTTCGCTTTGCTTAGCAATGCCAAAAGACAGCTCGAAGCAGAGACAGAGAAACAGAGATTAGATGCCAGAGGGGAAAGTGAAGCGATTCGAATCGTTTCTGCCGTCGTCGTCGTCGTTGTTGTTGTTGTTGTTGTTGTTATCTTTGTCGTTGTTATTGTTGTTGCTGTTGTTGTTGTCGTTTACGTCATCTGCAAAAGAGAAGCATACCATAAATTTGTATGAGAATTATGAATACATATTTGACATATATAAAAGCATAAAAGGTCTCGCCTCGTTATGTTCATGTTAATTAAGTGCTTAATTATCATTACGATATATAGATAGATATTTATTAATAGTCATAATCAATTGGGTCACCGACCCCATACTCTATACACACACGCACACACCCAATTTGTAACCCATTCATGAGCTTAACAAAAATTATAAATGCTTAGGCAACTGGTCTACGTATACGTAATTAACATAAACAACTGTTTTTCACATCTGTTAGCATTGTTGTTGTTGTTGTTGCTGTTGTTGCCTTTCCCACTCAAACATATTCGAGTGGAAATTAGCGCCAGATCAATATGCACTTTGGTTAAATAACATGAAAAATGGAAAGTTGTAAACAAATGCGAGTATTTAAAAAAAAAAAATGGCCCAAATGGGCGTCAGACACTTTCCAGCTAGTTTTCCGTCTTGTGTTCTAGCTTTCCCTTTGATTAAAGCATTTCCTGCTCTTAAGATTTATAAATCTCAAATGGTGAAATTAAAGAGTTAATGAGAAAAGTAAAAAGAAAGATTAGAGAGTTAATCAATGAAAGAATTTGTTATATAATAATATAGATATGACATGATAATAATATTTGAATATATGTATATTGATAATAATATTTGAATATATAAGCTCTGATCCATTTGTATTTATTCCGTAATTTTATTAAATTTTTTTAATAGCTTTCTATTGTTTTTTTTTTTTTTTTTAATTATTGTTTATTTTATTTTACTTCAAAGTAATCCACATTCCATATTATTCTTTCTTATCTACATCTTTTTCCCAATGGTTTAAGCACTTTGAATTATCATTAAAATCAAATTGTATTTAGTTCTTGTCTCGATGATGTTTTATATCATAATTCCATCTATAAAATCCATTAATAAACCTCTGGTATTTCAGATATGTATCATAGTGACCTAGGTCTGAAATATAGGGCATCTATTGCCACATTTTCGTATAGTCTTTGGTCAACAACTAAAAGCAAAAGCAGTTATCTAAAGTCAACCGAGTATTTTAGATAGCCAAGCCCCAAGTGGGCATAGCTAAACTGTTTTTACTCAAGTATCAATATAACGCCATAAAGATATCGAATATCAAATAAACTTAAGCCTACGCAATGCAGCATTAGCCAAGCAGAAGTCAAATCAAAGCCAAGCTAAATGCAACTGTAAAGCTTAGCAACTGTTTCGAGTAAAAGTTGCACTTGACAAAAATGTGAAACATGCCAAAGCCGAAAGAATGTCTCATGCTTTCAAGTGAAAGTGCATGAGTATATATAACTATAAATATATATAGCTTAAGCAGACATCTGTGCGCTGTTTATCAAAAGCCTACGCATACCTTACGTATTCGATAAGATTATAAAGCAAAGAAATTCCATTGATAAGTGCGAGTACATAAATTTATATATATTCATATATATTTTTAAATGAAATCAAAGTCGTTTGGTTTAATCTGCGTAATGACGTCTACATTCCAAGCTGAGGCCAGGCTTATCAATAGCCACGTCTATTTATAGCGGAGATCCCATTCCCAGGCTGTTTTTCGAACAATCATTCAACATTCAACACTCGCTCCTTCGCTTCGAATCGAATGAGGCCAACATATGTTGCACCCCGACTTTTGCAGTGAAATTCGTAATGGGGCGCAAGAGTGTGTGTGTGGAAAAATGACTTAGGATCTGTGGCATACCAATAAAAACGGAATTGGAAATGTCTTAATTGAGGCATTAAATATGTCAACGCGCACAGCGAGCAAAGACCAGTTCAAGCCGAGCGGGGCTAATTAATGATAAGTGCAACAAGTTGTGAAAATTGTGAAAATTACGCACAGCTGGATGCAGCACCAAACATAAGCAGAAGTTACGAGAGATATTTGGAGGATTTTCATGTGGCCCATAAGAAAGTTTGCGGTGCGAATGCAATTCGATTCAATTATGTGAATGGGAAAAGGAAAAAGATGAATCATTTATAATTATGTGAAATACAATAAATAAATAAATATATAAAATTTATAAAGAAAGGAAAAAGATAAATCATTTATGATTATATGAAATAGAATAAATAAATAAATATATAAAATTTATAAATATATATATATAAAATAAAAGGAACTGATTAAACTAGGAATGTCTTTTGAATGATACAATAAGAAATACAGAAAAATCTTCAAAAAAATATATATATATATATTATGCATAAATATAAAACTTTTCCTGCGGAATACAAAACAACTAATATATAGGTATTTAAAGAAAGATCTACCTAAAATGAGCACAAGCTGTTTAAGAACTTTAAGCTCATTGGTTTCATCTTACAGGGTAACCTCTAGTTGAGCATGCTTGAGTGGAGCACTTTAACTTGTCGCATTCGCAGCCAATTTGTTTGTTTTCAAAGTGGGCAACAATATTAATTGAACAGCTCGTTTCGTCTCCTGCCTGGCATAGCAATCAGCAGGGACCAGAGGGAATACAATATGTATGTACATAGAGAGATGGCTAGATGTAGATAGAGCGAGAGAACTGTTAACTGAAGACTGGGCACTCGATACTCTGAGTTCAGGCAATATGCCACAAATAGATGAACTTAAAATGCAGCCAAGCATGCCGGGGCCATCAGTCAAGTTGGCAGCAGTTTTGGCATGAATGAGAATGAGTTACAAACACAGAGGGGGGGAGAGAGAGAGAGGGAGATAGAGTTGTTGTGGGTGTGCACACTCGTTGTTGTTGTTGTGGTTCTTGTTGTTGTGTATGCAAATGAATTAGCATTGCGCCAAATGTAAAACAGCCAGAGGGAGAGAGAGAGAGAGGGAGAGAGAGTGAAAGAGAGGAAGATAATGAGAGAAAAACAATACAGAACTAACAGAGAAACAAGTTTGCTGCATAATGAGTGTATATGTGTGTGTTGTGTATCCATATCCCTCTCTCTCCCTCTCCCTCTCTCTCACTCTCTTTGTGTGTGGGAGCTACGGCTGCAACTGCAGCAACTAGGCAAAGGCAAAGTTCAATGGAGTCGAGAGTTCGGTTCATAAATTGAACAAACAAAAGCAAACTAATAAAGGTATAAAGCCATAGACATAGAACAAAAGGCGCCAATCTATAAAAACTGAACATCATTATGAAGATGCTGATGGGGTTGTGATGATGCTTCAACTTTAGCTGCTGCTGCTGCTGCTGCTGATGATGATGATGATGATGATGATGATGATGGTGCTGTTGATGAGGATGCTGTGGCACCCACACACCCAGCGCTCTCTATTCAAGTGCCGCAAACAAAGACATATCGCTATCTATAATGTGATTAGCCATGCATTTAGTGCTGAGTGGCACTCGTTGCATGTTGCATGCGGCATGCTGCATGCCTGCATGGCGGCTTGGCTGCTTGGCTGTACGGCTGTCTGTCTGGCTGTCCAACTCACTCACTGTCCAACCTGACTGCGGGCATTTCATTATCTCGCCCCGTACGCTCCACATGCGGCCAATGGGCCAAAGTGCAGCCAATTAGCTTTACATTTAAGCGACTTCAAGTGGGCGGCAAAGGTGCTGCTGCCTTCTAAACTAACCATAAATGTGTGTGCATGTGTGTGTGTGTTGCAGTTGTTGCTGTTGCTGTTGTGGCTGCTGCTACGTGACACAAAAGTGTTGATTCTTTGGCCCAAGTTTCAACAAAGAGCTTCTTTCTTTAAGCAGCCCGCAGAGTCGCAGAAACAAATTTATTTTCATTATGACCGCACGCACACACTCTCGCTCGCTCTCTCTCTCTCTCTCTCTCTCTCTCTCTCTCACACACAGTTCATGGCTCGACAGCTGTAGCTGCGCCTTCTTATTGGCCGCATTTCGTTGCTGACTTCTTAAAACTCTTTTTGACGCGGCTTACGCAGCGAATTTGACTTATGTTTCTAATACCCTATAAATGCAACGATAATATGGGGTAGCATGGCATATATTAATTTATATAAATACATATTTACTATCGTTGCAGGCGCTATAAACTTAATAAATATATTAACAGTCAAGCATTCAAAAAGATTTAACACAAAATTTAAAAAAATAAAATAAATAATTTAATTAAAAATTTAAAAAAAAAAATAATATATATTTTATATTAATTTTTAAATATTATAAAATATTTATTTGATTCACATTAAATATGAAACTATTAAATTTTCATAAAATAAATTGTTAAAAATATATATATTAAAAAAGTAGTACAAAAATAATAATATATATTTTATATTCATTTTTAAATATTATAAAATATTTAATTAATTCACATTAAATATGAAACTATTAAATTTCATAAAATAATTTTTTTTTAAATATATACATATATTGTCAACTTATTCTAGGGTATTTACAGCGTGGCCCCACTTAAATAAATTCCATTTTTTACTGCTTATAACTTATTTCATATATATATATATATATATGTGTGTGTGTGGTTATTTCGTTTCCCAGAAATAATAAAAAACAATTTCTTTAAGTCATGCAGTGCAGCTTTCACCCTTCGTTGCCCACTCCCCTGCCGGACGCTCTATCTCCTCTCTCTGTTTCATTCTCTATGCCCTGTCTCTCTCTCTCTCACTCCATCTTTATCTGCCTTCTTCTGTGTCTTTGTAGCAGCTTTAATTAATTCAATGCTCCGCAATGGGCGCGTCTCCAATGAACTTTTAATGGATTGTTTGTTGCTTGTATTTTGTTTACGCTGCTGCCTGATTGAAAAGAAATTGTTCTATATACAAATACACATATACATAAGCACACACGCATGCATGTATTTACACACATGTGTTTCACGTAATTCATTTTCTATGACAACGCATATTTGACCCACAATCTTCTTGTTGAAAACATAAGCTCTCCCACTCCCACTCCCACTCCCTCTCTCCCTCGCATTCCCAGCTCTCTGTAATATTCGTATTATATCGCCAATGAACTGGAACCTAGCCCCGAAAAAAAGCCCCAGCAAATGCATTACTACAGAAAAAAACGAACACACGAAAACATCTCGAAAAAGCAGGCCACAATTGACCAAAAATAGAATCAAATTCATTTTCGGCTGTTTGAATTTTCTCGTTGTTCGCTTCTTTTCCGTTTCTTCAATCAAACTTGATGGCAGATCGGACAGGCGTGTCATGTTTTTTGTTCTCATAATCAAATAAAAAACCGGGCAAACATGAAAATCTGTTAAGTTATGCATTTTTTGCTGAAATTTAAGGAGCAGCCGCTGCAGCTGACGGCTACAAAAATATTTTTAAGACTTTTACCAGATGAAAGAAATATTCTTTAAAAAATATAGTTTATTTTTAGTTGGCATGCCCTTTAATGGGCTTGTTGATAGCCCCATTTAAAACTATGTTTATAAAGTTTTAAATATGTATAGATATATGTCTAGTGTTATTTCAATTAAAAAATCTGTGGTCTTCAAAAGAAAACTGAATTTATTCTAATATCTGATTTTAGATTAACATTTCTGCGGAAATCTTATGGAGCACCTCGCTGTGCCACTTATAGACATACGCAATACTCAATAATACCCTTTTAACCTAAATTATACAAAGACATAAAGAGATATAATTGTATAATTGAGCATATGTATGTATATATATAGCATTTGGCACGCACTGAAATGGCCGGCACATGTTAGATATTAAATATGATTTGAGGCATTTATCTACTTACTCTGATATGCATATTCATGCACAGAGACAGACAGTGAGTGAGTGAGAGAGAGAGAGACAGACTGAGATATGATAACACTTTTAGAGATATGCACAAGAAAGCCGTAAGATAACAAAACTGAGGTAGCTGTCGCATATGCGAGTTGCTTAATTTCCGGCGATTGCTCAATCCGGGCCAACGAGCATAAGAAAATGTTAAGCAATGAGCCGCAATGATATATGTATGTATGTATATGATATGTATGTGCCGAGCCGGCATGCGAGTTGGCCAAAGAAAAGGGGCTGCGAATTGATGCAACGGCACGTAGCATGCCCGGGGGCACGCACACGCGACAGAGTCGCGACAAACGACGCACTCAACCCAGGCAGACAGACACATTAACCCACAGAGCCACAGAGCGCTGAGGCAACACCCAAAAATCGAATTCAGCCGTCGAGCCAAAGATGCAGCGCTCTTAACGTGCACCCATATCAAAATAATTTGATGATCGAGTTTAATTGACTGTAATTGGACTATGACGATGACGTTGACTCTGATGTTGTTGACAACAACAACAACAACAGCAACAGCAACGACAACAGCAAAGAAAGTTGTTAATTTGGCATGACTTGCAATCAAATGACACGCCCACTGGCTGCCCATCCAATTTGGGCTCAATTTGATTTCAAATTAAGACAAAATTCAGATGCAACAATAACAACAACGTTGACAAATACAACAACAAAGATTGCAACAAATTGGTATGACTGATCGAGCAAGTAGAAATCAACAAATAGATCATTTCCTACACTCGATAATTAGCTTAAGCAAATGAATAGAAGCTGTCTGATAATGAGTATACCCTGTGTCTAGAAGTCTTGCATTGGCTTTCTAAATTTGCCCTTGTTTCAAGTATCCTTAATATCTCGTATTTCCTCTAACTCTTATTTTGTATATTTCGCTTTCAAGATCTTTCTAAACTTATGATTCGTTTGGCAGTTTTACTTTTTCTCATCCTCTTATCTTTTATTTCTGTCAATCTTTATATCTCACTTAATATTTTTTCTGATTATCTGGTTTTCTTCTAATATATATCTTTCTAACTTGCCTCTCTCTCTATCTCTTTCTCTTCATCTGTCCCTATCTATATTTCACTGTCTTTCTCAACCCTTTTTCCCACATTCACTATATTTCTGTCTGCTGCCTAGCCTCTCTCTTTCTCCCTCTCTCTCTCTCTTTTCATCTCAGCAAAAGCTATCGCCTTTCTATGTGATTTTCATAATATCCTTATATAACATAGTGGAATACCTAACAACCAAACTATCACAAACTGTGTCACTAGGTGCATGGAATTCATTACAAACTCTACAAATTACTCTTTTTATTATATTTCACATTAACTAAAATCTCCTATGACATAACACTTTACTTCTATCTCTCGTTTACACTGTCTAGTCTGTGAGGCGCAGCATAGAATAGATTATCGAAATTTCAATCTAATTGAAATGACAATATTTTTGGGCACACACTAGCTATCGATCGCTGGGGGTCTTCATGGGGGCTTTGATTAATGTGCTAACTTGATTAGTAATCACGTGGCAGAGTGTCGCCGGCAACGCGATATGCAACCTGAGAGCCGTCACCGGAGCCAGTGGAGCCACTGGAACCACTGGGGCCATTGCTCCATTCCCTTGCGATGCGATGCGAGGCGAGGCAAGGCGAAGCGATGTGAAGCGAAACTTTTGCCAAGTCACAACAAAAATATGTTTTTGCGTGGGGCCAACAACTGAGCAGATTGAAGTTGTACATGTGTGTGTGTGTGTGCAGGGTCGCCATTTTGGCCAAGGCGTGAGTGTGTGTGTGTGTGTGTGCTGCGGGTGCAGCGTGTGCCGGCAAGCAAGTTGCAACGTTGGCAGTCGCCACAATCGCAAAACTCTCGGCGATCCGCTGCGCGAGCCATTCGCTTGCATGCATAATGGATGACAACTGAAGTTGTTGTTGGAGCTGTTGCTGTGGCTGTTGCTGTTGTCGCTTTTTTTATTTTCAAAATTGTATGTACTTTTTCAAAAACAACAACAACAAAAATAAGAAAAACAGCAGAAAAAACCAAACAAATGCTAAAAACAAACACACAACGCACAGCAACAACAACAACAGCCATTCGGAGGCGTTGATGAAGTCGACAGCAGTTGTCGTTGTTGCTGCTGTTGTTGTTGCTCCAGCAATGCGTTGCCGGTTCGAGCAACAGCTGCTGCCATAATACGAATAGAATCGTATGTATTTTTGTACTTCAACAGCCCATGGAGCAGAAAACAAGTAAAACAACAAAAATTTGTTGAAAGTAAAAGCTAAACCGAAACTTCTAATACCCTACACTAAGCTGCTTGGGAAGAAGAGTCGGGAGTTTGCCAAGTGACATCAGAGCAATTTTTGGGGCTTAACTTGAAAACAATAAACTGTTATGATTCATCTTTAAAGTTAACTTAATGTTCTGCTTTTTCTCTCTGTGCGTCATCCTCAAATGTTTTAGTTAAATAAAAGCCCAATATCAATCAAAGATCTGTGTTAGCCCATGTGCAGTTAGAGTATGTGAAGGAAAGGCCTGCACTGGCTTGTTTATTTGAAATATGTATGGTCAAAATGCCAGAGAGAGAGAAAGACAGAGGAAGGGAGGAAGGAATATAGAAAGAGGGAGGGAAGGTGCACAGGGAAGTTAGTCAAGAGAAATATATCGAATATTTGAACGCTGCGGGGCATATGGCATGCGTGCATATATGTGATAAAAGAAGAAGAAGAGGACAAAGCAAGCGAATGAAAGTGTAGGGTATATCGATGGTCAAACAATGGCAAACTATAATTGTAATTATATAAAACGCAGCTGGTGACGGAATCGAAAATGGAATTGAAATGTGTGCAGATGACAAGCCTGCAGGCAGACTAAAAGAACAAGAGCGACAGAGACAAAGTGCGAGAGTGAGAGAGAGACGGTGCTGAAGAGCCAGGCCAGCAGCAAGCATGTCAAGTGACGCCCTCACCATTAGCGAGCGGTAAATTGCCGCAGTCTGATTAAAAACGCATCAAATTCAACTAAACGACGATGAGACTGGAAGAGAGAGGGAGAGCGGAAGAGCCGACGGGTTGTTAAGAAATGAGAGTAGGAAAACACAACCTATGCTAAATGCTCGTAAAAGTAATTTTTGTTGCCCCACACACACACACACACACACACACACACACACTCATACGCCCTGTGCAAGGGAAGGAAAGACAAATAATGGACCAGACATTGCGGGACAGGGTGCGCAAGAGGAAAAGGGACAACCCCCTTTTTTTGGCCACGCACACAGCATCCGCCAAAAAAAAAAAACAAGCAAGAATTGCTAATGCTTTGTGCGTGTATTGGTGTAAACATACACACGCACACGGTGAAAAATCAGTGCGGGTGCGTCGCTGTCGCAGTCGCAGTCGCAGCTGACGTCGGCGTCTATTTGGCTGAGTGCCGTCATCAAAACACACACTCACGCAAACATTTGTGTGCGTGAGTGAGTGACGAGAAAGGGGGCGGGGCTAGGATTGCTGGCTTCCAAAAAGGACTGCTGTGACAGCTCCCAAAGCATTGCTGATTGCAAAAATCTGTTAAATGAAAACAGGTCGAGCTTTTCTTTTTTTATACACCAATTGCTGATGGACAAGAACTAAGCACACGCAGACACACATGCTTTGCATCGGCAGCAGCAGACAGTAAGAACAACAACAACAAGCAGAAGAAGAAGAAGAAGTCAGCTTGTTGTGGCCCCTTTCATCTCGCATCTCGCTCATCGCTCGTCGCTTCCGTGTTTCGAAATTCAATTTATGTATACTTTATGAGGTTGCCCCGCATTTTGGGGCGCGTTGCCAGACGCGTTCCATGCCGCATTTTGAACGTTGACAGCGCCGCTGGCGTTGGCATCGCCGGCTGCCGTTGCGGCCGTTGGGGCTGCTGCTGCTGCTGCTGCTGGCTGCTCCATGGAGTCAGTGAGGCATAGAAAATTGCAAGTTCAGGAAAATCGATTTTCGTTTTGTAGATTTGGCTAGGCGAATGCTGTGTCTCTCTTTATCTTCCTTATATAGTTTACATATTAGGCTAATTAGCGTGCAGAAACAAGCACACATACATGCACACACTCACACTCACACAGTTGCAGTTGGAGTAAAAATAAACTTACCTCTGCTGGCGCGCTGCACACAGTATTCTATTTAAGTTTTGCGATCATTCATGTATAAAATGCACTTAAATTTGGTGTTCTAATGATGCTGATGTTGTAGCTGCTGAAGAATCTGCTGCCAAAATTGTGTTTCCAACATGCACGTACGCACATACACACGCGAAAATTTACTTACACACGGCAGCTGCACTTGCATACGCGCACACACACATACATATGTACACACGCACCTATATAAATATGATGAATGGTATGTAGGGTTTTTCACTGACAACTTTGAACTGTGACTCTACAATTAAAAGCCACCATCTATTTACTAAGGCGGCGCGTTAATTGATTAAAATGCGTTCAAGTCTTAACATGGTTTGCGAGCGAGCTTTTCAATTTTTCTAGTATAACAACATACAAAACACACGGCTCCAAAGCGTTTTATTGTTGGAGCAAACGACGGCACTTGAATGACGATGTGACCGCAGGCAACTAATACGAAAATGCAGACAGCGATAACTTTACCGATAGAGTCGATTGATTATGGCATGCATACGCTTTGCAATACTACTTGTATCAACTATCGAATACTGTCACACCACAGTCGCATAACTTACTTAACATGCTGCAAGGTTTGCTGCAGAGGTAAATATACAAATACCCATTATGTGAAGTATTAATTGTCAGTACCCTTTTAGAACTTGTGTGTCGGCACTGAACACAGCCCAAACATTGTTTGTGCGCCAAAAACATGCCTTTGACCGGGCCGTGCTTAAACCGAAAGTGCGCTGCCATTTCCCAAAGCCGCGGGAAGTAAAGCGCATCAACGTCCACGGATGGGACGCACGAATGTCGACACCAGAAGGCAGACGAGTATTGATGCGGCGCATACTGAAGGGCAGACACGACCTCTCCCATTAGACTAGGAAATCAAATCAACAGAATACATTTAACAGTTCACAGTTAATACATCCTCAATTGATTTTACAATTTTTACAAATTCTCTTTGTATATCTTAATATTCGGTATTTGTTTTGGCTTGTTTGTTCGGACGAAAGTAGATCTGTTGAATACTCTTAGAAGACCTGTTGTCATCTATAATGAACACGAAAGGCACATTGTTAGCAACGCCGGTACCTTGATCCTTGAAGAAGCCTTGCGGCAGGCACATGGCGCCGCCTAACACCAAGCAGTCGACCAGCCAGAGACGCTCCAGAGGCATGGCTGGGACTAGATACAGCTGCTTCTTCTCATAATCAATGGCACGCACAACACCTTCAAGAAGAGCAAGAGATTTAATAGATATCGATAAGTTATAGCGAGGATTTACCTATGCCTAGACACTGTTTTGGATCGTCACCCAGCTGACCCCTGCATAGATAAACCAGATTGGCCTCCATGCCAGCTATAAGTTCCTCACGTGCGTAATCCTTGGAGACGAGATGTACAAGGTTCAGTTCGTCCAGATCCACGCTAACTGGCTGACAATCGGTCAGGTGCTTGGCATTGCCGTTCAACGCACTGCTGAGACGGGCCAAGAAATTGGCGTAGCGCACATCCTTGGGACTCATCCTCCAGTGATGCTCGTTCGGCTCCAGCTGCGGCAAAGCGCTTTGTAACTGATGCAATTTGTATCTGAAGTTTTTGGTTTCGACCTTAAACTCATCAGCTGTATAAATAATGGGCCGCACCTTCGCCAGGGATTCGGGATCGAGAGTTATCTCAAAATTGTTGATGGCCTTAGGACTGGATATTTGTATCAAATCTGTAGGATCGACACAGTCGATCAATAGAGCCATGAGCTCACGACCGAAACCTTTGTTATAGCCCATCGTATTGATGAGCCAAGGTATATCATCATAGCACGGGTTTACCTTGCAATAATACACCAACTCTCGCACCGCTTGGATGTACTGCTCCGCGCACATCACCACATTCACATGACCGACTGCATATGCTCGATCTGGCTGTTTATTGAAAAAGAAACCAGCTCCCAGCAGCGGACGATCGATGACATGGCATGAAACCGTTTGTGGGACAAACAACTCGGGCTGTCCAATGTCCAGGTCAATGAATAAAATGCGATTGTAGTGTTCCAAATGCCTGTTTAGCATATAGCGAAGTAACGTGGATTTGCCCACACCTTTGCCACCAGCTACCATCCAGCGACTGTGCTGCTCCACTTTCAGCTTCATCCACGCGCGGGGCACCCGCAGCGCTTGCCGTGTATCGGCGCTCTGGATTAAGCAGTTTAAGATATACTCACTGGTAGCATACGGACGATTGGAAGTATTCACCGAGGGGAAAACCTTCTCCACCATGTGCTTGCCAATGATGTGGAGCATATTCTGTGCAGAGCTGTTCCGCTGCATCAGCACAATCGCATCACGATACCCATCATAGTTTCTCTCAATATTATCCAGCTGGGCGCGTGTGAAGCTGTCTTCCAGGACTTTCCAAGTCGAACTTGATTCCATTTTTAATTTGATTGGTTTCCTGTTCGACATGGGTGAAATGACCACCCAGTTAAAGCCTTTAGGTGAATAGATGGTCAACGAATCATAGCGGCGCGCCTTATAGCCATTGATTGTAAGGCGTCCACACAGCAAGGTCAGTGTAACGGTGCCATAAAGTTCGATATCCTGTTTTATCACAGCCAGCACATTGTTGGTTTTAAAACTATTCTCAAAAATACAATAATCAGACATAAATCCAGCTAAATCGTCACGTGGAGTCTCTGTTATACGCCCTTCATCCATTGGCGAAAGCTGCATTTCTATGTCTTCTTCATCATTATTCTCTGAATTATCAACTTTAATTTCTACACTCATTGCGACCGGCTCCTTCTCACTTTCAGCTTCGTCGTTAGATTCGTTCAAAGCTTTATCTTTCAAAGTCTGTGCAGCTCCGTCATTAGATTCGTTCAAAGCTTCATCTTTCAAAGTCTGTGCAGACACGTTTTGTGTTTCGATATCTGCTTCAGACATTCCGTCGAACACCGAAACTTTGGCAATATCTGCGTCTACCGGCTCTTCCGTTATACACAGTGGCTTAACGACCTTCTTCAAATTGATAATCAAATCTATTTTAATTGGTCCAAGTTTCTTTGCTTCAATTATTACTGGCTTCTTAAAGAAATTCTCGTCAGTGTCCCATGAACAATCAGACTCGGAATCTAGTTCAGACGTTGATTCCTCCTCGTCCATCGATTCAGCCTCAGATTCCGATTCGGATTCTGATTTCTCGTCGTCCGACGGCTCAGACTCAGCCTCAGACTCGGATTCATCACTTGTAGAATCTGATTCCTCCTCCTCCATCGATTCAGTGTCAGACTCCGATTCAGATTCTTCCTTGTCCATCGATTCAGCATCAGACTGCGACTCCTCCACTTCGGATTGCGATTCCTCCTCGTCCAACGATTCAGCGCCAGACTTGGATTCGTCACATTCAGACTCTATTTGAGCGTCAGACTCCAAACCAACGTCGCGCCATACACCGCTCTGGTGGTTTGTTTTTATCAGCTCTGTAGCTTTTACATCAACATCAGACTTGGATTCGTCGCATTCAGACTCTATTTGAGCGTCAGACTCCAATCCAACGTCGGGCCATGAAGCGCGGTTTGTTTTTATCAGCTCTGTAGCTTTTACATCAACATCAGACTTGGATTCTTCACACTCAGACTGTATTTCCTCCTCGTCCAACAATTCAGCGTCAGACTCCAATCCAACGTCCAACGATTCATCGCTCTGGCGCTTTGCTTTTATCAGCTCTGTGGCTTTTACATTTTTCTGTTTTGACTTGTCATCTTTAGGTTGCATCGAATATGTCTTCTTTTTAGCAGCTACGTTTTTATTACCAACTTTCTGTGACTTTTTTATGGCATAGGATGGTATTTGTTTTCTATTAGGTGCAGTCTCCAATTGACCCTTTTGTGCGGATCCTATATTTAGTTTCGGGCGTTTATTTATTCCATTTTGTGGAACAGTCTGACTTTTACGTTTAATTGCTTTTGAAATTGCAGCCATTTTCAAAGCTGAATTTAACTTTTTCTCTGACATCTTTGGATTACAAATAATATTTGTCGCCTTTTGAGAATCCGTTGGTTTTTCTTGGGCTCTCGGTAGATTGTAAAAAGCAACTTTTGGTTTGTGATTTATTGGTTGCCAGATATTTATTTTAGAAAACACAGTTTGTGATTTAGCTATGCGATTCTCTGTGAGGTTAAAACTGGACTGAATTTCTTTCAGTACTCTCTCATTACGTTTAAGTGTCATTCTGTTTATTTGACAGTAAACAAACAGCTTACTATTTTTGCCGGGCCATGTGTCTTCAAAATTAAGAAGCAGGAACGGATTAGTGATGGTATATACGGTAAAAGTAACAGTAACGTCATGTAACGAATTAATTTTTCACTTAGTCAATAGTCTTTTCCAAGCAACTCTGAATAATTCACCTGACTGATAATATATATATAATATAAATGTGTATTAAGCTATTAATGTAACTTTCTATATTATTTTTGTGAAAAAATGGCAAAACAAAATAGAATGTGGTTATTTTGCATACCCAGATCAGGTATTCCTTTTAATGATATTTTCCAACACTATAGTTCATGTGCAACTCTGTGGCGCACGAAGGCGTTGGTTGTTCATCTACCAAGAAAATTCATCGTCATTTTGCATGAGAAAAAAAACGTCGAATTTTTAATTGTAATAACTTTTATACGAAACGAGCAACGGTAGACGCATAAGAATCAACATATTTGTGCCATTTTGTAAGCATTAAAAATAAAGTGTCTCATTCGAACCGAGTGTTGCAAAAAAGAAATATATATATTGTAAGTGAGGAAAGTTGAAAGAGCAGTGAAAAAATTCCACACACACACTCATACATATAGAGCTCTACGCGCACTGACAAACACACATACAGCCATGCAATCGAACTCACAGACAACATATGTATGTGTATGTATGTACATAAATGCGAGTGGATGATGATGTTTTTGGAATAAACGTATGAAGAGTTGGTGGCGGGTGAGGAAGCAGACCTATGACGCGACCAGTGGACTATCTCTAGACACATTCGTGTAGAACTAAAGAAAAGTAAATAAATGTATATGTCTAAATGGGAGCAGTGGTGATTCGGCCAATACGAAAACCAATACACGTAAAGACACGGGCTTTCATTTATATAAATAAATCTATGCGTATGTGTATGTATGCATAAATAGCTGCACAATTGGAAGCGATTAAACAACGGCCCAAACATTGCATTCTGTCTTTCCACCTAACTGGCCTAAAAGAAACCCCCACCACCAACAACGGGTGATTGTCAAAAAAAAAAGAGCCTCATGCGACTGTTCGCTGATGCTTCTTCTTTTCCATAGATCGTCAGCCGCAGCAACAACAAATGGGAGAGCCATTCAAAATGTATGACTCAAATGTGTGTGCGTGTGTTTGTGAGAGATTGTGGCATTGCTGCGCGCGAGAGTGTTAATATACGCGTCTGTGTATGTGTGTGTGTGTGTGCATGGCTTTTTCACTTTGATATTTTTCAACCAGCTCGCGCAATTTTCGCAAATATATTTAACACAACGCATCGTCCGTCATCGCCGCTGTCGGTGTCGTTGCATCCACTCTGCCACTTCCAGAACCTCCAATGACGACGATTCGCAAGAAATTGGTAATTGTCGGCGATGGTGCCTGCGGTAAAACTTGCCTTCTGATCGTCTTTAGCAAAGACCAATTTCCCGAGGTCTATGTGCCGACTGTCTTTGAGAATTATGTCGCCGATATTGAAGTCGACGGCAAGCAGGTAAGCCCAAGTTTATCATCTATTCATTCACACACCAATCCCAGCCTCCCCATCCCATCCGCCGCCCCGCCCAACACATGCAGCATTCAAAATCATCTGATCATCGGTCTTTGTGTACATTTTTATTTTATTTGTTTTGCATACATGCTCACATATGTACATATGTATATTCTCATCTAGCATCCCGTTACTCTCCCCCTCATCCTGCTCGATTTCCAGTGCACTCTGCACTCATGCTGTAAAAAAAAAGTTGTGAGTCAATATCAATTGTCGGTAGGCATACTTGACTCCCGCTCTCCAGCTCTTCTGCTCGCACTCTCCTTGCACACATAACGACACACACACACACACACACACACACGTACCAACATCGACGACGTAAACGCACGCACTCACACTTACACGCGTACTAATACTAAAACATGTACTTGTATAGCAAGCTCCCTTCCTTCCGTTTCTTGCTTGTGCTCTTGCTCTTGCTCTTTTTTTTTTTGTATTTTTTTATTCGTCTTATACACAAGCCCGTTGCGCACATACAGTTTTGCGCGTTGCCCCTCGCGCTCTCACGTTCGCCCCCCTCGCACTCAGTCATTGCATACCTGCGCTCACGTTTGGAGCCAGTAGCACGCGCTCTCGCTCTCAATTGTAATAAAAATATATTTAAAAAGAAAAAGAAGAAGAAAAGATATACTGCTGTATGCCATTTTGATTTGCATTAAGTCATGTTTTGTGTATTTGTTTTTGGTTATTTGTTAAACAATTTCGTTTCTAATAATTTTATACGACTTTTTTCTTCTTGTATGATATTTTTTGTTGTTTTGGTATAAACAATTTGCGCAGCACAATATGGCGGCGTTTGTGTTTGGTTAATGCTTACATATGATGTATAAACATATGTAGGTATAGACCTACATGCATACATACATACATACAACCGTCTGTGTCTGTAGTTCACGTCACTCTACGTATTGTGTCTGATTAATACGTTTGGCATTTCCGCCAGTTCCTTGCTATCTTTCAACTTGAAGTTGACTCTCGTCTTCGTCTTTCGTCTTTGTGATGGAAACGGGCTTTTGTGCTACATAATTGCCAACTTAACGGGCGTTATCACTCCACATTTATACATACATACAACCAACCATATACATATATAAATTTATACTTACATCAATATATGACGTGATTCTTTTCTCTATTTGCTATATAGGTGGAGTTGGCCTTATGGGATACAGCTGGTCAGGAAGATTATGACAGACTGCGACCGCTGAGTTATCCAGACACTGATGTTATACTTATGTGTTTCTCAGTGGATTCACCCGATTCGCTAGAAAATATTCCCGAAAAATGGACGCCAGAGGTAAATAATAGACAATAATATATGTATGTATAAATGTTATTAATAATCATTTGTTTATTTCAGGTCAAACATTTTTGTCCCAATGTTCCCATCATTTTGGTAGGCAATAAGAAAGATTTGCGAAATGATCCCAACACAATTCGGGTAAGAAATTTGGATTAGTTAAAAGAAATCTTGGATGTCAAATAACTTTTTTCTAAACTTCCACAGGATTTAGCAAAGATGAAGCAAGAGCCGGTTAAGCCGCAGGAGGGACGCGCTATGGCTGAGAAAATTAATGCCTTTGCCTATTTGGAATGTTCGGCCAAGTCCAAGGAGGGTGTGCGAGAGGTATTCGAGACAGCAACCAGGGCTGCACTGCAAGTTAAAAAACGGAAGAAGCCCAAATGCCTTTTGCTCTAAAAGAGCAAATATCAAATTCTATACAAACACAAGGAAACACACATACACACACCCACACACAAACACAAGCACACACCTTTTTACAAGAATAACAACTATTGGAATCAGATAGCATGGGGAATCCGGCAACAGCAACGCAACGCAAATACAGCAACAACAACAACATCAACAAACAGCAAATATTGCTTTAGCAACATACAACACACGCAACAACATCAACAGCAAGATGAAAGTGAAGATGAAACGGGCAAAATGTCAAATGCGGATTTGATTTTATATACAGTCTAGAGTAGTTATTAACAGAAGTAAACAACAATAATAAATATCGCATTATTATTATTATTATTTGTAACTCTTGACGGCGTCAAAAAATCAGTCAACACTCAACCAATCAACTATCAATACATACTTACTCGTATATATCTATATACACACACCTATGTATATGCATACTATACTATATGTCCTATATATATATATATCATCGTATCCGTTTGATTTTGAGATTAAAAGCCAAACAACAAAATATCTACAAGCATTACTAAAGGTGTGTGTGTGTGCGTGTGTGTATGTGTGCTGTTGCATGCGCTTATATGTGTTCGCGTGTGTATGTGTGTGTTGATTAGTGATGATGCAGTTATTCATATTTTTTTCAAAGTCTTAAGGCATATACATATACAAATATTCTGATAAACAGACAACAAACAAAAAGAGAGCCTAAAATGCAAGCATTCATAAACATACCAATTACAACTTTTTTGACTCTTATATATATATATATATTATATATTCAAACAGAGACCGCCAATAAACTAAACAAAATGATAACAATATATATGTATATAAATATATACATATATATAAATACTACTTTGCAAACAATTACACAAAAAAAGAAATGATTAAACATAAGCCACAAGTGACAGATGCATTCAAATTTTTTCAATGTGCAAATGCAAGTTCAGAGTTTTTAATATTTGTATTTTGCATTAAAAAAAAAATGAAAAAAAAAACCACAAAAATATAAATTAGCGTATTTTATGATTTTATAAAATACCAATCTATATATATATACAGTACATATATGTATGTATGTGTGTATGTCTCTTTTTTGTATTTTGTACCGTCAAAAATCGTGTAAAATTCTCATACAAAAAAACTCAATGCTATATATATACATATGTATGTATGTATATGTATATTTCTATATATATGTATATATACATACATATACATATACTATTTTCTACAGTTACTATATTACACAATTTAAACAACAGATGAAAGAACAAATGCGTCGAAAGTAATTGTAAATTTGTGCATTCAAAAGTTTTGCTTCCTATACAATAACAAAATAAATAAAAAAAAAAAAAAAACAAATATTAAATATGCAGAAGAAGAAAGAAAACAAAGCAAATACACATTTTACCAGATTACCAAAATTAACAAGAGAATATATATGTGTGTATGCATATATACATATGCATATGTAAACCAAAAAACAACAAAAATCATTTCTTTTCAAAATTAAAAAAAAAAAAGAATATTTTACTAAATAAATAAATAAAGAAAAAAATAAAAAAAAAAAAACGATAAAAATCAAAATTTAAAATGTTTTTCTTATTGGGCGAGGGCAATAATGATTTATTTTTTAATAAACATTTTCATTTATTATCTTGTTTCAGAGCTGTAAAAGTTAGCAAGATAAATATGAAAAAAAAAAATTTGAAATACTTTTTTATATTTTACAAAAATTAGAAAACAATTTATTCTTGTTCAGATAAAAGAAAAACACTAATTTTAACGGGGGTTCCAAAAATCTTTATTGGTATTCTTTTTTTTCCTTTTTTTGTTTTATCGTTTTCATTAATTTCTTGTACATTTAAAATGTAAGAATTAAATAGTGAAATGACCGAAAGAAAACAAAAAAAATCGTTAGCATTGGCCAGCTGGAATTACCAGACTTGTGCATCTATTTTAATACTCGCGTTATAGCTACTAACTTCTAGTTTCTTTATTTTTGTCACGTTTTTCGTTTTATTATTGTTTCATGGGAAATAATCGTAATCGTATGTGATATTTAACATTTTTATAATTTTAGAATTATATTATATATATAAATATTTTATCTTGGTTTTCTTTTATATATATATGTATATATATTTATTTATTTATTTTATTTTTTTTTGGAAAGCTTGCTTTCAATATACCCGCATTCAATTCAACTGACAAATAGAACTAAAGTTTAAACAACATTTACAAAGTTTCGTTTAGCTCGTCATTCGTTTGGTTATGCTTAAACAATAAAAAACATACAAATTATTCAACGCCTGTTAACAATTTTCAATTGTTATATTTCATTCTCGTTTTTGTTTTAACAAATTGTGTAGACTGTAATTAAAGCCTTGTGCTATGATGTAGTCGCAGTAACATTGATGTGAGGAACTTATGGTGATGCTTAGCGAAGGGCATAAATGTAATTATAAAGTATTTAACAAAAAATAAATAAACTTAGGCAAGTTAACAATTAAACAAATGTCAATGTATACGACATTTAAAAGAAATAATATTAATAACATTTAACAATGGATTTGCATATCAATCAATCGATCAATGTTTCAATCGTCAATCTGTGTTTAGTATACATCTGCGTTAAATTCAACATTTATTCGATTAGTTAATGTGCGTACGTTAATCATCATTATAATTATGATTATAATTATAATAATAATAATAAGAATAATAATACATGCACATAATACACTGTTAACACTTTCCTCACTTCTGTTGGACAGTTTAAATTGTTTTTATTTCTTTTGTTGTTTTGGCGACTTAAAGCTCTCTATGACCTTAATATATATCTGTCTATATATATATATATATATATATTTATATGGGTCTATATAGCTACCACTATTGGCTGCAGCTAGGACTCAGTTTTGTATATCGTTTCGTTATTATTATTATTTTTTTGATTTAACATTATTGCTATTATCATAAATTTTGCATATGGTTCTCTTTGCTTCGGTTGCTGTTTGTTTAAATTTTAAATGCATTTCATTTAGTTTTGTTTTTGGTTTTCGTGTTTTGCCAATTGGTTTTCTGTTTTCTGTTAGGAATCAACATTTCTTATTAGTTATACTAGATACGTATATATACGTATGTGCATTGCTATATAATATTGTATCTTTCGAATTCGTGCTTAAAACATATTTTTGATATACATATCTTTCTCTCTATATATATATATATAAATAAATATATATATATATTTATATTCTCATATCAGTGTGCACAGCAGCACCTTAACAATACAAATACAACAAATACAATGTGGCATGGTTAACAAATGACAAAAATAAAACAAAAAACAATTCAAATTAAAACAATTAACAAAAGCTTTGTAAGTCCAAACAGAATGTCACTTAGTTGTTGTCCTTAACACTTAGAATAGTTTAACGCGTTTCCATAAATTCATTTGTTTTCCAAAAATGATTAGACACAAACATATTTGATTTTGTGTGCCACATACAAATCGTACATATATATATATAGCTCATATATATATATATAGTAAAACGCATTGGATAAATATTGCACTTGCGAACCGAGGAATTTGATTTTGTTTCATTTCATTTTCTAGTTTAAATTTCGCCTGCGTCGAAAGACCAGTGCGAATATGGATCTGATGCGCCACCAGCGACTGCGATGTCGCGTGTGTATCTTCTCCGAGCTGGTATCTGTGCCCAGTGCCTTTTGCATCTCTTTACGGCGGATTTCGCGCACCAGCGTATAGAATGCCTCGTCGATGTAGTGCCTCAGTGCAGCGGATGTCTCGAAGAATGGGCAACCGAATTGATTGGCCAAGTTTTTGCCCTCCTCGGTGGTGACACGTCGCTGAGATTCCAAATCCACTTTGTTGGCTATCAACACCAGCGGTATGTCCTCGGATAGACGGACGCGTGTTATCAATTTGCGATATTCGGATGCCTCCTGAAAGCTGTGGCGATCGGTAACCGAATAGCAAATGATGAAACCTTCGCCGCAGCGCATATATTGGTCCCGCATGGCCGTAAACTCGACCTGGCCAGCAGTGTCGAGTATGTCCAGCAGAGCGGCCTCATTGTCAATTACCGCCTGTTGCTGATACGAATCCTCTGCACACACACAAACACGCGCACGCACGCACACATTGAGAGAGAGCATGTAACAAAGAAAAGTTCAAAGGTGGAACGAACGAGCCGAAAGAGAACACACTCACCAATTGTGGGGTCATGGTAGTCCAAAAAGCTGTGACTGACGAACTGCAGGGTAACAGCTGTTGTCCGTGTATCCATGTGTGAGTGCGAGAGAGGGACAGAGAGAAAAGAGAGCATATGTTAGTATGTATGTGTGTGTACACGCAAAGTTTGCCGAACGCACGAAGCGAAGCATTGGGGGTTGATTGTGGGTGGTTTGTTGTGTGCCGTAAAACAAAGTGTAAAAGAAATTCAGATAATTTATTGATTTTTCCCATAGACGGCCAGACGTACTAGAGTAAAATGCGCAGCAGTGATTGGAGCCGCCAGCAGCAGATAGAACACTTACCAGACTTTCCGACACCGCCATCGCCCAGTATGACGATCTTGTAGACCCGCAAGCCGCCACGCATATTCTGTGGTGCACTGGGTGGTTTGATTAATAGGCCACTATTATGGCCATTTTCTTTGCGCTCGTTTGGCAGCTGCATGGAGTCAGTGTCGGTGCCGCTGGTGCAGCTTTTTAGTTTTGTGGATCGTTTGAGAGCGGCACAGCCAATGGACATGTCTCCGGCCATAGCTGGGAGGCGTTGCTCCCCAAATTGCTCTAAAAGGCGTGGCTAATTTTGATCTGTTGCGGTCGCCGCCGTCGCCGCCGCCGCCAACACCAAAATTGTGCGTAGTTTGCAGCGCCTGGCCTGTAAATGTCAAACAGCTTAGTTGCAGTTTGTCCACAATTGTTTTTCATTTTATTTTTATTTTCCTATTTTTATTGCAACTTACCACAACTTTGCACTTGGCCCGGAATCCTACAACGGCTTTTGTTGACTTCAATTTCAATCGTATCTATACATAATTGTGATGGGTTGTTTTCCCTCGTTCCGTTCTATTTTCTTGTTGTTGTTTTTTTATGGTGGTATCAATGTGTGACCAGCTCACGGCAACATCTTAAAATACTAAAAATACTAAATGTTAGATAAATTATTGACAGTTATTGTGAAGGGGAATGTAAAATTATAGCAAAGGACGCATAGCGTGTGATTAGTCCATTGACTCCTATAATTATAAGAATTTCTAATATAAGATATGCAGGTGATCGATTTGCAAATCGTCATTTAAATATTAATATTATAAATTCTAACATATAACATGCTGTTATTGTAAAGGACAATGAGAGTGCGCCAATAAGACCAATTTCACATATACTATCGGAAATGCTGTGTCACGCAAGAGACCACACTGTAAGCGATTAATCGGTAACAGCTATGATGCTATAAAAATGTTACTATACACTAACTGAATTTTAAAAGAAAAATATTCCTGTCTCTTATATATCTTGCACACAATATGACATTATTTATGAAAATTTCATTTCCCGATACTCCCGTATAAGTAAAGAAAAGCTCAACCACTAATGCCGCCGGTATGCCTGCCTGCCTGCTTGCCAGACTAGCGGATCGCTCGTTTTAGTTACGTGCTGCGATCGCGGGTGAGCTGATCGCGCTCGCGTTCCGTTCCGACAACGACACCTACACCGAAAAGCAGAGAAAATTAAGAAGAATAGAAAATCTGGGAAGAAGATAAAATATACAGTGGTGCTGAAATCAAATACGGCCAGCAAAATTGGCATTTAGCGAGCTTCAAGCCAATTGAATTATGTCGGGCGACGTACAGCCACGAAAGCGTAAGGATAAGCGCAAAAGACGTGGTAAGAGATCAGCTCTGGCTGGCATATTCGCATCAAATTGAAAACTAAAATGTTTTCTAGCGTAGCTGTCCATTTCTTTTATTAGAATAATAATATTGTCGAGCGCCTTTAAAAATAACTTTGCCCTATTATATAAAATTATACATTGCTCTGTGCCGTTTGTGTCGCTATGCGTGTGCCAAGCAAACTATAGAAATATATATAGAGAAGCTAAAATATATACGTATATATGAATAAAAATTTATGATTTCTAAATGTTGCTACTAATACAATATATTTATATATATAATATTTCTAAGATTCTTGTTGGGCCCATGTGACAGCGGGTTCAAAAAATTCATTTGTCTCCAATAAACCAAATCTGAATTGGTATTTTTTTTTTTTTTTTCGAAAAAACGGCTTGTGTTTATTTAAAGCCTGAGCAGATGTTAGATAAAAGTGTTGTTATCTTTTGCTCAGGGCAGCATAAACAAAAGCCGGTAGTTTGCCTCGTTCGCTGCGCTTCGTTTGCTGCTCGCTGCTAAGTTTGCTGTCTTTAATCTTAAAGCTTTCATTTGGAATTACGGCATCGGGCCATGAGAATTTAATTGAAATTGTAATTATTATTAGCTGCAATGTTATTAATTTGAATGCGCCAAAGTCAAGAGACTTCCGTAATCAGACATTTTATCGCCCCCACCACAAATGAGAGTTTTGCCATCATATACACATAAAATTACACGCACTCACACAGGCACATAGCGAGTGTGAGAGAGAGAGAGAGAGGCAAATACTATGGACTCTGTACAGTTTTTCTTTTATTTTCATTTCAATTTTCTTTTACTTTTTGGCCATTTGCCCAAGCGCATGACTTGCGCCTTCTTTGTTTTGCATCAACATCAAACAAGAACAACAACAACAATAACAAACAAACAACAACAACAACAACACCTATAAAAACAACTTGAACATATCTCTCTCTCATCATTATCTTTTTAAGAGAGTTTACGTTATCATTGTATGTTATATACCCTGTAAACGTTGTCATATTTGTGTGCGTAACGGGGTAGTATGATTATGTGCGTATGCTTGTAACAAGTCACTCAAAATTGTGTAAATTAAATGTAAATTATAGAAACAAAATTGTAAAAAATGGTATATAGAAACAAAAATTGTATTGATGTATAAATTAGATAATTCAGTCAAAAATACAACCCATATAGTAACATACAACTGTCTACAGGGTATTCGCAAGTCGGCCATGTTCGACTATTCAGTTGCTTTAACAAGTGTAACTAACTTTTTGTCTAGATGATCGCAAATCGGAGGGCGATGTCACCATACTGCGCCAGTCCAGCTTTCAAGGTAGAGAGCTGCATACAATGCAGTCTATATATATTATATACAGATCACATATCTTATGAGCCCCGCCAATGCAGCTTTATAATTCCAATTTAGCAACTAGTATTAACTAACGTTTCGTTGCTTGTACTAAAAAACAAAAACACAAACCTTCAACCTGACTGCGGTTAATCAACTAAATTCTAATCACATATGTATGTGTGCGTGTGTGTGTGCATTTGTATGCATTCATTTGTTATCTAGATGACGACGACTCGTCTTCCCATGGCGTGCATATCACAAAGATGGGAAACGATGATGTGCATTTGCACGTGCAGCATCAACATGGAACTGGCGGGCATTGGTGTGCCAAGATTATATTCTTCTCCCTAATGGCAGTGCTGCTAGGACTGGTGGGTCTGATTATAATGGAAAATCGTGGCATAGAGGACTGTAAGTAAATAAATAAATACATATGTACACATATGTATATATGATCATCATAATCAGCCACAAATTATGATCACTTTGCAGTGGATACACCCTTATCGGAGTCACGTTATTCCAACTATTTTGATGGCTGGGTGGAGGAGCATCGTGCGGAGGAGCACGATGAACACGATGAGCATTTGTCATCACATGAAGCTGCTCTGGATGAACATGACGATGAACACGATGATGAAGTGGAAGAGCCATATGAACAGCAATCAGGCGAAGCAGAGGAAGCAGAGCAAGAACATGACGAAGATGATGAGGAAGACGAGGAGGAGGAAGAGAATACTGCCGCTGAAAATGTAACAGCTGAGGATGATGATGAAAAAGATGAGGTAAAGTATGAATCTAAATGACGTAGAATCGAATATAAAGTTTATTGAACATTTATGTATTTTAAATAATTTTTTTTTTCAGGATGATGACATAGAAGAGTCTGTAGATAGAACTCAATCCTTGGCCGATGATGCTGAAGAGGTATAAACAGCCATTAACAAATAAGAGTTTTACAATTCAAAGTTTCGATTTAGGAGGAAGAAGAAGCTGATGAGGAGGAGCAGGAGGATGCAGATGATGACATTGAAGAGTCCATTGAGCCAATCGCATCCAAGTCAAGAGCTCAGAGTGCGCCCGAAACAGTTGAAGAAGAAGATGAAGAAGATGATAATATTGAGGAGGAAGAGGAAGAGGAGGATGAAGACGAGGAGCAAGCAGAATCTATTGAGCCAACGATTTCAAAATCTCAGGCTGCTGATGATGATGATGATGAACAGGATAATGATGAGGTATAAACACCTATCTGATAATTATAACAAAAGAGCTGCTATTAAATAGATTCTTCAACAGGATGCTGCGGAGGAGGAGGATGAAGAGCTTGAAGAATCTGCGGAGCCAGCAGCACAAAGTGTTCCCGATGATGATGACGATGAATTCGAGCAGGTTGGCATAAGATAACTAAGTTGCCAGCTGTGCATCAGACTTAATTATTATCATCACAGGCTGACAATGATGAAGATGAATTCGAATCCCTCGATCAAGATGTCGATACTCAGACTGAGCAGCTAAAAGCCAAGGAAGTGAATGCTCAGGCAGCTGAAGAGAACATTGAGGCAGTTACAACCACATCCTGGCTGGGCTCACGTAAGTATCCAAGCGACATTTAGGCAGCTCCATTGAACGGTTTAGATGTGCAGGTGGCTCCACTTTGAAAACGAGAAAACAGAAATATATTTGTAAAATTACATCAAATTTCTATAGAACAAAAAAAATTGTACAAGAAAGTGCAAAGCGAGAATTTATCTAGACTTAAAAAATATATTTATATATTTTTATTTATATTTTTGTGTTAAAATTGCGAAGCAAATTTGTTGTTTACTAAAAGAAACGTAAATCATTTTCCAGTTGCCGTTAAATTTGGCGTTGGCATTGCACTTGCCCTTGTTTCACGCCTTGTATTGATACGGAATAATCCAAATACAAGTGAGTTTTCCACATTTGTTGCTAAATGCCAAAACAATTGTTATCCAAGCAATGCATTTTGTTAACGTAACTCCTATATATCATCATATCTGCTGCTTACCTTAAAGAAACTGCTCTAAAACAAATCGAAATCGAAATCGAAATCTCATTTGGCCTAGCAAAATATTATTATACATACATATATTACGTATTTGTACATATGTATGTATATATGTAAATTAAAGCCTCTGTTTACACAGATCAACAATATTTAGGCTGAGTCTAATTCTTGTTGATGTGTGTACTTAAAATATATATAAAAAAAAAAAAAACTACTCTCAATGTTGTATGGAAACGTAATGTGAAACCAATTGTTAATCAAATGCCTTTCTTCTCATGTTGCTGTCAAATTATTTAACATGTACAGTGCTGTATGACTCGAAAAACACGTGCAACTGATTTAATTTCTACACTAACTATTTTAACTTAACAACAAAAACCAAAAATCTGATTCGAATATTGAATATGAAACAAAAAAATTTGCACTTTCTTCATTTGTTGTTTTTTTAATTTAATTTATAATTTTCGTTGTTAGATCTAAGCTTAATTGCAATTTTTTGTTGTTTTTTATTGTAGTCAAAGCTTTGTTAAAACTCTTAAACAATATGCGCCAATGTATGTATGTACACTTAATATTGTATGGCTTTGTTGTTAATGCCTGAAAACTCTCCATATCGATATGCACACCTATATATACCCTATAAACTAATTTCTTAGCCGATGAGCAACAGCCGACGCCGGAGACTCAAATGAGACGCCGTTTGACCATTGCCACAGCCGAGGATCATATACCCGATGATGATACGGAGGAGCTGCCGCCGTTAGATGATGGTTGACATAACATACTATACTAGATACAATATTTATATCGAAACTTCGGTCTGGCCGAAGTTGTTTCCAAATAATTTCAAGACAGACTCGGCTTGAAGCTATTTAGAACTTTATTCGTTTAGGCGCTTTTTTTTTGGGTTATTTCATATTTTAATGATTGCCCTATTTCCACTAAAGAGGCGTATTCAGAGGAGGAAATCGAAATCGAGGAGGAAATCGAGGTGGAGAGCAGCGATATAGAGGAAAGCAATGATAATGTTGCTCTAACGGCCAGCTATGTGCCGGAGACTTTTGAGCAGCTGAATGCCATGTTCCGGTCCAAAACGGAGTCGCAGCCAAGCGCGAAGGAGTCAAAGAGAGAGCCGGAACCACAACCGGAACCGGAGGAGGAGGCAGAGCGAGAACCGGAAACTGAACCAGAAGCCGAAGGAACAGCTGCCTCAGATATTTATGTGGAATACGAGGATGGAGACATTGAGGATTACGAACACGACGACAGCGAAGATGATGATGAATTGATCAGCGATGAGGAGGAGGATGAAATCTCCGATGTGGATGATGCTGACCTAATGAGCCGCTTGGAGGCCAAATATGGCCGATTGCCAGCCAAGGAATACGAAAGCGATCCTGATTCCGACGATCCGTCCTGGACACGTAATTACTAAATGTACAATTTACACCAAAAGAAAAAAAAGATAAAAGAAAAACAAATCGAATCAGTCTACAAAGCAAAGCTACAACCAGTTCATCCCACGCATTGATAAATTTGACATATATATGTATTTATATATATATCTGACATATACATAGACACGTATTATAATCTCTAAAGTTAATTCGTTCATGGCATACGTTAATCTAATCATAGTAAGTCATAGTCTATAATCGAATTGCTAATCTTACGTCTAAGGTGGAGCCCAACACACAAATTAACCGTTCAGTGGTGTCTTTAATCTTAAGACTTTCTCCTTCTCCCATTATTGTGCATTTCAATCAAATTTACAAATGTTTCTCTTATCAGAAATTAAACCCAAGGAGCCAACTGGAGCCAAGTCGGTTGAGGACGAACTATTCGAGCAAGAGCTGCGCCAAGCTCAAGCCGAAATGATCAATGAGGTGAGTGCGACATCTAAATTTGCCAGACAGCAACGCTAATCTTTCCAATACTTTTTCTAAAATTAGCTCAACTATCATTAAAAAAAAACACACACAACTTAAACAAAAGTCCTTTCATAGCTTTAATTAATGTTCGCTTTTTAAGTTCATGTTTTTAGTTTTTAAGTTTATTTAATTGTTTATTTATTTATTTTATTTTATTTATTTATTTATTTTTTTGTGAAATTTTAAAAAATAAGAAAGAAATTTAATAGCGAAGTGAAAGAGAAATTGAATATACACCAATATTATTATAAAGATTTTCGTTTAGGAAAATAAAAACATTTTTGCCGTAGGGCTCAAATTTCAGTTCTGCTGTAGGTGATAGAAACACCCACCTAAAGCTTACAGCCCCTGACAGCGAACCTTAAGGCAATTATGTTTTTGACTAAAAAATTACAAGAAATTTTGAAGTTTTGATTTTGAATTAATTTATAAATATTTAACATTTTTAATTTATTAAGTTAAATTCGAAATTGAGGAGTCTTTGAGTATTTAAATTGTACATTAAAGATTAGTAGTTCATAGTTATAAACGAATTTTAACAGCTCTTAATTAACCCCATATTGTCTTTTGAGTGTAAGACATGTTTACAGGGTATTTGCTAGTCGACTCGTTTACGTTTGTTGTTACTTGAAATGCTTTTATCCTCTTGTTTGCTAATTCTCGCTTTCTTTGCATGTTTTTTTCTTAACAAAAATAAAATATATAAATGCCAACGCCTAACACTCAGAACCATGCGAATGCTCTGCGCGCCTTTAACACGCTCACACACACATACGCACACAAGCCGTTGGCTCATTTAAGGCGGGCGCAGGCGCTGGAACGGATCGCCGAGCTGCGCCGCAGCAATCAGCTGCTTGTGGATGCTGTTGAGTCCTATAAGCGATATTTGGCTTTCAATGAATCGATAACAAATTTCGACTATCGCACGGCTGGCGAACGTTGCATTGAGCATATGCGGTTTCTGGGTGAGTAACTGTTACAGTTTCACATTCAAATTGAGATTCCATAAAGATTAACTCTTCCCAGGTCAGACACAGCCGGCGGTTGTTATACACGAGCTGCTCATCGAGCGTTATCCGGATGAGGTGCAGCTGCGCAATCAGCTATCGCTTACCTATCTAATGTCCAATAAGTAGGTGTGTGACAAGGTTTACAAGCTGCTGGCTGAGTGTTTATCAAAAATCTCTTTGCAGTTTGCTTAAGCTGCAGCAGGTCGCGCGCGATACGCTCAAGCGCTGGCCACGGGATCCCTTGGCGCAGCTCTACTTTGGCCTGACGCTCAAACAGGTCGATGGCGACTATGCCCAGGCACTGCACTATTTACAGCGAGCCATAGATTCGCAGGCGGCGGGCACTCAGGAGCCGTACTTCTATCTAGCGCTGGGCGAGACGCTGCAGCGTCTAGGCAAACAGGCTGAGGCCTTGCAGCTATATGCGCGCGGTGTGAAGAGGGGATACTTTGCCAGCGTCTATCAGCGTTCGCTCTACAATGTGCCGCGACTGCGTGCGAAACCCTTTTGGCAAATTGCAGACACCGATCAGGCCCAGGAGCTGAAGCAGCTGCAGCAGAACTGGCGTTCCATACGCAACGAGGCGCTGGCGTTGCTCAATGTCGAAGGCAATTTTCAGCTGGAGGCGGAGCAGCTGCGCGACACGGGCAACTGGCAGCAATTCGAGCTTTACGCCCGTGGGCAGCGGCTACATCGCAACTGCCAGCGAGCGCCCATCACGTGTGCGCTGCTCGAGAAGCTGCCAGCTGCCAGCGGCTGTCGACGTGGCCAGATCAAGTTCAGCGCCATGCATGCACAGACTCATGTCTGGCCACACTGCGGACCCACCAATTGCCGACTGCGTGCGCACCTCACGCTGGTGGCGCCGGAGCCACACTTAACTAGTCTTCGGGTGGCCGAGCAAGAGCGGTAAGATGTAATCATGTGTATCACACGGCTATGCAATTTACAGGATATCTATATACAGTACACTAATATTCTCTCTCTTTCTTTTGATAGCACCTGGCATGAGGGCGATTTGTTCATCTTTGATGACAGCTTCGAGCACGAGGTCTGGCACAATGGCACGCAGCTACGTTTGGTCCTGATCCTGGACCTCTGGCATCCCGACTTAACTGCCCAGCAGCGAAGCCAACTGACGCCCATTTAACCGCTAACTAACTTAATAACTAACTCTTGTTAATATTTTTAACCAAAAGCAACCAAAGTCAATGCACGCTCACTCACTCTAGTTATTTTGTTACATACTTCACATAGATTTATTTGTACATCTTATCTGATAAGTTTACTTTGTACGAATGCGCGTTTAGCTGTAAAACACAAATGTCTAATGTCTAAGTCTAAAAACTTAATGTCTGCTTGGTTGGCAGCGTCTTTTTACTGTTAAGTTAAAAAAACAATTTATAAAATACAGTAAAGTTTTCTGATTGAAAAAAAACCCGTTGCTTCTTATTTGGGGTGTGTTCCGACCATTGTTATAAATTCTATAGATAATAAGTTATTTTTAGGTAATTAATAGCAAATGGACTATAAATATTAGCTATTAAATAAATTACTTTAAATATATTATTAAGCTGACAATGGACTTGAGTTTTCTTTGCTAAAATTTATAAATATATATAAATATATAATATAAATTAAATAATATATCATAAAATATAAAATTCAAGTTAAATATAGTATTTCTGATAAACTGTTCGTGCACTTTAGGTAACGCCCCTGGGGGCACCAGAACATGCAAAGCTCGCATCGAAAAGGTATATAAAAGCAAGCAGCTATTAGAATATTTTAATGTCTTCATTATAATGCGATTCGAGATGACTAAAACTAATCTGTGGGGCGCTCTCTGTTTAGTCTTACTCTCAACCATTGGCTACATTCAAGCGGATTTGGATGTGTGCCTGGAGGATTTGGGTTGCCTGCATGGCACCCTGATGCCGGACTCCAGGCAGGAGCAGTTCGAAGCCTTTATGGGAATACCATTCGCCCAGCCGCCAATAGGAGAGTTACGCTTTAAGGTGAAATAGCTGAGATAGAGTAGTTCCTGGTAATACTGATTATCCTTGCAGAATCCTGTAGCAGCAGGAGCCTGGACGGGTGTCCTGGATGCCAGCACGCCACGTAGCCATTGCCTGCAAAAGAATTATTTCATGCCTGGCTGGCATGTCTCTGGAGAGGAGGATTGTCTCTATCTCAATGTCTACCGACCTGTAAGTACAATCAGTAATAATAGAGCATGAAACGTTTATTCTATTTGGTTGCTTGCAGCAAGGCGTCGCAGGTCCTTTGCCTGTTATGGTCTACTTCCACTTTGGCGGATTTTTCATTGGCTCCGCAAGTCCTTTGGCCGTCGGGCCGGAGTTTCTCATGGACACGCAGCAGGTTATTGTGGTTACAGTTAGCTATCGATTGGGTCCATTTGGTATTGGAGGAAATCTAATTAAAGTTAATAGCTATTTAATTAGAATATTCCTTCCGTAGGCTTCCTGAGCACTGGAGATGCTCACATGTCTGGAAATTTCGGTTTGAAGGATCAGCGCTTGGCTCTGCAGTGGGTGCAGCAACATATCTCGTCCTTTGGCGGCAATCCGAATCTGGTGAGCATCTTTGGCCACAGCGCGGGTGGAATATCCGCGCACCTGCACATGCTGAGTTCCAGCTCAAAAGGTAAGTCGATCTGGAAGGAATTTGTTCCTTCATCTGGCTTTCCCATTACACAGGACTCTTCCACCGCGCCATGTCCTTGAGTGGCACGGCGATGATTGTGGCTACACTGCTAGACAATCCACTTGAACAGGCTCAACAGCTGGCGGAACGTGTGGGCGTGGCTAACGCCAAAACCCTAGACACACAGGCGTTAGCCGAAGCTCTACGTGTATTGGATGCCAACGACTTACTGAAAGCCAGCGATGTCTTTAAGCAATGGGATAAATTACCCCAAATAAACTACGGCGTGGTTGTGGAGCAGCCAGATGCACCCGAGCCCTTCATTACCGAGTGTCCCATTACGGCACACCAGGCCGGACGCATCAACCAGGTGCCCTGGCTGCTGAGCAGCACCTCGCGAGTTGGCGAAGGCGCGTTCTTCCTCATGCACATCTATACGACTCCGCAGCTGCTGAAGGAGTTCAATGAAAATTTCCTGGAGCTCTTTGGGCTGATGCTGTTTCTGCCCAAGGGCCACACCAAGGAAACCGTGCAAGAAATCCTGGAAATCTATGGAGTGAAGGAAATGCAACTGAATGAGAATACATTGGTGGATATAGCGGGTATTGTGGGTGACTTTATGTTCAATTACCCGGTCTATGTGTGTGCCGCCAGCTACGCGGAATATTCCAAGGAGCCGGTTTCCATTTACAGCTTTGAATACACCAGCAATAACACGTTTGCCGCCATACTTGGAGGCGGACTTGTTATGGAGGAGCTCGGCGCATGTCACATGGATGACGGCGTACACACTCTGAGAATGTCGGCAATGTTTCCTGATTTTCCCAAAGATTCTGAAGATTACCAGGTAGCCAAGCGTATGACTTCCGTTTTGGTGGAGTTTGCCAAGAATGGGTAGGTTCAATGGAGGTTCGGAGCAATTCCTAACTGTGTAATATTTATATATATATTATATTTCAGCGCTCTCCCTGACGACACCCATTTACAGCCCTGTAAATCTGAAGAGTTTAAGGATGATGAGATATGCAACTACTTTGTCATGGGAAAATTAAATGGAGCCTATCATGAGGCAGTTGAAAAACGTGTGAATAAGCGCGCATTGGCTATGTGGAAGAAGCTCTACCTATAGACCAAATATTAAAACATATGAATAACATTATAATTTTAGATTAGTCGCTATTAGAATAGTCATTACTAAAGCAATATTCTATTGTCATTCTACAGCTATTATCAATAAATAACAAAATCTAGCTAAAACAGGGTATAAAAAACTCTAAACTTTACTTTACACTATGAGAATCGCGGAGTAGAGCGCTGGGCAAGCCACTGCAGTGTCTGAGCAGCTATATAAATGCCGCGGGTTACTTCATACAATTGGCCTATATAGACTATTATACCCTGAGCTATAGTTACACAATTAGTCTGAATGAATTATATAGTTAATATGTAATTTATTACAAGTTAACAATAAATCAACAATGAACATTGAATGAACTTATTGAATAGCTTGCCTTTATTTCGAAGTATATATTATATATTTAATTTGCATTTACAGAAATATAAAATCAAGAATTGTATTCAAATGGAAAATCGGGTTTTGATATATTTTATAATAGGCTGTTTTAGTTTTCCTAAAAGCTTGTTACAGTAGGTAGAACTGCAAGAAAATTGCTAAAAAGAATATTTATATATATATATATGTTAAACATTTTGTTTGTGTAACTGAAATATAAATGTATACACAAAGAAAACAAATTGAAAGATAATAAACAAATAATTGTAAATGTTAAAAAATCAAATCTTTTATTTTAACAGAATATTTTATTATAATAATATTTATATAAAATTAGTAAATTAGTAAAAAATTAAAATAAAAAAAAAATAAGTAAATTAGTAAAAAAATAGTAATTATTTTAACAGAATATTTTATTACAATAATATTTATATAAAATTAGTAAATTACGATAATTAAAAAAAAATATATATATATATAAAATAAATACAAAATTAGTAAATTAAGATAATTAAAATATTGTAGTATATTTAAAATAAGAATAATCAAAATAAAACTAGGTATGTGCGATAAATAAATCATATATCATAATAAATTGCATAAAGAAATATAAAATAATTCGTTTTTGTTTTCTGTGCAAATGGAAATCGCCTGCAAAGCTGATAAACCAATCGTAAACACGATTTAACAAATATATAATTTGATTTGAAATTGAATATGATTGTTTTTTGGTAAACGGTTTTTAGACACGCCCCTTGAGGGAATTGAACATGCAAATAGTTCGAATCGAAGCCTATATAAAGGCATGCAGCGTTTAGAGCATTTAATGTCTTCATTATAACGCGCTTCGAGATGACTAAAACTATTCTCCATTGGATATTACTCTCAACTATTGGCTACATTCAAGCGGATTTGGATGTATGCCTCCAGGATTTGGGTTGCCTGCATGGCACGTTGATGCCGGACTCCAGGCAGGAGCAGTTCGAAGCCTTTATGGGAATACCATTCGCCCAGCCGCCGATAGGAGAATTACGCTTTAAGGTGAAATAGCGGAGATAGAGTAGTTCCTGGTAATGCTGGATATCCTTGCAGAATCCTGTAGCAGCAGGAGCCTGGACAGGTGTCCTGGATGCCAGCGCACCACGCAGCCATTGCCTGCAAAAGTGTTATTTCATGCCTGGTTGGCCCATCTCCGGAGAGGAGGATTGCCTCTATTTGAATGTCTATCGGCCTGTAAGTGGAATTAGAGTAAAGTTCTGCAAACTATTTCTATCTGTGCGCTTGCAGCAAGGCGTAGCAGGTCCTTTGCCTGTTATGGTCTACATCCACGCGGGTGGGTATCTCTGTGGCTCCGCCTGTCCTTTGGCCAGCGGTCCGGAGTTTCTGATGGATACGCAGCAGGTTATTGTGGTTACAGTCAGCTATCGATTGGGTCCATTTGGTATTGGAGGAAATCTAATTGGAGTTGATAACTATTTAATGGATATATTTTCATCTATAGGCTTTCTGAGCACTGGAGATGCTCACATGACTGGAAATTTCGGTTTGAAGGATCAGCGCTTGGCTCTGCAATGGGTGCAGCAACACATTTCGGCCTTTGGCGGCGATCCGAATCTGGTGACCATCTTTGGCCACAGCGCGGGTGGAGTATCCACGCACCTGCTCATGCTAAGCCCCAGCTCAAATGGTGAGTCGATCTGGAAGGAACTTTAGCTAGCTGACTGTCCTCTCCCGCAGGACTCTTCCACCGCGCCATGTCCTTAAGCGGCACTGCGATGCTGGGCACTACCATGGTATACAACCCACTTGAACAGGCTCAACAGCTGGCAGAACGTGTGGGCGTGGCTAACGCCAAGTCCCTTGACACCCAGGCTTTGGCTGCTGCTCTACGTGCATCGGATGCAAACGATTTGCTGGAAGCCGGCAACGTCTTTAAGAGATGGGATAGCGTACCCATAATTAATTATGCTGCAGTTGTGGAGCAGCCAGATGCACCCGAGCCCTTCATTACCGAGTATCCCATTCCGGCACATATGGCGGGACGCATCAACCAGGTGCCCTGGCTGCTGAGCAGCACCTCGAGGGTTGGCGAGGGAGCCTTGTTCATCATGCACATCTATATGAATCCGCAGCTGCTGAAGGAGTTCAACGAGAACTTCTTGGAGCTCTTCGGCTTGATGATGTACCTGCCCGCGGGCCACACCAAGGAAACTGTCCAGGATATCCTGGAAATGTATGGCGTAAAGGAAATGCAGCTGAATGAGAATACATTGGTGGACCTATGCGGCATTCTGGGTGACTTCTTATTCACTTATCCGCTCTATGTGTCAGCCTCCAGCTACGCGGCGTATGCTCAGCAGCCAGTTTCGATCTATAGCTTTGAGTTTACCAGCAAAGTAACTTACGGCGCTTTGCTTACGGGCGGAGTAGTGTTTGAGCAGCTGGGCGCATCTCACTTGGATGATGCCATACACACAATACGAATGCCCATATTCTTTCCAGATTTTCCAAAGGGCTCTGAAAATGATATCGTGACCAAGCGCTTGGCTTCCTTGTTGGTGGAGTTTGCCTGGAATGGGTAGGTTGAGCTGACATTTTTAAGAGGTTCGATAAGGTATATCTATCTACATTATATTTCTATGTATTTATATGTATCTATCCTTGTCCATGTCCATGTTTAACTGCTTATCCATTGTCCCTCATCAATCTTCCATTATCCATTCTTCATTTTCCATTATCCATATATATATTTATCTGCTTATATCATTTCAGCACTCTCCCTGATGACACTCACTTGCAGCCCTGCAAATCTGCGGACTTTACCGCTGATGAAATGTGTAACTATCTCCGTCTGGGGCAATTGAATGGAGCCTATCAAGAGACAGTTGAGAAACGTGTGGATATGCGTACATTGGCTATATGGAAGAAGCTATACTTGTAGAAGAAATCATAAGGCATATGAACAATATTTCAGCATAAGAATAGTCATGGGTAAAACTTCAATTGTCATTCTAAGTTAGTAAACCTCTAAACATGACTTGACTTAATGAGAATCGTAGAGAAGGACATGGGGACAATAAATTATCAGTTATAGCTTCTTCTTCTTCAATAGCTTCTTCTCTAATATATCCAAGTTAGACTCCTACTATCATTGTATCTACAAATCTCATAAATTCCAATATATCTGTAGTACAATCGTCATACCTTTGTTATTTCAGTCCAGGGTATGCATTGCTTTACATGGTATCAAGAGATAATAAATATATTCACGTCAATGAATAGTTGTATATATATGTGCATATATATAATGATAATGTGTCGCCCGCTCCATACGAATATCTTAAGGAATTTGTCTCTGAAACTGTATCTGAAGCTGAAGCTAAAGCAGAAACTGTATCTGAAGCTGAGGCTGAGGCTGAGGCTGCAGCTGCGTTGACCTATTTTGCACTCGAACTCATTCTCAGTGCAGACGAAGGTCAAATGAATTTACATATTGTCCAACTATGGGACGCAACAATACAACTAACTATATATCCGTGCTCAGTCACAATGGAAAGTATGATCCACGCATGCGGAGACAGTGCTAAGCGTGCAAATAGAGCAAGATTTATATTGGAGCATAAGCTGATTATGTGAAGAATAAACAAATAAATATAGAAAGGGTATCGCCCAAAAAAAAGAGAGTGTAGCATAGCATACCCAATGTAGCGCTATTCTTCTCTCTGGTTGACTAATCACGCATGTGATTTATAATTATGAATAACACAATTATCACCATAATAATTAATTATCGAAAATTCGTACACAACAGCGAAGTTCGATATGCGTACATATTGCCGTGGACATGGGTGTATCATGCATATGTAACGCATGTAAGTGAAGAGATTTTTGTACATTTTTGTCTGTTACTTTTCGCCACAATCGTGTAAAGAATTGAAGAGCCACAGAGCATGGACAGCGACGTCTTATCAGAATAACCCAAATCACAGAGAATGAAGCGAGCGCGAGAGAGAGAGTGGGAGAGTGAGAGAGAGAGAAGGAGACAGCAATAGACGCGCAACAGGATAAAAGTGAAAGTGAAACGCCGAGACGATCGTAGTTGTGCTCGTAACCTCTCTGGCTGAGGTTGCAGTTGGAGACAGAGGCTGCTGGGCTGAACGGTGCTGGGATCAGGTATGGGTTGACTTGATTAAGCATACGCCCTGTGTGCCGTGCGGCAGTTGAATAAATTTCAATTGAATATCAAAGCACAGCAACGGCACAAAACAACTTTGGATTCACATATTTCATGTGAGCCACCGTTGCTAAAAGCGTGACAAACACACACACACACACACACACACACACACACACACACACACACACACAGAGCGAACTCAAAGTTTTTCTTATTTATTCATATATATATTCATTTATATTTTTCTTGCATAAAACTGAATGCTTTAGCTTACAAAGCCGTCAGATAAATTTCGTACGCTGCCGTGCTAGAAGCTCGTGCTTAGACGCTTCACTTAGTTACGATCCGGATCGAACTACATCTAGGGTCGATCTCATATTGAGCTGAGCGCGCGCAGAGCCTTCGATTCGTGGGAATAACAATTTCGAGCCGTTGACATCATCGGTAAAAAAGAAGCTCTCATTTATTGATTTTATTTTATTTGTATTTTGTCTAATTCTTTTTTGTTTTATTTTTATTTTCGGGCCATAAACAAATGACTACATCATTTAAATGAGCTATGCATAAAATTAATTACTGTGTCTCGATTTCTTTCGCAGACAAACGATAACTAACCATCTCGGATCAGACATGATTCATGCGGGACTTACTTTACCTATGCTGTCGGTGCTGCTGCTGCTGATGCTGCTCGGCTCTGGCCAATCGACGCCATCAATTGCTGTCGCCCAGAAGGCCTTGATTGTCTGCGGCGGCAGCTTGGGCTGCCTCAAGGGCATCCACATGCCGGGCTATCAGATCAAGCGATTCGAGGCATTTCTTGGCATTCCCTACGCCCTGCCGCCAGTAGGCAAATTGCGCTTCAGCGTGAGTAAATCCTAAACTGCTGTTGACCTTTCAATTTCTTTGAATTGAACTTTTTCCTAAATTTCCCAAAATGTTGTAAACTCATTTAACTCTTATGGAAGCTGCTCAGAGTCCTTAAGTTTCTTAGACTTCTTCAACTCTTTAAAAAGCTTGGTCTCTATAAGCAAATTTAAGTTTCTAGATTTCTTGAACACTCTATGAAGTTTGGTGTCTATATGTAGCTTGGTCTCCTGAAGATGTCTAGCCTTTTAAAAGTTCTTAAACTCTTTTAAGAAACTCTTTTAACTACTGAACTCATTGAACTTCTTCAGGTTTTTGAACTCTTTAAACTTATATAAATATCTAACAATATATATGATTGCTTAAGTTCTATCTAAGAGTTTTGAGAGTTTCTTTTAACTTCTTTTAAGCTCTGCAGCTCTGTAAGTCCATAATATTTTTAGTTTATTAAGGTTTATTAAACTTCTCAATTTTCTTGAGGTTCATTAAGCTCCAAGAAGCGTTTATATCCAGCAGCGTCTTAAATTGTTTCTTCATTCATTTGTTTACACAACTTAAGCTCCATAATTGGAAATTCTAAGACTCTCAATATTCCTTGAACTCCTCAAACTTCTTAACTTCTTAATCTCTGTAATTCAAGCACCTTAAGCACTTCCCACTTCTTAAGCCTCAAGTCTTAAAATTCATTCGACTGCCCAAAATTGCTAGATTATCTAAATCTGGCTTAAGCCCCCTTTGAAACTCCTTTTGTCTGCCATCTAATCTAATTTTCTGCGCCTTCCCAGAATCCCAAAGTGATGCCCAAGCTGCGTGGCATTTACAATGCCAGCGTAGCCAAGCCGGACTGCATACAGAAGAACTATCTGTTGCCCACGCCGCTGATCTACGGCGAGGAGGATTGCCTGTACCTGAATGTGTATAGGCCAGAGGTAAGTGGGGATTCTTCACCCAGCTTGCTCGATTCGGCACTCGGCTAACGAACTCTCACAGCGTCGTTCCAGGCAGCCGCTGCCTGTCATGGTCTACATACATGGCGGTGGATTCTTTAGCGGCTCTGCGGGGCCGCAGCTGACTGGACCCGAGTACTTCATGGACACGGGCGAGGTGATCCTAGTGAGCATGGCCTATCGCCTGGGCGCGTTGGGTGAGCCAAAGATTACAGAGTCTAAGAGTGAATTCCAGTTAAACTCAAACTCTGATTCTCTGCAGGATTCCTGTCCACGCAGGACTCGGCTGTGCCTGGCAATTTTGGGCTCAAGGATCAGCAGCTGGCGCTGCGCTGGGTGCAGCGGCACATCAAGTTCTTTGGCGGCGATCCGCGCCGCGTGACCATCTTTGGCCAGAGCGCAGGGGGCGTGGCCACGCACCTGCACATGCTGAGCAGCAGATCGGCGGGCCTCTTCCAGCAGGCGATCAGCATGAGCGGCACGGCCAATGTGCCCTTTTCCATCGAGCAGGAGCCGCTGCAGCAGGCACGTCGCACCGCCGAGCTGTGCCACGTGGAGAACGCCCAGAATCTGAGCACGCCCAAGCTGGCGCGCGCCCTGCGTGCCGTGGATGTGCAAACTCTGCTCAATGCCGGAGATGGCCTGAAATTCTGGAATGTCGATCACATGTCCAACTACCGCCCGGTGGTGGAGTCCAGCTCCGAGGACGCCTTCCTCTCCGTCCACCCGAAGCAGCTGCTGGCCGAGGGCAGCTACCAGCAGGTGCCCTGGCTGCTGAGCACCGTGCCCCAGGAGGGCGCCGTCCGGGTGGTCAATATAATGGAGAACGTGACGCTGCGCCAGGACTTCAATGCCCGTTTCGATGAGCTGCTCCAGGAGCTGCTCGAGCTGCCCAAGGAGTTCAGCGCGGAGCAGCTGGCGCAGACTATGCAGCTCGTTATCGAAAAGTACTTCCAGAACTCACACGAACTGAACGAGCAGACGGTGCAGGGTTTCCTCGATGTAAGCGAAGGAGGGGGAAATCGAAATCCAAATCGAAAGGGGAAACTTCATTTTCTTTCTCTTCCCTCGACAGCTCATCTCGGACAGGGGCTTCAAGCAGCCACTGTACAATGCCATCTGGCAGCATCTGAGCCCGGTGCACGCTAGCCAACAGCCACTGTACCTGTACAGCTTCAACTACCGGGGCCCGCTCAGCTATGCCTCCGTCTATACCAGCGCCAATGTCGGCCAGAAATACGGCGTCGTGCATTGCGACGATCTGATCTATCTCTTCCGCAGTCCGATGCTCTTTCCCGACTTTGAACGCAACTCGACGGAGGCGCGCGTCGTCGAATCGCTCGTGGGCTACTTTGTGCACTTTGCCAAGTTCGGGTAGGTCTAGTCTAGGCGTTATCTGTCTGTGTGGCGGCCCAGCTCTACAATGTATTGCTTTCATTAACAGCAAACCTAGAAATGCGGAAACACTGACTCGCTGCACGGAAAGCATTCTGGAGTCACGACCCGCAGGCATTTGCGATCATCACGTGTTCGACAATGCGCTCAACGATCCGAAACAATTCGAGGTGAACGTTTCGCAAAATTTCCGCTCAACCAGCGCCAAGTTCTGGAATGATATACTAGGCGAGCCAAAGCGTTACTAAAACAAGAAACAAACAAAACAAAACAAAACTTAATTTATTTAATTTAATAGAATATAAAATTATGCCAACAATTGTTGTTTTTAGATATACAATAGCACAGTCCAATATTTCTATGAATATTTGGATTCATTAAATGGATTTTATGGAATTTATGACAAATTGATTTCATGAATGATAAGCTGATTGAACAATTTGAATGATTGATTGACTGATGAAGTGACTTACGCATTGACTAACTGATTGATTGACAGTCTGGCTGACTGATTGATGCATTAAATGATTGATCGATTGACTGATTGACGGTCTTACCCAACAGCAGCCGATTGTAAATAATAAATTTGATAGAGTTAAATCTTTTCACTACTCAGATTGATTGATTGACCGACTGATTAGCGTTAGCAGCTCCCATCAGCCTGAAAAGCTAGAGCAAGTAACTAGATTAGGTAACTTTTCTACGGTATGAAACGTCAGAGCAACCCCAGTGAGGGCTTCGCTTCTAACACTAGGAATTCCTAGCCAATTACACACGCTTCTTTTCAATAAGTTTTTTTTTTGTTTTTCTTTTATGGCTGGTTGTCTAATTCAATGGGAATTTCATTGGACTGTTTGTAATATTTAAGAATGTGAGTTGAAAGTGTGTCACACTGATAAGAGCGAACTCTCGGTCTATATATAGCGCTGTCCCTGACACGTGCCCACGTTTGGGGCTTTTATGGAAATTTATCGGCTACAATTGCATTGCCTACTGAGATATTCGCCCCATATATATATGTATATACATATATATATATATAGATATATGTATATGTATTTGGATCAGTTCACTTTTTTTTGTTCTCCTTCATTCAAACGTCATATAATTATTGACTTGTGCTTGATTAACATTCATTAGCATATTCGCGACGAGTTATCCGATCTCAAGCTGCGTCTGAGGCTTTCTTTCAACCGAAGCCGGATGATTGAATTGATGAATTGATTGAATTGATTGCTCAATTGATTCATTGCTCGCCAGCCTCCAACGCGTTGCAATGCACTACAACAAAGAGGGGGGCGTGCCACTGGAATAGACCCATTCAGGCGCTAAATGGCAATAAAAACTAAATCAAATTTTATTATAAACTAAGGCAGAAAACGAGTCTCACATTGCGTATACGTCACCCGACACCTGCCGCCCATTAATACAAATATAGAGGAACCAGCTAGAGAGCAACTATTCAAGGCAAGTCGAAGCGGAAATACTCTGAGTCATGCCAAAGTCTGCTAAAGTTCAGATTAATTTAATACAGTTTTAATTAACTAATTCGGTTTAAATAAAATGAAAAATAAATAAGACAAATGGTAGAAATTTTAGGCGAACTGATAAAAATGTGGGGGGAAATTTATAAAGGACAAACGGACGGTTGGATAAAGGGGTGAAAGAACGAACTGGACCAACTAAACTGGGCTGGATCTCCAGTAGAAGGATGCACGGAATGGATAGACTATCTTATGAAAGGATAAACGTACGGATGAACCAACAAACGGACATGAGGAGTAATCAATAGAAGGATGGATGAATAGATGGAAAGACTGACAGACGGAAGAAAGGATAAACCAACAGACGAACTTATAGAAAGACGGAATGATGGAAGGATGCTGGGATAGACAAAAGAAATATTAAGCAGATGGAAAAGCAAAAAGATTAGTAGATATAGGAAACTAAAAAGGAAAGACAGAGTGATAGAAAAAGAGATGAATTGACAAACTACACAAGAAAGTCTAAGAGCCCCCTTACCAATCTCACGATTTTTCAAATAATAACAAAGCTTTCAATAAGGGTATATAACGCTTAGCTCTAAACAGACATTTGAGTAGAGTATCAAGAAATTGTGATTGTTATTTATGCGCGTGAATTGTGATTTAATAAACAATTGAGTTTATTTATTGTCTCGACTGCCTGAACTTTTTGCGAGACGGCAACGATTGATGGCGCCAACGATTGGATTCCACTTGGCCGATCATATTATAATACTGGAGCTGACCAGACGCGACTGGACTTCAGGTAGAGTATTAATTTATCATTGAAGCCTTTTAAGTATTTGGCTCAAAGTTCAGTGGACTGTCTAGGCGTGTTGCACATGCAACGGTTCAGCAGTTCAGCGGTTCAGCGATTTGTGTCAACAGTTATAATCAATAAAGCGAGAGTTCTGGAAGTCCAGTGAGTCCTGTGAGTCCTGTGAGTCCCGTGCAACGACACTTGCTGTCATTAGTTGCCGTTGCGAGTGCGAGTTGACAAGTTCAGCATGAAATTGGCACGGAAAATAGTTCTGTGGATTTTGCCTCTCTTTCTGCTAGGTTTCCTGCTGACCATTAGCGAGGCCTATTTGAACAATGTGCGCGTGGAGGAGATACCCTTTAAGCGAATGCAGCCGCGTGCAGCCAGCCTGAAGGGCAAACGTCCAGGTGGCATCCATCTGATCTCCAGCCTGGAGCATCAGCGCACTTTTCTCCATCTCTTTCATGTGCCCTGTGAGTACAGTGAGAACTGGCTGGCTGCTGTTTCTCCCTTTTGATAGCCATCTCTTTCAGATATCATTTGCTTCTATGCCGCTAAGGGGAAATGGCCCTATGTGCCGGGATTCATGAAGACGCGCGTGGATAACGCCGCCAAGAGTTTCTTTCATCAGAATGACAGTTTCATCAAGCAATTCTGCACCAAGTGGATACAGGTGAAGGAGTGTTTCCGGCCCATCTTTGGTAGGTCTATATCTAGTTAATTCAATTCAATTACTTAACCAATGTTTGTAGATAAATCAAATGAAACGGAACTGGAATTGGAGGCGCAGAAGCAGAAGGAAAGCTGCAATTGTGAAAAGCTGGTAGCCACGGAACCGCCAGTGCCCGTTGTCTACTTTGATAAGAACTACATTGGCAATGTCAGTTCAGAGACCATTTTGACCACCATCGAGTTTCTTGAGAGTTTTCTGCCACCACCTACCAAAAAGCACAAGCGCAAGAATCGCGTGCGTGGGCGCATTGATGAAATGGATATTGAATGAACACACTGAAAAGCATTTTATAATAATATAGCCACTCACTTTATAGTTTAAATAAATAACACGATACTCTTCAAAAGACAAAAATTAAAAAATACCGCCGATTACAAAACCTGGCGTTGCCACCTGGTCGGAGTTTGAATTCGATATATGTTAAGTAACAGAATATGTTAAGCTACAGAATATATACGTAGGCGATGTCTGTTAACAACAGTTCGTGATTCGTTAAGTTTTAGGAAATGCCATCGCTCCGATAGTTGCTTAAGATTGTTGAACGTGTGCGGACGTACAGCGGGTGACTAATAATAATAAGTATAAATAATAATAAAAAGAAGCACCGCAAATGCACACAAAAGCAACACCGCATTCAATTAGTCAATATACAAAAGTTATAAATATAAAGGCTGATTAAGTGCACAAGTTGAAAAGAACAACTTATTTTCGTGAAAGAGTTGAAACGTAGCCAAAGTATTTAAAGCGAGAGAGCGGCGAATAGAAATTTGCCACCAACACAAATTTTTTCATTCTTGCTTCCTATTCAAATTCGTGCATCGCGTGTGTTAAACGCGGCATCGTTGACGCGCGAGTGTGTGTGCGTGTGTGCTTGTATGTGCGCGCGTATTCAAGACAAAAAGAGAGAGAAAGAAAAGAGATTGCAAAAATATAAAATTTTGTTGCTGCAAATTTTTTGGTGCCTTACTAAGGAGACTTACGTTCAACGTGTGTGAGGGAGTGAGTGAGTGTGTGTATGTGCACGAGTGCAAGGCACGTGAATGTCTCTGAAAAACCAACAAGCCTATCAACCGCTACCATCTGCCGTAGCTGCCATGGACAATCCGGCGATGAGCAACAGCAGCAGCAGCAGCGGGAGTAACGATGACGTTGCCGACCTAGTTCAAAGTCGGTTACCTCCGACATACTCGTCACAACAGCTCGTTTCGTCCGATTCGGATTCTATGGAACGCCAGCATCTACGCGGATCTAACATCGTACCTGGGGTTCCGGCGACTTCCCATAAACAATGGTTTGCCGTAGCGGTGCTTTGCTTTGTTAATCTCATCAACTACATGGATCGATTCACAATTGCGGGTAAGTGCAATGGCACAGTCCAATTGGACTATCCTATCAGAAAGTGACACATTCCAATGAGAGAAGAAGCGTGAGTCGCATGATCCGCTAATTGCTAGCTACTACGTCACTTTCACCAGTTGGATGCCTAGAGCTCTCTCCCCATCTCGCTCGCTCTCTCTCTCTCTCTCTCTCTCTCTCTCTCTGTCTCTCTGTGTTTCTTTCTATTTACTTTTGTATTTTTCCTGCTACTAACTGATAGCACAACGCACATACGATTAACTTGTTGTTGCTACGTCAGAAATGTAAACATACTAAAAACTCTGACGTATTTACCAAATTAAAGTGCTGTGCACACAAACTAAGAGGAATAGTCGTCTGACTAATTTGTATTTACATTTGCTTGGTAGCGTAGAACCTGCGCTAATGGAATTTTCTTATCTGAATCAGATTTTTTTTATGTCGTATACTCCTTGCACCTAGGTACCACTTTGAATGGGTGCAAAGTAATCGGTCAGGCACTTCGTAAGTTGTTTCTTACTATAATCTAACACCTGTATGCGAAACGTAACGCCCGATATGGCGTGATGCAAACCAAATTTCAAACCCATTCCCAGCTGTCAAAGTGGCTAGAAATCTACAAAACAACAGAAATCCATTTGACTTGATTAGATACGCTAATGCTAAATTGTACTAAATAGAGCAGCCCCTGCATATACCGGAACCGTTTTAGCAGAAGGGGAGGATGCCAACGAGTCTCGTTTCAAGTTCTATACTTGTATAGAATTTCGATTCCCTTTAATAACTGTTTATTTCTGCTTCTATTGCCAATTCACAAGAATTTTCCATAGATTTGTTTAGCTTTCATTGTTTACAGCGACGCTGAAACCAGGAGACGCAATGCAATCAATTGCATTTAACACTTATCATATATATAAATATATGTATGTACGTATGTGTGTGCGTGTAACAGATGAGTGTTTTATTATTGTGGCGTGATTGTTATGTGAATCATTTGCTGTTTTACAATCGTGTACAAGTAAGGGCAAAGCCGGAGTAAACTTGTTTACAGCAAGTGCAACGTAATAGTGGGCAACGACTAACAGCTAACAGTTAACAGAGTAACGGCTACGGCAACGGCTAATCAGCGAGTTGCGCTCCTCATGTTAAAGTGCAAACCAGTTGTTAATTTGCTTAAATGAACCAGCACAGCAGAGATCGCAACCCTTCTAAATGCCAATTAATTATTTAAATATATATACATGCATATATATTTGTATACTTATTTATTCGCATGCTTATTTTTTAGCTTGGCCTCTGAGTTGACTTTTGCAACATTTAACTACCGTTACGCATATACAATGAACTTGGACTCTTGAGCTCGATCAGCAGTTTTTTGTCATTGATAACATTATGAAAAGAAGGGCGCATAAGACAACAAGCAGCTAAAACTGTTCGCTAGCAGTGACATGAATGCTAATGTTATTTAACATACATGTTAACTGCAACTCCAGGCTATGCAGACATAGTCAACATAAACATGTACAAATTCAACATCAGGACGAACTGTTCATTATGTAACTGCTTATCGCATATCATGAAACAGCTCAAAGATAATTATTCATTGGTTTTGCAAAGCCTGTAATAAGCTACCAAATGCAAATATCGTACGATTCTTCTAATCAGTAATCAGGGTAGGGGAACTCATGACCAAGCTGACAGGAAATGATATTTATATACATACACATATATGCTTACAATTGTATATATCATACATATAAATATGTTTATAAATTGGGCGATAAGTGTTATAGGCGGGAAGAAACCCCTCAACAACGACAACAACTCACTCGATATACGATTATTCGTCATTTATGCGCTTATTCATATTCACATTCACACGCATTCACACATATATTTAAGTGTGGGCGTGGGCCAATTAGATAACAATTTTCTCCATATTTGTGGATTCGTATTCACTTGATGGACATTTTATATATTAGATATTCAGATATAAAAAGCAATCAATCGATAAGTCAAATGAGCATTTGCTTTTCACTCGGAAATGTTTTTAGATATTTTACTGCTCCAGTGACTATTGAAAATCTTTGTAAATATTTATCAAATGTTAATTGATGAGGAAATTATTGAATATATTTTTATGATTTTTATTCGATTTGATTTTGAAAGAAATTACGAAATGAAATCCAGATTTTACATGAACATCTTTGTAAATATTTATAAAATGTTAATTTATTGATGTAGAAAATAATTGAAGGTATCTATGGGATTTGATTTGATATTGTATGAATTTACTAACAGGAATCCAAATTTATAGTCTAAAATTGCAAAAATCAATAAATGTTCTACTAATCTGAATAATTATTCAACAGTTTATAAGTAATTATAATAATTAAGAAAAATAGTAATTATATTTCATTTGCAATTAAATATGGAAATACTTAAAAATCGATTAATATTTTCGTTTATTTAAAAATTAATGTTCTTATCAGCTAACATTTGTTTATTTTTTAACAGCGCACTAATTAACATGTTCTAAAAGTAAAAGGGTAGCTATAATTACGCCAAAGCAACTGCTTAACATATTAAATTAATGTTAATATAAAATTTACTCCAGTATATATAGCCAACAGCTGCTTGGACTGTTACGGACATGTTAATGAACAGGTCTTAAAGCAATATAATTATAATTTCAACTTGGACATTTGTTTGTTGTTTTTGGCTACCTTGTCATAAATAATTGAATCGGATGCGCCTGCACCCGATAACAGCAACGCGATAAGCCCTATCAGTTATCAACTAATTAGGCATTATTGGTTCTATGAAAGGCCCTGTTATTGGTTGTGGGTGTGTGAATGTAAATCAAATCAAATGAATTGCAGGTGAGGCACGTAGTTTGTACTCGTTGGCACGTGGTCAGAACCGATTTGAGCAATTTGTCAGTCTAAAATATTTGCTATTGTATATATATATTCATATATATCTACCTTTAAATCTATTTCGAAATGCGCTCGCGCCTTCATTAACATTAAATTTAAGTGTTGGCCAAAATGTGCCACATTGCTTGAATGTGTTATATATCGCGCGATGTCTGGCATTTATCTAATAATGCATTATGCATTATTATTATAGTCGGTCGCTTAACGTGACCTCAAACAACAACTACAAAATGTTGAAATAAACCAAAAACAAACATGAAAAATGTTTCGAGGTGATTTTTTTTGCTGTGATTTTAAATTTCTAAAGCAATTTATCGCCTGATTTTCGGGTTTGTTGTTATTCAAGTAATTCACATGCCTAATTTTAACATTCATTCATACGATGAAAAAAATAAAAATAAAATAAAATAAAATATAAATAAAGAAACTGCTGATGTCAGCTTTTGTTAAAAACAATATAAATACATGTTTATATATGTATATATAATTATTTTGTAAATTTATATAAATATAAATATATATATTTTTTAAAAGCGTATATATATATATATGTATATTCACATGCATTGAACTTTGTTCTATATGTAAAGCATTCATTTGGTATTATTCGAAATACCAATTTAAAGTATGTATAAAATATATATATTTATGCATATATACATTCATATATTTATGTATTTGCAAAACAGGCCACCACTGGCTGCTACGTAATTTCTTGGCCACTTTCCAATTCAAAAACCTACACAAAAAAAAAAATTATATATCTACATATATATTTATATACGAAATAAAAGCAAAGATAATACCAAGTACAATAATTGTCAGCAGTTTCTTTGCATGCATTCGGCATTTTCTTTCTTTTCCTTTATTTATTTTTGGTATTATCTACTAAAAAGTTAGTCGCATGCTGAGCCAAATCGTTTATACTAAAAAATTACGTGATGTTTTCTTTGTTCAAATTTCGCTTTTTTTTAATTTTTGGTTAGCTCTACGTATATATACATTTTGGGGTTTTATTTTTGCATAACAATTTGTTGAATTCAGTTTTAACAAATTATTTCGCATATTCCCATGCAAAAAGAAATGAAACTTTCATTTTATGCATTTATCATTTTCACTATAAAAAGCTATCGAAAGAGGAAACATTTATAACCAAAAATTTATACAGTTATATCACGTTTAACTGCCATGAAGATGCGACTGGAAATTATCATAAAACCATAAATGAGGTTCTAGAATCATAGCTCACAAAGACTTCAAAAAAAGGGGCTTGGTATAGTAAACTTTTTATTAATCTATTGACAGCTCATTTGCCGGTCTTGGTAAATAGAGCAAAAGAGACAAGCAATATCAAATATTTCTTTAATTAAGGTATTTTTCCATTGACAGCTAAATATAATAAGTTCACTTTAATTAGGCAATTAAATATTTGAACATTTTGTGCAACTGGTCACACTCCGTGACGCTGTTCATTTACATACATATGTTTACAATAACATTAAATGTGAACACTTTTATGGTGGTCCGTTAGCTAGTTCAAAGGGCTGATCACACACACACACACAAACATATGCTGAAGCACTGTAAGCCTTTGGCGTCGGCAAATCTTTCTGTTTATTGTTTGTTCTATTGCATATGCATATTCTTCTGTTGTCGTCGGCTTTCGCATGGCACAACGTGTAAAATGTTGACGTTGATTTAGTTTTGCTGCATTTTTTTGCATTATTTTTAGCGTCATTTTTGTTGTCTGTGTCAATGACCTGTGGCAGGAATCGGCGACGAAAGTGACAAGAGCGACAAAAAGAGTAAAATCATCGGCATGGCTTCAAGCTCACATTCAATTAGAGGTGTGAACACTTGAAAGAGAGGCTGTTGTGTGTGTGTGTGAGTATGCTGATGGCTGATTGTGTGAGTGCCTAAGACTTTACTTTTGTATTTTGTGTATTGATGCGCTCACATTTTAAACGATTTCTTTTTCTCCATCGTACAAAAGAAAGTGGCATACATATATATGTGAAAAGCAAGCTTTCCCAAAAAAAATTCAAATTTAAAAAAAATATAAACGGTACATTAACAATGTCAGTTAATGTTGGTTAAAAAAAAACATCTCAGAGTTGTCGTACTACAGGTTGCAAATCGTGCGAATTTCAAGGCCAATCACAATCGCTTTCAAGTTAGTAACAACTTTTTCTGTGTTGTCTTCTTCTTTTCATTCATTTTAATGAGGCAGAGCGTCGTTCCACAATGTGCAGCAGCCATTCTTGGCAACAAACTGGCGCTCGATAAGTAACTGCTACTAGCTGGCAGAGTTTAGTCTATCCGAACGTCACAGAAAGAGAAGAGAAAATAATGAGAGAGCACGCACGAGAGAACAAGAAACGAAACTGGTTCTAAAATTACACACACAAGTTTCTATAACCGGCAAAAATAAATTCCCGATCGAACGCATAAGCATTTGTCGCGACGTCTTGTCTCGTCTCCTCCTCCATTCTCTCTTTCGCACTCTCCATTTACAGTGTGCTGTTGTCGAGCTATAAACAAACCCAAGCCTTGCAAATATTTCCTCTCACTCTTTTTTGCTCTCCAACTCGCACTCACACTGTTGCACTCGTCCACATAGCAGTTTACAAAACTTTTACACACACTCACACACCCCACATTGCATTTATCGCGTGGTAGTCGCTCCGCTGGCGGCCGCACACCATTACGTCACTGGCTAAACAAACGCGCTGATTGGTCGAAAACATCGTACGATAAATTTCTCAGCAGCGAAATGTTCAAAAGACCCAGAAAATAAAATGAGAAAAAAATAAAATAAACATAAAGCGTCAGCCGAACATTTGTGGTTTGCTGATTCACTTCACTTCGTTTGACTTCGTGCCACGTATGAGCGTCGCATTCGGCTATTTTGTTCTTGTTGTTGTTGTTGCTCGTTTCGTTCGGTCTCCACTTGTTGAGCGGTTTCGGCCATGTATCGCTTTTTCGAATACCGGCGCTAGCGGCCTTCCCATCGTTGCGCTCCTACCGTCCCCTTTGGGCCCACTTTTTTGGCCACGGATCAGCTTTGAATTTTAATGTATTTATTTTGGATTGCTTTTGGGGTCGCCACGGATCCATAGTGCATATTTCCGTTAAGTGCTAACGGCGGCCCCGTCAAATAGTAGGAAGTGCAATAAACAGTTATTGACTAGGTCGTGTCGGTGTTCGGACGATCAAATGATAGCTATTAGTGACTTGCACATCCATCCGTATAATTTGGATTCTAAATATGTACACAAGCATGAGATAATCAGCTGGTAATATGAAAAGAATGTCTGGGTTTTTTTTTTTATTATTTTAATTTATTTGATTTTTGATTCCGGATTTTGCATTATCAGTGGCCAATCAGCTGTTGCCAAAACATAAAGTAAATAAACGTAGATTATTTTTATCATTCTTTTTCTTATTTGTTGGCATTGGCTGAAAAGTGATAATGGAAAACAGTTGCGTCAGCCGAAACGTAAATTTCATTAGTCTAGTTCTGAAAATTTTGTTTACATTTCGTAATTTATAAATGAGATGATTCATTGTCACTAAATAACTAAATAACATGTCTATGTGTCAGCAATAATTCATTAATTAAGCAGCGGCTACAGTTTTAGATCTCTTAAACATAAATCTGTTCACTGTGATAAATGCTGCAAAGGTGCTGATTACGTTAACAGCGCTCCTTTGCATTTTAGAACTCTTCCTCTTTTATTGGAAATTGTACTAAATGTTATCATAAAATACTTTGATATTGGCGCTGTTAATGTTATAATTAAACAGAGAGAACTAGTTTGTTCAATGTTAAAAGTATTATTAGCTCACATCATTTTACAATGTAAATTGGCAGCCGTTTTACGTAAGAGCTTAAATATATGGCTGTTAGATTTACTTAAGCAATTAACAGGAGCTGCTGCAACACATGTGTGGTACATTAAATAATCACGAGCTTATCGCAAATGGAAACATTTATATTTATATACCGTACATATATGTATATATATATATATTAACAGAGAATCTAATCTCTTTCACTCTCATTCTCTCTAATCTTCCAGGTGTTTTGACGGACGTAAAGAAAACCTTTGCCATAGACAATGATTCTGCTGGCCTCTTGCAGACAGTTTTCGTACTGTCTTATATGGTATTCGCACCGCTCTTTGGCTATATGGGCGATCGCTATTCGCGTCGTTGGCTGATGGTGGTGGGCGTGGCTCTGTGGTCAACAACAACATTGTTCGGCTCATTCATGAAGACTTTTGGCGGATTCATAACATTCCGCGCTCTGGTCGGCATCGGCGAAGCCTCCTACAGCACAATAGCGCCAACGATTATCTCCGATTTGTTTGTGGACAGCATGCGTTCCAAAATGTTGGCGCTTTTCTATTTTGCCATACCAGTGGGCTCTGGACTTGGGTAAGTTTGCCACTATATTTAACAGTGAGAAGGAGGCGTGGCATAAGTAACTTCTAGACAGGCACGCCCGACCAGGGCACTGTTATTAAACATTTAGTACAGTTTGGCCTGTTAAAGACCGTTTCAGTACATTCACGTGATTAACATGGTTTGGAATTGGGCTAAGCTATCTCACATGATCAGCTGATTTAGATCAGCTGATTGCCCAGCAACCGGTTCTCATATCAGCTGGCAGAGGCCTAGACAATTGTGCAAGCACATTATTGCGCTTGCTGATAAGGCGCAAGGCCTCTTATCAGCGGCCATCGTCTGAGTCGGGGCTGTGGCCTGTTCGCTCGGCTCGATCGGTGCAAAGATCACTCGCTCGCGCAGCAGCAGCTGCCGTGAGAAAGCGGCGCCAATTCTCGGCTCTCGGTTCACCTTTTGGGGTTCAGTTGAAAGTTTAATTGTGCATAAATTTAGTTGGTTTTATTTTGTAAGTTATTTATAGAAAGTCGTGAAATCAAATGTGAATTTCAACTCAATTAGGGCGCACAGCGCTTAAGTGAGGTCAATTGCTAGAATCTCTCAGTCAATTGGCAGCCAATGCAGGCAGGCCCCTATGCTGCCTCATGCCACATGCCTCACGCCACTTATGTTTGTTACTAATCATATTTGATGCACCCGCAGCTATATTGTGGGATCAAAGACGGCGGAACTGGCTCAAGACTGGCGCTGGGCATTGCGTGTCACGCCCGCTCTGGGCATTACGGCCGTGGTGCTGCTCTCGCTGCTGAAGGATCCGAAACGCGGCGAAAGCGAAGGCGTCGAGCAGGTCGAACGCGCCAGCTTCTGTGTGGAGCTCAAGGATCTGCTGAAGAATCGCTCCTTTATGCTGTCCACGGCTGGCTTCACCTGTGTCGCCTTTGTGACCGGCGCCCTGGCCTGGTGGGGACCCAACTACATTCATCTCGGCCTCAAGATGCAGCCGGGCAACGAGAATCTCAAGCAAGAAGAGTAAGTTTCCAAACCGTTGTAGAAGCGCGGACGACGCAGTCGAGATTTCCTTCTATCCTCTAGCTGAATTACTGAATTTAGTCACTGATCGAATTTGTTGTTGTTGCATCATCATCATACATTATCGTCGCATTGTTGTTGTAGCATCTCCTATAAGTTCGGCCTGGTCGCCATGGCCGCCGGCCTAATCGGCGTCCCGCTGGGCTCGGCCCTGGCCCAATACTATCGCACGCGCATCCCCAACTGTGATCCCTATATATGCGGCATCGGCCTGTTCATATCGGCGCCGATGGTCTTCATCGGCCTGGTCCTGGCGCGCAGCAATGGGGCGCTCTGTTTCCTGTTTGTGTTCATCGCGCAGGTGGCGCTCAATCTCTGCTGGTCCATTGTGGCCGATATATTGCTGGTAAGCAGCAGCAGCAACATCTACAGCTACAGCAACAGCAGCAGTAACAACAACAACAAAAGCAACAACAACAACAGCAACTAGAACAAGCTAATAATCCAATTGCCATTGCCAATATTTGCTAACCATTTCAACTTTTTCTGCTGCCTTTCATCCCAACCGCCTCCCATCCTAACCTGGCTAAAACCGAAAAAAAAAATACTTTAGTGTATCATATATGTTTGGGCTAATTACAATGGTCGCCGGGCTGGTGGGCGTGCCGCTGGGTTCAGTGCTATCGACGGCGTTAAAGAAGCGCAATAAGGCCGCCGATCCCCTCATCTGTGCCGGGGGCCTCCTGCTGAGCGCCCCCCTGCTGACCGGCGCCTGCCTGGTCATCTCCAAGCATACGGTCGCCGCCTATGTATTAATGTTTTTCGGCCAAGTAGCTATAAACTTGAACTGGGCAATTGTTGCGGACATTTTGCTGGTAAGAATCTGCTGGGACGCATCTATACGGCTCGTCCTCTATCTCGTATCTCTCTCAACAAACAAAAACAAAAACAAATCCTAACAAATTCAACCACACGAATCACAATAGATGGTGGATAATAGATAATAGATAATTGATCTTTATCTTTATCTTTATCTTTATTTATCCATTTTATTTGATTTTGCTAATCTTGCACAATTTCTAATGTATTATTAGTTGTATTATTAACTTTTTACTGTTGTAACATAGACACACACACATGCACACACTCTCTGCTTTGTATTTATATATATATTTTGTGTTTGTTTTTAAGTTAGACTTTGTATTATCTGCAAACATCGTTTATATAGCTATTTAGCATCTGGCATAAAACTCGGAGGTTGATAAGACCTGCGACACGAGACAATAGAACAATATATATATATTGTAGTAAATCAAATAGAAAGATTATATATTTATATATATGTATGTCTTTCTGCTCGATTTGCTATGCCTAATTAATTCCATGTCTCGTTTCGCATTCTTATCAAGTATAAACCTCCATATTTATGCCATTTTATTGTCATTTGTATCCCTCTCTCTGGTGTTGGTAACTCATTCAGATAAGAATTCACTCTGTTATTCTATCCCATGTCATAAGGTGGTTGGCTGTTCTTCTAAACCTCTTAAAGTCCTTTGCCACAAGACAAGCCCTTAAAGTCTTTTATCATACAATTTAATCAAATACATTTATAATACGGTTCTGGTCTCTTACCCTCTCTAAAGCAATCTCTTGTAGTGCATAACTCTGCATATCCCTAGAATTGTAATATGTAATGTCGTTATTGCTTTCATTTCTTGCATTCTAATGCACGAAACGACTGAGGGCATTTGTCGCCCTGTCAGCATCCCCCAAAACCTCTAGGGTTTCGTATGAAAAGGGGACTTCACACTGCCAAATTGGCAAATGCAACCCCCAAAAAGAAGTTTGATTAAAGCCCGAATTGCCTTGCCTGAATACTTGTTATATATTTATATATTTCGCTTTATATACACACACATATACATATCTATTTCTTGACACATCACGTTCCACTTTTACTCTGGATCAAGTGTCATCATTATGCTGCAACCTCGTCGCACACTTTTAAACTGTGCCACAAGTTTCAGGTTTTCTTTTCTATATATACAATTATATTTATATAATTATATTTGATCTATTTTTGGTATTTTGAGAACAGTTCCGCTTTGGCAACGCGGCAAAATGCTAATTGTTCGCTTCCTGCTGCATTCACGCAGAAATGCAAAAAGAAAGTCGAGATTGCTCGACTACGAGATACCCTGAGCACTAAATCGAATCGATTCAGCTCGTCACCCTGATCAAAAATATATTTACACTTAGTTTACTTTAGCTGTCTGAAGTTACTTAATTTTCATAAGTCTCAATATACCCTGATTAGCAATTTTCAATGGGTATAAAAAGAAAATCAAGAAAACCAGTGCCAAAAATTAGTTTTTTATGTAGATATCTGTTTGCTTTTTTATGTAGTTACGCACACACACACACACGCACACACACTACACTTGCTATAACAGTAAACAGTTAAAGTAGTTAAAATTACACAAAATTTGTAAATTTGTAAAAAAAATGTAGACAACAATTTGCCACAGTCAAGTTTTGGTCAGTTGGTCGAGCGTTCAGAACTGTTCCCAGACGTGCGCGCTGCACATCAGCTGTTCCCACGGGGGCGATGCATGTAATTGGTGACACGAACCATGTAGCTGAGACGCGCACGCTTTCTCGGAAGTGGCGCCATCTATTGTAAGCTTTTGACACACCCACGCACGCACTGTACACACAGCTTAAGCTTAATTTTGTTCTAATTGTTGTTGCTGCTCTTGTTGATAATACTGCTTGCTTGTTTATATGTGTAGCAAATATAATAGAAAATACTAAAATACCAAACTCTTAACCCTTACGCAGTACGTGGTTGTGCCAATGCGTCGTTCCACAGCCGAAGCTGTCCAAATTCTCGCATCCCATGCACTGGGAGATGCCGGCAGTCCGTACCTGGTGGGCGCTGTAAGTAAATGAAATACATATGCAAGTAATATATTAATATTGTATATGCATTCATTTAGATATCGACAGCTATTAAGAACAAGATGCTGGCACAGTCCAGGACCGTTGATAGCGACGTGATAAAAAGTATGTCCCAATTGGCGGAAAATGCCACAGAAATTGTCACAGATACACTACGCTTAAGGGTAAGTTAGCAGCTATAAAGCTCTATTATAGTAAGAAAATTATTTAAATTAATTTATATTTTAACTTTTGCAGTCGGCTGAGGATGTTTACACCTTCGAATCGCTGCAGTATTCGCTGTTCTCCACCACCTTTGTTGAGGTGCTGGGCGGCGTCTTCTTCCTGATAACCGCCTGCTACATTATAAAGGACAAGGCCAGGGCGACAGCCGCTGTTCGAGGTAAGCAAAAAACATATATTTACACACATATACACATACATATATAGTTGGATATATCTGTATATGTATATATGACTGGCTAGTCAAGCGTCTCTAAACTAACTTTTCGGCGCCCCCCTCTCAGCTGACAACGACTTGAGATTGGCGCCCGACAACGAATTGAGTTTGGTGCCCAATCCCACCTATTCGAAAACACTTTTCGATGCCGAATACCTGGCCAATTACACAGACATTGCCTTGCGAGAGCGCGCGTGAGCAGAGGCTTTAAACTAGGGTTTTCTTAACGTACAATAGCCACATAAAAAGTGAAAACAAAATAAATAAACAAAATACAGTTCGGTAGGTGTTGAATCAAAATTTCCAAATTCTGTTTGTCTTTGGTTTAGTTTGTGTGAGGCTAAAGAAACTAACAAAAATTCATGTTTGGAGCGCAAATTCAGCATTTGACATAAGGCTCTCATAATCGCACACAAATACAAGTACAGCTACATTCACAGACACACTCGCAGGGAGAGAGCTACACTCACACAGAGATAAGCCACCCACTCTCTCTCGCGCTCTCCCACACACATACACACACACACACTTGCTCAACCGCTCGTTCCGTTTTGTTCGTTCGTTTAGATTTGCTGATTTATTCGTAATTCGCTTTGATTGTTCCGATTTGCGTCGCCTTACCTGTGTCTAACTTAACTGTCCTTTCTATAACGCAATTCATTGTATTTCTAATGAAAATTAATATTAATTTCAATTCCAATATATATGTGTATATTACAGAATACAGCGAGCAGCAACGGCAGCAGCAGCCGCAGCAGCAGCCGCAGCGCATCACTAACAATGACTAATATCAGCCGATCCGGGAAGCTTTGTTACACACCCAACGCGAAGGGATTTTGTGTGAAATGGCACTGACTGAGTATCATCTTTAAAATTTTTATTTATATACATACGTATGTCTTATACGAAATCATCAGCGAATCATCATGCATTGGAATAAGATATTCATAAATGTTATGTAAACATGTATTTTTGATGTATTTTAGCTTCCTTTTTTTTCACTTCACTTTTATTATTTGTTTTTAAAGCACATAAGCAATATGTTTTATATAAGGGCGCATGTTCCTATACATAAATAGATACATATGTATATGTACAGACCCAAGCACATACATACACATAACACACATACATACACACTATTATGTAGGTGCAGGCATATGTAGATGCAACTACAGTGAACACTTTGTAACGTAGTCAACACCCACACATACATACATATATCATTTGATAGTTTAGTTTAATTAAATGAGAATGTAAAAGTCGATTAAGAAATCGATTTAAATTACCGATATTCATTAGCTTTAATTTTATGTCAAGCGACTAATTAGAATTTAACATCATATTACAGTAATATTTGCATATATATAATGTAAATAGTTAAGAGCATTGGAATTTTGTTTTAAACTCTCGTTTATCTCAGGCATACGGAAAAATTAAATGGGCTAAAAATGAGAGCTGTAAATATTTTAATACACGGCCATAAATCATAAGCAATTAGCCTATAAGCTCCAAATATACATACATATGGATATGTTTTATCAATATACATATATATAAATATATATTTAAATTGATTATAATAAATTGTAATCGTAGTTAGTTCGTTTAACAAATTTTTCTGAAACACTAAAGAACAAGAAATAAAAAATTAATTATGAAATACAAAAATTCAATGTTTATTTTTCTTAGATAATCTATCTCTATCTATTTGAACTCCTTTATTCACTCAGTCTTACATACCTAACATGAACATCTCAAAACTACTTCCAGGAATTGGAAGGATCATTTTGACCATTCACACATGTGTACACAAGTGTCCCTTTTTAGTCCTTCGCGCCGTTGTCGAGGCTCACTTAACATTCTTATCAGCTAAGGGATGACATTTTTATTACTTAGAGGAAGATAACATGCAGCATTGTTTATTCTGTATGTATATATACATACATACATACATGTAACATGCTTGAACATGAATAAATTATATTTTATTTTGATCTCTTAGAAAATCCTTCAAATGCCATGGCTGCGTAGTTAATGCATTGTTAGCAACCAACAGGTGTGACGTCACATTCTCTTAAATTTTGCTGCGCATTAATAATTCAAACAACCAGTTGTGTTAAATGTGTTATCCTTCTTAACAATATTGTCGACTTTCCACTCGAAATCAATAAAATTGCATTGCTGAAATCTTTTATGAATTCAGACTTAAATATTACGCTTAAATGTATGCACTATTTTATATAAATACATTTAAATAATCGTAGGCAAGCTTTTAAAGGCATTTTGCTTGCATATGTATGTATGTATGTATGTGCATATGTTCATGCATGCTATGTAAATATACCGACGAATCGCTTATATGTATGTATGTATGTTTGTATGTATTACTTCCCTAAGAGAGCTAATTGCCGCAGTGTCATAGCAATCAGCTGTATGTCAATGACGACTAACGTAAAAGCGCGCAAGCTACGCCGTTAACGTCACTTCCTATTACCATGTAGGAGCTAAAACGACTGATGTATTTTATGGACAAAGTGTCGTAGGAAAAGTTGACAGTTATTAGTTCTATAGGGCTCTCAAATTTTATATAGCAACTTGCGCACAAAATAAACAATATTGGCGCTAAAAACTTCGCATTTAGAGAATGCGAATTCCAAACACAAACGTTTGCCACTTCAGCCTTCCGCTGTCCTCGGCATATCTTGTATACAAATACGAATAAGACGGAAACATAGATTATAATTTACATTTACATTTACATACATGGTAGAGTTCGGAGCAGTTGTGCTTTGACGATCAAAGAAGAGCACTTGACTCCCAAAGAAAACATTGAATATACTCAACTCAAATTCAAATTACATACATATGTACGTATATCATAAATACATACATACACAAATATGTCTGCACATACATACATACATATGTATGTATGTATTTGTGTATGCATGTGTGCATGTTGACGAAAGTTCAAAAGGAAAAAGTAAATCTTGAAATCTGATTGCTGGACCTTCTTAAATGTACATACATATGTATGTATGTAAGTACAAAAAATCACGCAAGAGATCTTACATACATACATACATACATGTTTACAAACATACTTACATACATATTCTCATATATGTAAGTATTTATATTTTGTCAAAGAGCAAAAAAATAACAGTTACTAGTGTGTGTGTGGGACATTTTTTGATATTCCGCATTCGTTTCAAGCACGAGAGAATGAATGCAGGCAGCAATAATAGATAAAGCAAGGATAGAGAACTAAGCAAAACATTCGTCTGGGATCATCGACATACATACATATACATATAAATGCATGCACACATACATAAATTTGTATATGTATGCATTGAGTTTCTGTTGAGCTATTCCAACAGCTTGTCCGAGCGTGAGAGTAAATTTGCGTGTGCAAGTGTGTGTGTGTGCATGTGTGTGAAATATATAAGAGACCAAATGAGGAAAACTCGAGCTCAGTTCGTTGTGAAATTTCTAGATGAATACAGCTCGAACCTGGCGTTCCTCATGTCGTAGGTGAATAAGGAGTTGGCGATAATTGAATTAAATTGAAGAAATTCGGTGCGATTATATTTTAATAAAATGGATTATCAACCTGTAAGTGTCAACAATTATACATAACTAATATATGCAGTCAAAATTACACATATTAAAAATATTTTTATGCGTATGTGTATGTATGTAAAAATTTTAATTTGTATGTTGGAATGCAGTTGAACACGAAATTCGAACTGCCCAAAAGTCCCGCCTCAACGCTACACAACGATGAAAGCGATGATGATGTAGAGTATATCGGTACTATACTTCCACCTGGGCGCCAACAGAAAATAATCGACACCAAGTGGAGCCCTAATCAAAATGCGGACACAATGGCTTCCTTATTGGCCACGCCGCCGCTATCGCCAGAGGAGCCGGACACGCAGCAGACGTATATGCCCATCCTGACAGCCATGCTGTCACAGAATGCATGCCCCAACTCCGAGTTTCTGGTGCAAATTCCCTGTTATTTGTGCAACCGGCCATTCAATGATATCAATCAACTGCGTGACCACCTGACCATGCATGCCAGCCAATTACTCATACACCTACGGCAAGGCGCTACAGATGTACCCAATCTGTACCCATTGCCTCCAACCGTTGCCCCTGAGCCAAGCAATCGTAACGAATTTGTTGAAGTCGCTCAGCCGCCATCACAAGAAGAACCACAGCCGCAACAGGTGAAAACGACTCAATTCGCCTGCGATAAGTGCGACAAGGTGTACATCTGCAAAGCATCGTTGAAGCTGCATCAGCGACTGCATCACACACAATATCCCATGCATAACAATGGCAGATGGTGGACCGGAACGTCATATAAATGTCATATATGCCGGAAGAGCTACAAACGCGAATGCTTCCTCCAGAAGCACATCCACTACAAGCACGGCCCACAGCATTGCACAAATCCGCTGGACGAGGCTGTGGAGACTACGCCGTCTGTATCAAGTTCCGAAAAGCCGCAACGTTGTGTCTGGAGCACAAAAATGTTTAATGCCGTTGCCGCAGCCAACTACAATCCGGCTACAGAGACAGCGTCCAAATACTTGCCGCCTGATACATCCTCAGCATCCGAGACGCAAAATCCTACTACGAAACCGCTTACAAAGCGAAAATACCCACTGCGTTCTCCCCACTTCAATCCGTGAGTGTCCAAGCAAACTAAAAATGAATTCGAATCAGTAAAAAAAAAATGAAATCGTTATCTTTCAGTAACCTCTGGATCGACAATGATGCCTTTATTGAATAGATGTCTATGTATTCATAAATTTGTATACCTCAGTTAATATTTAATTATCTGTGAATTACGTATGTATAAGGTTATCTTTTAAAAACATCCCTAGGCAGCATAGCTGCCGCCCATACCTACATCAGACATATGTATGTGTGTCTTTATATAGTATTAATATTATAATATTTATGATCATAAATAAGCTGATAAGCTTTCGCACAATCACTTGAATATTTTCAAATTGTGCTGAGTTTCAAAAACTCGATTCGAATTGATTGTAAGACACTCTGTTGATAAGGCTAAATTTGCAAGAGGCTAAGAAATTCGAGCAAAAATAATAAACAAAGCATACTCAGCGCTCGTATAAAAGGAAATTCAAACCTTATGCTGAATCGGCAGAAAATGTTTACAATTCCAATTACACTTATAAGTCATTCAGTTGATATCTGAGCCCCAACGGAGCAACAACAGCGACGGGAGAACTAAATCTAATTTCTGTAAGTATATGTCTATATAACTTGTGTTGTGTAATACATGTTTCGTGATAGATGAAATATTCGGCTTTAATTTTAGCTATAAGTTGGATAACTTTTGCTAAAAATTCTATTTGTATAAAATATAAATAGAGAGCGAAAGAGTAAAAAACAACATTTTTACTGCTTTCAAGAATTTTGAATGTTGAAATAGCACAATCATATACTCAACAACTCTTATGAAATACATACATATATGTTGCGTGATATATAAAAATACTCGGTTGTACTTTAATTATAAGGACAATGAAAATTCTTTAAAGACATCTGAAAAATATTGGATAGTCATTAAATTCAATAAATTAATGAAATTCCTTCAAGAATTGTGAGTGCCATATCCTAACTATAATCATACCAATTCTGTAATAGACTTACGTAATTATAAAATTTAGGTAAAAAATGTATACATGTATAAATGTACATAAATGTTTATGCATTAAGGAAGAATCTGAAATGAATCTGATCTTAATTATATCGCATTAAAAGTGATTTAATATAGGATTGTATTATTCCTGATCAATTATAATCGGAAAAAAACTAAAATCAACAAAATATAGATAAACATGTACACATAAATACATACATATGTATGTATACATACATACATAGTACATTCTAAAAATCTGTTAAGGAAAAACGCTTGGAATATGGTGAAATGCGCTTACCATATGATCTCTAAAATAACTGAAATAAGATACGCATGCATATGTTGCAAGTACATATGCCCTTATTTGAGCAGTAAAAATAGATTTTAAAAACCCTTGCTGGCTCCAGTTTCAAGTGTCATTGAAGTTTCTCCTTTACCCAAAATACTTACACACACACAGCCGCATAGGCTCACAAAAAAACAACCTCACAGTGAGCGGCTCAAGTAATATGCTCTTATCGCTTTCAAGGCGGCTCCGTTAGTCTCTTTGTGCGCAGTTCTAATCTGTCAGGCGACGAGAACAGAGCTACGGAATATTTTGCTCTGCTATATTCGCAATTACACGAAAATAATAAATATATTATACATATATAAGAGATCAACATAATATAGGACTTGGCAGCAGTATGGAGCTCAATATACACCAAAATTTGGTATAAATATAAGAGTTCCATCCGTATAAGTGTATAAGTATAAGTATAATTGATTTACAGCACTGATTCCATTGCAGACACAATTCGATTGGCTGCACTCGAAATTGTTATCGAATTCGATAAATCCAATTGCCATCTCAAGCGCTCAATTTGAAATGGAAAATGAGAAGATCGATTCATATGAATATGGCATAAAGTGTTTCCTTTGCCAGAAACTTTACACGGACATTGATGAGCTGCAGGATCATTTGCAAAACCATTCCATAGAGAGTACTACAAATACAGCTCTGAGATATTACAATTGTGATGTGTGTGGCAGAGGTTTACGCTCCGAGGAAGAATTGAAGAAGCACATAAAACGTTTTCATGGTACACATCTGATCAAAAAAGAGATCGAGGCTGGAAGTCGATACAAGTGCGACAAATGTAGTGATATTTACATAAGCTCTGAATACTTGGAAAAGCACAAAGAAACGGCACACAGTGTACAAAAGGAATTCAAAATAATCACGCGTATAATACCAGCGAAGCCCAAATATGCACCGCGTTCACCTTTCTTCAATCCGTAACATACATATATTGTGATTTTCTATTTTACGAGAAACTCAATCTTGTTTTTTATTTTTTATTTTTTAGAAATCTACTCAGTTGGGATGCGTACTTATAATCATATAATGAAAAATTATTCAATTTGTTGATCGACTAATTTATATTAGCTCACCAAATAAGTACCTGGAATTCATAATCAACAAATAATACTCACACTGACATGAGCTTTAATTTGATAAGCATGGAATTGCTTCATACAACATCGTCATGGATCAATACTATATAGAGCGTTATTTGGATTTGAATTTATTTTATTCTGTTATTAACTGGAACTAATTGACTTCGGACTATTATGTCATGAAAAGATATTAATATGCAGGTCTATGAAACAAGACCAAAACACAAAAAGATTTTGTTTTAATGAAATATTCCCATATAAATTATTTTAATAAACAGCAGGCGACACAAAATGCGTTTTGCTTTATTTAAAATTTTATTTTCGTTTTCTATATGTATGGTATATGATTTATCGTATATAGTACAACATATGTTTATTTAATTCGCTCGCTTGTTTAATACATTTCAATGCAATCAATGGATTATTCGCAATTCCTTGAATCGTAGAAAAGGTGTTTTGCATGTGTTTTCTTGAATTACCTAGAATTGCATTTTAGTTTCTGTCTTTTATATAATACGCATATATATAGAATAATCTATTACCATTTAAGCTTAAGACAATCATTCCTTAGCAGTCCAATGCATTCTCACGCAATACCAGTTAAATATACCTACTGTTCCCAGTACAAACATTGAAATATAAGTTGGCTAACTACATAAGTTAAAACGAACTAACTGCATACATATACCATCGTTATGTCAATCCAATACCTTATCGATAACTATATAAAATTATTATTTGGAAAATAAATACTATGAAAAAACAGCTGAAGCTAAGGCAAAAATCAATGCAATAACAAGCAAGAAAGTGTTAAGATTGAAAAACAGAAACAAAAGTAAAAAAAAATTGGTTTCTTAAGTCTTTGTTTTTTGGAAACACAAAGCACATGTGACTAAAAACAATATACAATTTGGATTGATTGCTATAATAAATAACTAGGCTCATCGCTCTTCTAACTAGTATTTGCAGGCTACGAAGAACTAAAATATATATTGTGACAGCTTTATGCCTTTCATTGATTTTTTTTTTTTTTAAATTTTAAATTTTTTTTTTTTTTTTTTTTTTTTTTTTTTTTTTCTTTTTTTTATATATATTTTTTTAAGTGCAAAAAATCAACAAATAAATAAATACATGCACTTTATAAATTATCTGTACCGCGGGTGACAGCTATTTGATTTGTGTTATCATATTTTTTCGCTTTTTCTTTTAGAACTCTAGATGTGACTTAGTTCTAGTTACACGTTTACTTGTCCTATGCACATATCTTTGTATCGGGTAGGGGGCTGAATGACTGTACTTAATATGAATCTTAGCTGGTTGCCGCATTGCTCGCCTGGCCTGGTCTGTCTGCCTATCTTTAGTCACCAGAGTTATCCGTTTTGTTTTTCTTATTGTTTTTAAGTTCGAAGAAACTCGTATTTATGTTGTATACAGTTGTAGTAGGATTTTCGACTTATGTACTATTTAACCTGAGCCCGAATGTGTTGCAAAAATTCATAATATGACAAACTAGATTCACTACGATCGTCCGTTAATCTCTCAATAAACTGCGCCTTAGCTGTGCTCGTATCCCTGCAATAGAGCATAATTAGAGTGAATATTCTAGATTGAATTGATTGAGTCGAGACATACCTGATAATTTGCACTAGAGGCGGATAGGGCTTATCGTAATTCAGTCGCATTATAAAACGTTTCAGAGCATCGCTCTCGGCGCTGACAACGTTCGGCAGACCATACACATAATCTGGTAATTCCGCCGTTGACCTTATGCCTGCGAATGAGAATGATTAATTAATGGAAATTATCTGTCAGTTTTAGCTGCGACTTACCCAGCAGAGCTTCCAGCACGTCAGTGGGTACATTGAGGCCCACATAGATCATTATCAGTGTGCCGCAATCCATCAGGAATATCGAACGTGAGTCCAGACTGAAAGTTACAAATGAAAAATGTCTGTTAGCAATACGTTCAGGCGATTCTCTCAAAGCTCAGGCCTTACTGTTCCGCAGATAGTTGAAGACGTTGCATCTCCGGCAGCAGCTCGTCATCATCGTAATCATCGTCCTGCGTTGAGCTTATGTTAGAGTTGCGCACATGGTAGACGAGTGCATCGATTTTGTACAGCTCGGGATAGATATACTTCATAAGCTGGTCCAGTGGCAACGTTTTCATGTTGTCCATGGCAAAGACACGATCATCCAGACGCGTGCTGGTGCCCACGCGAAAAGCGGGCTAAAACGACAAGGAAACAACAACTAATTAACAACCAACAATTGCTTGCTTATCGCTAAAGCTTCTTACATGCTTGAGCAGCGCCAGAATGTAAAGCGGCAGCAGTGCCAAGCTACGTGGTGCTATCAGTTGACCACTCTGACCGGAGGGAAGATTTTGTGCAATCTTAAATGCATTGAACACGTCGATGGTCGCATTGATAAAGGCGTCCCTGGCATCCGATAGACTCGACGTTGTCGAACGATCCACGGCCATTTTGGAAAGCAATCCAATGATGGCTTCCGTGTCAGCTGAATGCATTACCTCGGGCAGGGATGCAGTCACCGGGAGACAAATGGTATGAACACGAATGCGTCGCTCGCCCTCGCTGTTCGTATAGAGCAGCGCGGCCTGGAAGCAAATCGTCTTCACATCGGTGAGGCTCTCCTCGTACGATATTTGCATGCCGTAGCCTGCATCCGGATTGACATTGGGCAGCGACAATAGATCCGTGCTGCGCACAAAGAAGTTGCCATGGAATGTATGCACCTGCAGGCCGCGTGTACAACGCAAACGCATCACCGCCTCGAAGCCAATCTTGCGGGTGAGATAGCGCTTGAAGCAGTGCTTAAACGAGTCAACCATATGCTGTTTGGTCTTCTGGAACAGGGGAAAGTGATGCACGCAGCCACCACTGTGTTTGCTAACGCCAGCTGCAATGATGAAATTGAATGAGTAACAGAATTAGATCCAATTGGAGAATACTTACATATGGTGGCCATATCGCTATACTGTTGGTTCATCAGAAACAGATCGACTGCAATCTGATAGCCGGAGCACTCCAGAGCGAAACGCTTATAGAAATCTGTCGCTGGATTCAGATGCGGTACATCCTTGGCCGAGCGATTGTTGGGATCTTCGCGCGGCTCTAGCGCTCCGGGTCCCTTGTTGGGAAGGCACGATTGAAACACCGTTATACGTCCACCAGATGCTTGCTGTGGAAAGTGATAAAGTAAATTATTTAGAGGTTGGCTACCATTTGATAGTTGCTAAGTCTGCTCACCATCAGTTTGAAGGCCACCTGAAGGGCCGCGCCCAGCGCCGAGCCAGGATCATGGGTGTGAGCAAAGCGTTTGGGCAGCTGCTTCAGCAGATCCCTAACCAGTTCCTTGCACTCCTTCAGATTGACCAACAGACTGTCGGGGCGCGGCAGAAAGGGATCATCAATATCCAGCAGCGTCATCTCATGCGGCTGATTCAGGCCCTCAGCCATGCTGTAGAAGTGCACGAAGCTATCGTAGCATAAGAAACCCACTTGGGTGCGCGCATCGCCCGGCATCTCATCCAAATGGCGATTCAGCACTGAGCATGCCGTCTCCAGATAGCCGCTCTGCTGCGCTATAATCGACACATCGAACAGGAACAAATACATCGCCGGCTGGGGTGGACGCAACATGTATTCCGATGGCGCAATGAATTCAATAGTGCTGGACCGCACCTCGGGTCGTCGTGTCACATCGCCGTATGTCTTTGTAGCCGGATCAAACTGGAAGTCCTCGGGCACTACGAGAGAAAGGAGAACATTGTAATGAATCACTATTATCAAATGGCGAGCTTCCTCTAACTTACGCTCGTTGACGCGATAGCAGAGATTGCATTTCCACATTTTGCTGTCCACGAAGTAGACAAACGGATTGATGTAGGTGCGGCACAAGCGGCAGCGCACTATATTGACGCACTGTATCACGGGCAGGCTCTGTGGAGTAGAGTTTAGAGATATTAGCAAGTGCACCACATAATATTTATAGTCCATGCTCTTACATTAACATCTCGAAATGGATGAATGACTATGCCCAAGGGCAGGCGTGACTTTTGCAGCAGCGAATTGCTTTCCGGTATCTTGGTTAGGGTGCAGCGTATTATGCTTCCACTGCAGTTGATGGACTCGTGGAACTGATTGTGCAGCACCACCTTGGGCGGCGCAATCGTGGCTGGCGACAGAATATGCCGGTTTTGCATCAGATCAATGGTGTCCTGACCCCACAGCCGACTAAAGCCCTGCTGTGCCACGCTCAGCGGCTGCTGCTGCGCCTGATACTGCAGCGGCGCGTTGCCATGCTGCTGCGGCTGTGCACCGAACATGCCGGGAGCTGGCAGCTGCTGTTGCTGCTGCTGTGGTGGAAAAGTTTGCTTATATGGATATTGCTGCGGCTGTTGCTGTGGATGTTGTTGCGGTTGCTGCTGAGGATATTGCTGCTGCTGCTGTTGCTGTGGCCGATCGGCTGTTGGTGGCGGGCCAAAGGGCGGCAGCTGCACCTGCGATGGCATACTCTGACTGGTTGGCAGCGGCGGTGGCATAAATCCCTGCGGAGCACTCTGCATCATAGCATTGGCGGGCATGGCAGCCACGCCTGACTGCCAGAGCGGCGGCCGTTGCGCTGCTGGCGGCACTCCAGGCTGTGCTGCACGTGGCGCATTGTTGTTGGGTTCCGGTCCAGCTGGCCCAGGGGCTGGCACGCCGTAGGGCAGCTTCTGCTCCGTTGGTGGCATTGGTCGCGTGGCCAATTTGGGTGCTGGCGTCATGCCGCCGCCAAACACACTCGCCTGACTTTTGTTGCTGGGCGCATTGGCATTGAATGGTGGCACCATGGCAGCCATGGAATTCTGCAGACTAGGCGGCGGTCCATTCCCTGCCAGCAAAGTATTCGCACTCGAGGTTTGCAGTTGTTGCGCGGAGCCAGACAGACTGGAGACGCCGCGGTAGTCCTTACGCGCCAAGGATTGCCCAGAGCCAGGCCCGTTCAGCGGATTCGGATTCATGCTCATGCTCTGCATGCTGTTAGTCAAGTTGGACACTTGAGCAGCTGATTGCTGCTGTTGCTGCTGCTGCTGCTGATGTTGTTGTTGTTGTGGTGGTGGTGATGTCAGCATTGTGGAGCCAGCCTGACTCATCGTTGAAACCATCTGACTGCCGGACGGCTGCGGAGTCATCGTTCCTGAAGTCGCTAACGTGGCAGGCAGTTGACCAGCGAACGACTGCTGAGCAGACACCGGTGGACCTTGGACTTGTTGCGTCGGCTTTGGCGCATAGCTGCCCAATGGAGCCGCCGCATACTGCGACCTGGCCGAGTCGGCGTTAACCAGGCCAGGCGATGCCGTGCGTGAGGAGTTGGCACTCAATGCGCCGTTGCTGCCATTGGTAACAGGTGCTCCTGCTGCTGCTGCTGCTGCTGCTCCTGCTCCTGCTACTGTTGTTGTGGTGGAAGTTACAGGCGTGGGTCCGTTTAGCGTGGGTGGACGCAGGTGTGCGGGCAGATTGCTGAGCGGCGTCGTTGCTGGCGGCGCTGCTGCTGGACCATTGCTCAAAGCTGGTGGCAAAAACTTGCTCATCACATTGTTATTAAATTGAGGCGGCGGCGGTAGCTGAGCGTTGCCACTGGGCGTGGCATTTATGGGATACTGCGTTGGCTGTTGCTGGAATTGATTCAGTGGCTTTGGAGGGGGCAACAATTTTTGCTGCTGCGACGGCGGCGGCTGCTGAGACGGTGGTTGCTGCTGCTGCTGTTGTTGCACGTAGAGTTGCTGCTGCTGTTGCAATTGTTGCTGTTGCTGTTGCTGCTGCTGCTGCTGCAGTTGTTGTTGCTGTTGCAGTTGTTGCTGACCATTTACCAAGCTGCCATTTGACGCCGCTGGCACAAAATTTGTATTGTATGCTGACATTCTTCTAATTCATGGAATGCAGCTACAAAGAGATGGAATAAGAAAATGGATATTAGTTCAAAGTTCTTTGGAGATCGATTGTCTTAATGCCGTGCAATGCCGTTTAGCATATCAACTTTATCGAATTGATGTGTTGGGCCTGTACGTGAAGGTCGCAGCAGAACTACTATTATTGTTGTTGTTTTTGCCTTATCTTATCAATTCAATGGCAAAACCTTTAGGAAACCAGAAATAGTTGCAGCATAATCGCTGTCAAACGTGCTCAGATAACAAAAAGAACAATAACAACAATCAAGACAATGAACAGAAACTTTATAATAGACTGAGGGCAAATAGATATGAACTAGTTTTAGTGCCACATTTTCCTAAAAATCTCTCTATGTATGTACATATATTAGAGGAATTGTTTATTTAGCTTGGCGCAATTTTTACACTTTATTCAGTTAAATAATAAATCGAGTGTAAATCAATAACAACAAATTGGGTGAGTGGCCAAGGTAACAGGCTAACGGTACTAGGTTTATACACCTTTTGAATTTCGAATGTGGCTGTGACCAGCCATCGAAGAGAACTGAACTGAACTGAACTAATTGCCATTTGCATTGCACTTTGCGTATCGAATTTGTATTTCATTTCTTTGACGTCAACTTTTTATGGAGCAAAGCTCTAATTTACACTAAATGAACACGCTTACATGGGATACTATTAGTTGGTCAATCGCTATGTAACATTGAAACCACATTATTAGCATAAATATAGAACATATTCAAGGCTATATCCATATGTACGTACTCAGCTGTGAACATTTCTAGATGCTCCGTGATTCCTTACTTATCAAATTTTTTATCATATTTACACTCTTTTCTATATACAGATAAGGTCACCTTAATTTTATATAAGTTTTGGCCTTTGTGAATATGTTTAGATTACATGAACAATAATTAATATATGCATATGCATGTATATAAGAAAAATATATCTGACATTCGTGAACTAGTTCACTTTGGCTAATTATAATTTGCCAACACTAATGCAAATGCTTTGACCTGCATCTTAGTGTATTTAATGTTCGACTGCCCGCAGATAACTGTTTTCTCTCAATTTACGTGGAAGCGAACAAAAGCGAAGACGAATTCGTTGGTGGACTTGATAAAGCGTTTATTGAACTGAAAACGCGACATTGGACATGAGCTGAGGAATGCTGTCGCAGAAGTTACTACTGATCTGTTGCTGTTACTGTTACTGTTGCTAATAAGCAGCAAAATGAAATGCTTTATCGCAGACAATTGGCCATGCGATAAGGAAAACTATTCGCATGCATAATACAAAAGCAAATTGGCTCTATCAGCAAATGTTGATGACGTCGATATACGTCGTCGTCGTCACCGCCGGCCCGTAGACTTAGTGGAAAGGCATTTCCCATTTATATTAAGCTTACCTTTCCTGTTGTCAATGTTGCCAAACTAATGGGATCGTTGGAAAAAGGGCGTTGGAACGTGTGTTCTGCTATATGTATGTGTGAGTGTGTGTGTTTCACTTTGTGTACTTGACCAGCACTTGCACTTTGTAGTTGGCTCTTCTTCTTACTCTGCTTTCGTTAATTGACTGATGAAGCATGCACACACTTTTCACTGCGTTTTTCCCTAATGCTGCTGCTGCTGCTGATATATTCTCTTTCTCTTGTGTCTGCAGTTGCAGTGGGGCGGTTTCTGTTAACAATTCTTTTCCAATTGGCACGCAACAAACGAAATTTATATTACATATATATTTTTTTGTAGCTGACAATGAACAACGGCGCTGCCTTGCGGGCCTCGGCCTCTATCTCGCACACCCAATCCACTCTCGCTCTCTTTTACTCACTGAGCGATTTTCACTGATGTGTTTGCTGCGTACTTCTCGGAATATCTTTTATCCGTTCCAGCACCGATTCACCGTTTAATTTAATGGACCAATTGCGTGCAAATCTTTTCGCATTGCAATTTCAGCCTCTTAATACACCTAAACACTAAAATTTAGAGCCACGTCAATTTTATGAATAGGCTGGCATCACCAACAAATGTCAAATAAGCGGTGCTGCCACCTCACTGAAATAAGGTTCAAATGAACACGATTCATGAGCCCGCCAAGTCACAAACTTTGAAAAATCAAAGAATTTTATTTATTTGCAGTAACAAGTTTCATTTTGCAATATAAGTATAATGGCTGCATTAGATTCTAGGCTGTATGTGTATTATTCTCGTTTAACTTCTAAAGAAATTCGTAAAAATATATGTATATATTGCTTTCATTCGTAATTAGATTTCAATATAATTTTTTTTTTCATATATTCATTTATTTACGAGGATGTCTGCGCATTGGATATTCTATATAGTTTTGTATAATAGATTATTTTCAACAGTTTTAAAAGCGTAATATTCTTTATTCGTTTCATTTTGCGTTAACTTTGCGTGAGAGTATTCGGTAGTTTACAAAGAAAAAAATTGCTTTGCCGTGTGATTGTTGCATTGCTGGCAAATGCCAACTAAATTATATGCTAACTATTGATTAAATACAATAAATTGATATTTTACTTTGCTTTTTTACAGGCAATTCGTTGGATTTCTTGCTGTCGGGTGTGATTGTTGTATAAGTAAAGCTTTCATCTTTATTATTGTGACAATGAAATAAACAAAACCGAAAATGGAAAATGCTTTGAATATATAATACTTAAGTTATTTTTAATTGTTTTATTTGACAAAATCAATTGTGCAGTATGCTTTAAAGTTTTGAAAACAGGAATTAATTATTAATAGTATGTATCTATTAGATATCTCTTGTATTGTATTTTCATCTATTAGAGTCTTTTATTTAAAAAATAGAATTTCTATGCTTAAGTCTCTAATATTTTTTCTTTTCGGTAATCTACAACAGTTTTTCACTTCTTTTAAATACATATCGCATTATGTGTCGTGTGTGTGTGTATGTTACTTTTATATTGTAAAAGGTATTTTGTTTTTAGGTGTTCTTTGTTTTGCAGTTTACTGCGATTGCCTTTGAAACACGCTAGTACATATGTTATTATTAATAATATGTTGTTTTATACGAGTATGTGTTTTTTTTTTTTTTGCATAGAGACTATTCTATTAAAGTGTTTGCTCTGTATAATTAATTAGTTATTGCAGTTTATATTAGATTCATTAAATTTCAACCATTGTATGCACCTAAATAAACATCGTACGTTGTGTCGTTCAAATATTGTTTGTTGTTCCGTTAACCGTCTACTTAAACTTGGCGTTTGCTTCCTCACTTTCGAAGTGTTTTGTATGTAGGTATGTATAAACTATTTACAATCATTAAACGGACACTAGATGGTTGTTTCTTATCGCTTAACGCCTAACGCTTAGCACATATCTCATAGTTCATTATACTGTAAAACATTAAGTTTCCTGCATATGTTACGTTGTATCATCGTCAGTGTTTTTGTGTCTGGGATTTGCGCACTTGTGGAAATTATACAATAGTCGAGGCTTCTTAAACTTGATATGAATCACATATATCTATACATATATATATATATATATATACTGATATATGTGTGTGTATGTGTATAAACATTGCTGTTGGCCTTTGCTACGTTTTGCTTCAGCTGCTGCGCATTCGTGCATTATCTTTTGGCCTCCTTTTCCTGCAAATACATCCGCTGACTCAGCGGCTTTGTATATATCCAGTTATCGCCCACAGGCTTAAAGTGCTGCAAATGAAGATCAGTATTTAATATTGATATATATATAACCTATATTTAATTTAGTTTACTTTGTGTTCCCAAGCCAAGTCGTATTCCTTGCGAACCTTTGCTTGATCGCGCTGCTGCTGCTCCACGACGAATTTGGCGTTTGTCGCGCGCTCGATGTCATTGAATCTATTTTAAATGGAATATTATTAAAATTTATAAGGATAAAGGTCAATTTATATAAAATGCAGCTTATTAATTATATAGAATCATGAATTTTACTTGAGTCCCGCAGTCACTTCCTTCCAAACACGTCGCGATTCATATTCATCCTGCTCAACGATTGGTCGAACTTGTTTCTTAAATATGGGTATGCGATTTACGTCGACGAATACTTCAGTTTTCTAGAAAATTAAAGATGCACGGTGGATTTAAGCATTTGGAGTAACAAAAATACACGGGCACATCTACACAACAATTAGACCAAGTGGGAATGGAAAACGTGGGCAGGCAGAGTTAAGTGTATTGGTTTAATTTTCTAGATAAACAAAGTAAATACACACAGAAAATGTGGTCCCAAACTATTTAAGAGAAAAGTACAAGTATCGCAAAAAGTAAATTGGAGCAGGTTAATTGGGTAGAGAGGATAGGTAGACATTTAGATATAGATACAGATGTTTAGATAAAGGTGTAGATAGATAGATAGATGTAGCTGCCAACGCGTAGGGTTGTTTCTTGCAGCGTTTTGGGCGCATTGTCACAGAAAGGGATTAAACAAATACGTTTTCAACATTGATAAGTTAATATACAACTCTACATATGCAATATAATAGCTTAGGTTTGTTTGCAGCATGCGTGTTGCAACTTACATTCTTATCGTGCCACTTGGCCTCCATTAGGCCACTCCACTCGCCAGCAATCGAAACAAATGGCTTTTTGTCATTGGGCGAATATATCTAAAGAGTTAAAGAATATATTAATATATATATTATATAATTACTTATTATTATTAACCCACCTCGGCGGTAACTTTGTTACGCTTGCCGCCATAGAAGGGCTTTGTAAGAAATTCTACATTGGCATAGTAGCCCGTTTGTGGGCATTTGATTTCAACTGAGCCGCCCAGCTCAATCCAAGGCACAGTTAAAATAGACCTAATAGATGTCAATAAATATATAGATTATTTATTATCCGTTAGAGACTTTCTTATATCATACCTGCCATAACCATTGGGGAACGTTACAATGTACTCCTCGCTGCGATCCACCAGGGTAACGACACCCTCACCGATATTGTGCACCCCAATGGATAGGCCCAGAAATTTTGATTTTGTCCAGACGTGAGCAGTAAATGTTATCTTCTTATTATAATGCTCGGCATAAAAGGCTGAAACTGTATTGAATACAGGCGAAAATTAATTGGAGTTGAATGTGCTACATTATCAAATGTCACCCACTTGGCGGATGATGAGACACCTGCTCGGCTAAGAAAGTTAGCTGATCCCGTCGACACCAAGGCACAGGACCATCCTTCACTTCCGGTTCATTTTGGGTTTCACCTGCAGTAAAGCCAAACAAAATTAATATTAAGACATAGCAACATTTTCGACTTTCATTTGACTACCTGGAATATCCCAATGGCACTGAAATACTTCGCCCAGTATGGGGTTATAGGGCTTTTTGGCCACCGCGCTCTTACGGCCCGCATGATAAGCGCTCAAATACCAACGGCAAACCTGGACAATGCGATCACGTGGGTCATCCAGTTCCGAGATTCTAGAAGAGATGTATATACATATAAATACAAATATCGATATAAAGTAGGCTAATTCAACTTACTTGAGAAACAAATCGGGATGGGCAAAATAGTCGGCATACATTTCGAGTAAAGAACGACGCTCCAAAATGAATGTTGGCAGCACCACCTTCGTGAGATCCATGCCAATCTTCACCTGGGACAACAGATGCGTTATCATTGAGCCGTGCGCCTCCATGCTGAGGTCCATCTCCTCCTCCTCCTCGTACAGAGCATCATAGTCGATGCCATTGTCATAGCTCGATGACCGAGAGCTGGGCACTTTGCTCGAACCGGTCTCATCTACTTCGGCTACTGTCTTTGTTTTTATTGCTGTAGCTGACGAGCTGGGTTTTGGCGCTGTTGTTCCGGCTACATCGACGCCACCACCATAGCTGTCCTGCGGTTTATCGTGCGTGGGCGACGTCTCCACAAAGCCACGCGTAGTGGTGCTGAGTTAATTAAAGACTTGTTGATTAGTATTCTGCTAAGGATGTGGACCAACTGAACGTTACATGCATAACTTATGAATTGCCCAGATTTAAATCATTAAATGATGTCAGCCTTGGTCCTTTCTCCCTCTGCTACACTCAATCATTCTCTCTCTCTCTCTCTCTCTCTCTCTCTCTCTTTGTCGTACTTCCTCTCAGTACGTGCCTTGGCTCATTTACAATTTACAAAACAGATGGACGAATGGACACATTTACACACTCTCTCATAGGCATTCACATACACACACGCGCACACAAATAGATTTGCAAGTGGTGCTTACCTTAGGCTCACACGTCGTACCCACTTCTTAAACATGGCAACTCTGGCGATGCGGTTGCGAACTCAGTTTAAGGTGCATTCAAGTCTTTAATATGGCGAGAGCAAACTTTTGTTTTGCATACTTTGCGGCGTCAGCTGAGCGCAACAAATTAAACAGCTTCAACACACATATACATACACAAGCACACAAGGAAATTCATTTACACATTTACACCCACACACAATCACACAGTCACACAGAAACATAAATCAAAGCAGAACCTATGAGCATTTCGCCATATTAAATGAAACCAAAAAAACAAACAGAAACAATGAGCAAAGGCGAACAGTCAACAGTCAGCAACGAACGCAACTACAAACTGACAGGACGAAATCGTAAATTGCACGACGTACCCCGGAGGCCAGAGCTTAGTTGAGTTGAACTGGGGACGACGACAACAACGACGACGGCAACAACAACAATGTGTCAGCTGTGACGTGTTGGCGTTGCCAAATCGGCTGACGTTGCTACTTGCAGTACTGCATAAATGCTTCACAGGCGACTGACCAACTTAAATACTAACACACACGTGCATGCATACATATGTAAATGAGTTTGTGTGATACCTGTGCTGCAGTTGCATTGCGCGTGCGCAATTTCAAATACCGACTAAAAAACATAAAGTCGGGCATTTAAATAAGTATAAGCAAGCACACACACATACATATTTATGTTTTTATATGTGTACATTTAAATGCGGTTTTACGCATTGAGATAACCGGCATCTGTTCACATGGCAACACTGGCTAATAGCCGTTTGTTTAGTTTACACACACACACACACACACACATGTACACTTACCAGCCAATTGGTGAGTTGCCCAGGCTAGTGAACGGATCATCGTAGGCATCGTAAAAGTCTTCTTCACCTTCACTGCTCGAATACGAGGTCTCAGGCACGACCAGTCCCAAAGGCGCTGTGGTCGCTGTAATGATTCAAATATGAATATCTATTAATCAAATGCATTTCACTCGAATTCTAATTGCCAATTCATCGATTACCAAAACTCATAAGCAGCCCTCTTGGGGCACATGCACACAAATGCCAACTTTTATATGTCGGCATGCATTGTGTGTGTGAATGTGACCCTGAATCATGAAATGCCATATTTTGTTTACAAGCTTCTCATACATATCGAATATTCTGATATGACAGAAGTCAAAATACCCTATAATTAAGTTGACTTGTATTAACAGATTATATTCTATAGAAAGAAAGAAAATCTGCAATAATGATATACTCATTAAATAACACAAATATAAGTATTTGTTATTATCTGTGTGCACATTTGTTTATAATTCAAATGATAAACAAGAGCTCGCTTGAATACAAAAGGCTTATCAAGCAGTTATAAATGTACATATGTACATACATATACACATGCATATACAAAGAGATAAGACAATCGCCAATCGCTTGAGATATCTAATATACCCTATGGCAATTTCAAGTGTAAATAGTCAAATTAAAACCAAAACAACATACAGCGCAAATGAGACCATAAAAAAAATAATATGCACTGGGATGACATTTACCGTTTTCCGTTGCTGAATCATCCTCATCGTCGCCGGCCAGCTCGTTCTTGAGCGACAAATGGGCCTCGTTTGGCTTGTCGCCGATGCCGCTGCCACCGCTGCCACCGCTGCTGCTGCTGCCGCCGCCGCCGCCGTCACCTCCACCGCCGCCGCCGCTGCCCGACGATGCCATCATAATGCCCGCCGTGTTTTTTGCAACTGTGGGGCCATTGTAAATGCCATTGACGGGGTGCGCCATATTTTTGGCAATTTGTAGACTAACAATTGAGTGTTTGATATGATCCAACATGGCCTGCAAAATGCAATAAATAAACAAAAGAGACAGAGAGAGAGAGAGAGAGAGAGAGAGAGAGAGAGAGAGAGAGCGGTTTAAAATAAATACAGCAACAAAAGATGTCAAGACCTCGATTAAATAACAATGCCGGATGGACTGAGCCAGCGCCTGTCCCACTCTATTCCCCTGACCACTGATTCGCTCTGTTCCGAATACAGTTTGCCTCGAAGTTTGCCAAAGAAATGAGCAGCTGCTTTGTGGCAGCAGCTGGCACAAGTTGGCGAATATTCCCATACCCCTCATGCATATCTAATAATACGAGCCCTTCTCGGGCCTAACCCTGAACTTGCATTGAAAATCAATAATTCATCAAACTCTTGACTAAATTCAAATTTCAATTTAAAAACAAAACAAACAACTTTTGCTTGAATCCACATTGTAGGAAACGTCTAACATACTGTTAACACTGAATATTTATACAGAAGACTAATTAGATACTTTTTTTTTTTTGGCTAAATGGATGACGAACTGATTGACCCCATGGAGCATTCCATCGATGAGATTCGCCACAATTTCGAGAACTATAAAATGCGCCGTGCCTGCTTGAATAAAGTGGACGAGGTTCAAGGCGCGAGGCTTCGATTCGATAAGGACCTACGGGATTTACGTGCCGAAATGCAGGAGCTGCGCCTGGAAATGAACACACTGCATACGCGCCAATCGGAGCTTCTATGCTGGCTCGATGTCAATGCCATTGAGGAGCTGCCATCGAGCTTAGAAATGATGGATCTAATAATACATAAACAGAAAGCGGATGGTATGGTTTCTAGTGAACAGCCGATGGAGTTAACGGGCTGCCAGCAGAAGGACAAACTGCAGCCAGATCAGGATCAGCTGGTCATCAACTGCGAGTCCACACCGTGTCTCTTTGACTACTGCCACACGCAGGTCGACAGTCATCTGCTGCTGCTGCACTACTTCTGCGATCACAACGAGGAAACTTCCGCTTCGCAGCGCTGCCACAAGGTGTGCAAGGGAAAGCGTGTGATACTGTCCTTTGACAGTCGATGCTGCAAATTTCAGCAGAATCATGTGATTGGGCTGCTCGCCTATATTGGCCCATGGATGGAGGAGAAGCCGCTCGATTTGTGGAAATCAGCTGGCGACATGTACGATTCGTTTTTACCGCAGGAGCAAGCTCATCTGGCCAGCAACGTGCCGATTGTGGTGCTCATCTGCTTGACGGCTCCGAAGACTGTCTTGCAGGACAAGCCACTCGCACGTTGCACCTTGCCTCCAGCTAATGCCGAAGATCAGGTGTTTGTCATTTGGCTAGCGACGACACACGATCTGCAGGTGGATCTGCGTGCCAGCCTGAAACTCTATGGTCGAGATGTAGCCATCCAGGCAAAGACCCAGCTGGCCGTCTGCCAGGTGCAAATCACTGGAGACACGAGTCCCTTTATGCCGGTGGGTGCCAACTATTGGCGTCTATCGTTCAGCGAGATTCAAAAGATATCGAATAACTTTCGTGACGAGCTGCATCTGGAGATTGACCTCAAGCAACTTAGCCCCAACTGGAGCCCGATCTGTTGACCAAAGACTGCATTCTACTCACACTTGCGTTATCCTGTAGCGCCTTGCACTTGGCCTGCTCCGTGGCGTCGTTCAGCTCAGCGATGCGTTTGTTCAGCGACTGTTGAGGATTTATTTGAGATTTTGATTACATAAAAGTCAAATTTCATATATTTCAATTGACCGCCACTCACATTGGTTTGCTCTATCATCAACTGCAGGTAGGCATCCGCTTCGGCGACGCGGCGACCGACCAGCTCCAAGTGATTGGCCCGTTTGCCACTCGACTCCTTCGTGTAGCCGCCGGCAATGTAGAAGGCGCTCTGGCTGTCCCACAGACGCGAACGATTCGCGTGCCGTCGTATTGTGTCCTCCAGACGTCGCACCCACTGCTCACGCTCGTCGGCGTGCCGCGCCTGCATGCCATTCAGTTCGATTGGGCGGTTGGGTGGTGCGATAGTTGGCCGTTCGTTTCGTTTGCCAATAAGTTTTATCGTTACAAAAAAAGGTGGAGCAGCAGCGCCAAAGGGAAAAGGGAGACACAAGCAAAGAAACAAAATCAGTGAAAATACTTAAGAAATATAGACTTGACAATGTGTGGGAGTAAGTGGTTCAGATTGTGTGCACTCCTATGTGAGCCCTGTGTGGGCGGGTCAGTGTATGAGGCTCTGTGTGTGTGTAGCTCTTGAGAGTTCAAAAGTTTAGTGCCCATTTAATAAAGGCGTATTAGGCTTAAGCGTGTCGCTATCGTATATATATATATAAACTATATTAAATCTACTCTCATATAAATATATACACACATATATATGTATATGATATGTAGAGAGGGAGCGCGTTTAAAAGAGTAGAATGTCCTATTTTGAGTAATACTAGAGAAAGCATAAATATATGTATGTATTATTATTTCTCCTTCCCTGCCGCCTAGTCCTCTTCTCCAGCCGTCCAACCAACAATTCTCCCCTCTCTCAACTATTGCTCTCCATACTGAACTCTCCTCGGCCTCCGTGAAAAAAAATAGATAAAAAGAAAAAGACTCTGGTCCCTACTTGAATTTGTGAGAATCGAGGAGGAAGGCGCCGTCCAAAAATTATTTGTGTATAAGCTACGACATATTCATATTATAAGAATATTTCGGACATACATTGACATAACTAATTATATTGATATACATATATATGTGTGGACATATAATGTTATTATAAATGTATTATATAATAAGAATACTCTGTATTTGTTTGTTGTACTAGCTTTACTTTCGTCCACCCAGCAAAGCTGATCAAAAGCAAAGTAAATTAAATAATTTAATGGAATTTCATTAAATATAGATGTACATGTGTACATATAAACAATCAACAATTAGACAGCGACAGTTCAAATGTCCAGTATATAACAAATATATTATATATAAGGTAAGTAAATAGCTTGAAGTCAATTGAGCAATAGTTCTGTATAGACAAATTTAAATATTTTTGCATACTTAAATTGCTTATATATTTTTTTTTTGTACAGTGAGACAGTTCTTAGCTGTACATGTAATAAATAAAATAACCCATACTTAATAACTGAATTGTAAATCATTTGATTAGCATATGATTAATACACATACCTGAAAATGGAAGGTCTTGTGATCGACAGTTATGGTAAATGTATTATCCTCCTGATCATCGATGCCAATGAGGGCATCCTTGAGCCTAACGCAACCGCGACGCACGCCCTTCATCATTTTCTCCTTGGACTGTAATTGGAAAGAAAGATACATATGTATAAAATATATAAACATATATACTATATAGATACTACGCATTTGAAAGGGTCTGTGACGGTGTGTGACGCTCGCATAGGCCAGCGTAACGGTGGAATGCAAAATGAGTTTAATTGTATAAATTAATTCAGTTTGACGCGTCGCTAAGGTGCTCAAAACCAAAAGAATCAATTAACAAATGCCCACACATCAGTGATAAGTCGGGACGTGAACATTCCCAGCGCTAATCGGCTCGATTAGTCTACATTCGTACATACATATATTTATATATATAAATATATATTTAAGGATACGGCACACGGAATACAGTTCAAAATGGATAAGCCCAGTGAGAGTTTGATTGCATTTGAAACAAAGTTCCATTTGAGAATTATATACAATTTTTTATCAAAGCATATGATGTCCAGCATCCTGCTATAATGGCCACGCCTTGGTTTATGCTGAGTGTCCTGGGATTATATTTGTTTGTCGTGACCTATCTGGGACCCACGTGAGTATCGAAAGTATCCAAGTTTTGTGCATTTAGAACTAGAATTTCGAATGCGATGGACAAAATAATTTATGCAAAGCGGACTCTAAACTTTGAATTCAAGTCGAATTGACCTATTGCGGAATATGTTACGCCCTGAAACTGTACAACTGTAATCGAATTTTGTATTTTACACTTTCAAGTTTTATGCTCTTTCGAAAACCGTATGAACTGAAAAAATTGATTATAGTGCATAATATTGTTCAGGTTGTATCGTGCATATTCGTTGTCTACGAGGTGGGTCCACATTGAAGATCTTTCATAGTTATCATCTCTGAATATATGTTAAACATTCGATACTATCGCCAGATTCTGCACATAACGGAGTATACGATTCTGTACTTTTGGAGATGCAGCGTTGTGGAGGAGACGCCCGAACGGATGGCTCGTCATTTCCGCCTGGCCTACTTCCTCTTCTGGCTAAAGCTGTCGGAGCTCATTGAGACGGTTATATTCGTAATGCGCCAGAAACAGAACCAAGTGACCAAGCTGCATGTCTTCCACCATATCAGCACCGTCACGCTCATCTATATGCTGATCAATCATAATCGTAAAAATGGTGCGTACCCAAATTATTGATACCTCTCGAAGGAGCTATTTGCCGACTTTGATTCTATTTTGGTTGCATTCTTGCAGGCTGCGATGCGCTGTTTCCCATTCTGCTCAATTCCAATGTCCACATCATTATGTATACCTATTATCTGGTCGCCGCCGTGGCCGATAAGCGTACGGTGCGTGCTCTGATGCCCGTTAAGAAGTCAATAACGGTTCTGCAGATGGCGCAATTCATACTGATCTTAATACATGCCATATTGGTATCGTTGAATTGCGGCGTGGAGAAGGCTATCTTCATGTATTTCATATTCGTTATTGGGCTCATGTTCTATGGATTCTACGACTTCTATCGCAAGTCCTACCAGAGCTCCAAGCGTAGAAAAAGTTCTATCGCTGTTGCCGTTGTTGCTGCTGCAGCTGAAGCAGCTGAGGTGAAATTACAATAAGTGTATATACATCCATATGTCTATATATCTATATATACGTATATATGTACAGCCAAACCGACAAATACACACACACACACACACTCGCACATGTGTGTGAATTTTGAAATTTGATTAATTGACGACAATTGGGTTGAGGGAGGCGAAGCTCTTATTTGTGACTGACTGCCAGATAAGATAACAATTAACGCAGCACCAATTTAAGTAGATAAACATGACAAATATTTCCATCACTTGTCAACTGAGCAGTGATGATCACTTACCGTATAGTAGGAGAGCAGGCCCGCATTCTCGTCCAAAACGAAGAAGCGATATTGCCATCCTTTCATTACGTTTGTCCATTTGCTCAGCGTGCCCTCCAGTGTGCCAGATGAGGTGGATGCCATGTTTTATATGTTGGAGCTGCAGTTTCACCTAATACTGAATGCTGATGCCAATTTGATTTCCACTTCCACTGCCACTGCCTCAGCCTCTGCCGCCGTTGTCAGCTGATCTCCCGGGCTGCCGTTTGAGCGGTGTGTGAGTGGGATAGGTGCTGGTGTCTCTGCCTGGTGACGCAACTATCCTCCTACTCGCTCGTACAATCCAAACTTTACTACGCTCGTAGCAGGGCTTGGAAAAACAAAGCATTTATTGTTATGCCGTGATTGTGCCTGCTTATTAATGGTTCGCTTGTTGTCTCGCTCAATAGAGCGAGTGAGGTAATCTAAAAAAAGAGTTGCCAACGTAAGCATATTATATTGGTATTTTTATATACCGAAATGCAGTAACACTGTTTTCACTTGCTTACAATCGGCGCGCACAAGAAAATTCTCGATAAATTAACGATAAGTTAACCGTCGATAAATTCAAATATATATTTTAAAACATGACCTTTATTTATAAACTTTTGGCTTAAAACTAGGAATGAATGAGTTTTTCTTTGCATGTGCTGTAATGAAATTAACAAATTCTAATGGTGTTCTTGCCCATAACAACTATGGCTCCTTCATCTTGAACTTCTTTCAGAGCATCCTCAAACTGTTCACGTGTAATCATCTAAAATGAAAGTGAATTTCAATTAGTAAGTTATTAAACGTACTATCATAAGAAACTTACAATTTGAGATCCCTCCTTGATCTCCTTGAATAGTTTCTGGTAGGGCACAGTTGGCACTTTACCCTTCTTCTTAAGATTTTCCTTGATGGCAGCCACCAAATCGGCGCGTTTCTTGCGAGCTGCCGTAGACAAGCCGGTGGTTAGGATGCCCACATCGATTTTGCCTGATAGCGGATCCGTGGCCGATTGTTTAAGTGCCTCGCGATGCAGGCGCCAAGCCTCCTCCACATCCTGCAGCTCCACCGAATTGCTTAGCCGAACCTTGGCATGCGCCTCGGACAGACGAATCAAGCTCTCCAGCTGGCGAGGATAAGCTGAGATCTGACCACGTCCAGCGCCCACCTTGCGCATATCTACATACGCCTGGATCAGACGCTGTTGTGCCTCATCCGAGAGAGTGGGAGAGAGATGCTCCCGAGCATAGGCAATGTAGTCACGCAACACGCTCATATCCTACAAGAAAAGTTATTAAGAGAAGCTCTTGAAGGTCTGAAGTCTCTGCATACTTACAAACATAGTGTCTTCCTCCTCGTGACGGGTCACATAGTACAGAGAGACCAAATGACTCGCCAGACGTTTGTCAAAGATCTCATCTTGAGGGTCCAGTACCAGGAAAATCAAATCGAACCGCGAGAGCAAGGTGTGCGGCAATTGGACATTGTCAATGATATTTTTACGTTTATTCCACTGCGACTCGGCGGGATTTGCGGCAGCCAATATTGACGTTCTTGCATTCAATTGACAAATGATGCCAGCTTTGGCGATGCTCAAGGTCTGCTGCTCCATCACCTCATGCAGGACACTGCGCGTTGAATCGTTCATCTTATCGAACTCATCTATGCAGCAAACGCCGTTGTCAGCCAGCACAAGAGCTCCACTAGAAATACAGGAAACCCTTAGTCGATACATTAGTTGGGGAGTGCGGATCACCTACGTTTGCAACACAAGTTGACGTGTCTCCGGATCCTTGGTGACATAGGCAGTTAAGCCCACAGCTGAGGAGCCGCGTCCCGATGTATACTGCGAGCGCGGCACCAGATTGTAGACGTACTGCAACATTTGTGACTTGGATGTGCCTGGATCACCGCAGAGCAGCAAATGAATTTCCGACCTAAAGTTCTGGCGGCCAAGTGTCGAGTGCTTCTTCTTGGTGCCGCCAAAGAGCTGCAAGAGTATTCCCTTCTTAATGTCATCATTCTCATAGATGGAGGGCGCAATAGCGCGGGCCAAGCGATCATAGATATCGGGCTTCTTCGACAGCAATTGCAGCAGTTCCACACGTTCGGGTGGGAATATATGATCCTTGCTGTTTGGGGAACGAGTGATTGTTAATAACAATTTCTGTAATGACAAAGACATTGTAACTACTCACCCTTCCTCCTCTTCGTACAGACGCTTGTTATCGACCTTACGGAAATGAACCACATCGACGTGCGTCTTGTACACACTCTTCACATTCTGACCATTGCCTCTTAGGGGCGTGGCACGATAGATGCCAGTGACTGTGACACGATCACCCGCCTGCACTTTGTCTACCAGATCGTTGTGGGCATATAGCAGGACATTGTGTGGCGTCTGGCCAGCTGCCATATCGTCGGGAGATTCCTGCAACTTGATAAGCTGTTTGTCTGTGAACTCGCTGCGATTGTGGATGATGCGGAAGCAGTGATTGGTGTTGCAATTGGTGCAGAGCGTTGGCTGGGCAATGCGACCACGATCCACCTCGACGGTGGTGCAGAAGGAGCATATGTTGCACATGAAGAACGCTTCACGCATTTCGGGTATTACGTTAGACGAGCGAATGACCATGCCACTAATACTAATCAATTGGTCCATGTCTTCCGGATTCAGAGAGCGCATATTACGCGTCTTATCCGCATTGAAGGGTCGCACTTGAATCTGATGCTCTAGCTCAGCGGCCGGATATTGTTCAAAGAACATCTCATTTATGGCCATATCAAAGCCAGGAATCACTTCCTGTGGATAGCATATCAACTGGCGGTACAAGTCCACATCAAATGTCTTCAGATGTGCGCAATTCAGATTCAGATAGGGCTCCTCCAACGTGTGAATCTCCTCCAGCTTTTGCAGGTACAATGGCTGATTAACATCTATATTTTCCGAAATCTCATCCTGCTCTGCACTTGGATCGATGAAGCGCATAATAAATGATTTGAACTTGGACTTGCATTGACTGATAACCACATTGGTGCCCCAGACAACTAGCTGAGGAGCTGAAGAGGACTCCGACACCGGATCGGTCTCTGACCCCTTTTCGGCTATGGGTTCCAGCTGTAAAAGTACGGGCTATAGTATATTCTATTTGTAATATTTCAAAATATAAAGATTCTTACACCCGATGTGCCTCCAATGGCCACTTGGCGTATGCGCTTGTCCGTCCGTATATCTGGACGCGCACGCAACGGAGTGCCGCGTATACCGGAGCGTGGTGTACGAATAGAGCCCATGGAGCTGGGCGTGCCATAGTTTAGCGGAGAGCTCAAGTCAATCTCACTCATGCCGCCCAAGCCTCGAGCCGGACTCGTAGCGGGCAAGCTAATATTGGCCGGCGATGTGGGGGGCAGACTAATGTTGTCCGATGCTCTGCCGGGCACACGGCCAGGGCCCATGCGCATGGGTGTATCTACATCCTGGGCAGCAATGCCTATGCATACACATACATATGTATAGTTAATTAATGTAATTTCAAATGTGCACTCAAAACTCACCTCGTGTGGGCGTGCGCGCTCCTTGCTTTGGTGTGCCAGACCTGACATTGGGCGATTGAGCTGGACTTGACATTTTCAAATTACTTTAATTATTTCGGGCCAAGTTCTCCAAGTATTCCACAACAAATAGCAGCACTTCACGATCTTGTTTATGAAGGAACGCGCTGTGGATTTGCGCGGGAAATGTTGACAGTTGCAGCTGAGACGCGTGTGCGTAGTGTTGGTAAATGTCAGTGGGGTAGTAAGCAGTGCTGTAAGACGTACACCTGGCACTTGCCGCGAAAAACTCCAATTCGAATAATCGCGATGAAAATAGTAAGGAAATTGACTATAGCATTTTCGTATGGCCATTTCAAACTTATGGGGAGTCCGCCCATAACACAAATAAATCTTTTCTAACATTGTTAACTTGGCCAGAACAGTGGGGCCATGTGGCAACCCTGCCCTTTTTGGCAACACAACATTCTACGTCAGTCAGACTTAGTTTAGAGACGGGACCAGGGCGAGCAGTGTTTATTGTTAGCAGTGTCTTCTAAATTACCAATGTAGCAAAATTTCAAAAAATCCGGCCACTACTAAAACAAAAAATTTTTTTTTTGATTTCAAAGACAATGTATCAATAACTCTAAAGGTGAAATTAATAAGAAAACCCCAGAAACAAAAAAAAAAAAACTTAGGAAATTAATAGACAGTAAAGGAAAACAAATAAATTTACAAAAAAAAAAAGAAAAAAAGAGAACAAATTTGCTTAACCCAAATTGGAATTGAGAAGACAGTACTAACGGGCTTTATGCACATTTCAATTGCCTCGTTCACCGTGGAAGTTGGGCGGTACGACGAAATAGAGTATTGAGTGCCCGGCGAAGCTGTACATAGGCCCTTGGACAACACGACACTGCGGCTGCCGTTGCTGGTGCTGCTGCTGCTGCAATCATGTCAAGCGAGGAGATGCTATACGCAAAGGTACTGATTTACACATTATATTGATGCCCCACAAGTGCATTGTTGGCAATTGCGCGCTGTTGTCGTTGCCGTCGCCGTCGCCGTTGTTGGTGTCGTCGTCGGCTAGCCTCACAGTGTTAAGAATGGGAGGCTTATAAAAACGCATACATAATAACAATAACAACGTGCGATGTATGCATGTGTGCTGTGTGTGTGTGTGTATGTTTGTGTGTGCGCCCATTTCATTTCGCTTTTGCATTTCCTATTCGTTTCTTGCAAGTTTCTTACAGGTCAACCCTAATTGATGTCATGTTGCATTTTCGGAGTCGAAAATATGTTTCGAAATGAATCACTTGCTTATCACAAACACAAAAAAAAAAAGAAGAGTAAAACTTTCGCGCTGATAAGCGCGTCATATTCGTGTGAAGCATGAGCTTCAATCACAGTTGAGAGGGTATGTGGGTATGACTGTGCGTCTGTGTATGTGTGTGTGTGTGTGTGTGTGTGAGCGCTCGAGTAATGTGGGGAGACCTACGGGGGCAGAATTCGAGCCATGGCTTTAGGTTGCTCAAGCTGCGTGGCATTGAGTAATCGTTGCAAATTTGTGGCAGGTCATGTTCAATGTTTTGATTTATGACTCTCCTTCTGACTTTTTCTCTTTACGCTCTCTTCCTCTCTCTCTCTCTTGTTTAGGGCTCCAAAATTTGGATACCCCATGCGGAACAGGTGTGGGAGAGCGCCTCGTTGGAGGAGAGCTATCACAAAGGTGACACCATTCTGAAAATTCAAACCGAATCGGGTGCTTTGAAGGAGATCAAACTAAAACCGGATGGCAGCAATTTACCTCCGCTGCGGAATCCAGCCATTCTGGTGGGCCAAAATGACTTGACCACCTTATCGTATCTGCATGAGCCCGGCGTGCTATACAATCTACGTGTACGCTTCTGTGAACGTCAGATCATTTATACCTATTGCGGCATTATTTTGGTGGCCATTAATCCATATGCGGATTTACCGCTGTACGGACCCAATATCATCCGCGCCTATCGCGGACATGCCATGGGCGACCTGGAGCCACACATCTTTGCGCTGGCAGAGGAGGCCTACACCAAGCTGGAGCGTGAGAATTGTAATCTGAGCATCATTGTCAGCGGCGAATCGGGTGCCGGCAAGACGGTCTCGGCGAAATACGCGATGCGCTACTTCGCCGCCGTTGGGGGCTCGGAATCGGAGACTCAGGTCGAGCGCAAGGTGCTGGCATCTTCACCGATCATGGAGGCCTTTGGCAATGCCAAGACTACACGCAACGACAATAGCTCCCGTTTCGGCAAATTCACCAAATTGCTGTTCACCAATCAGATGGGCGTCATGTACCTCCAGGGGGCCACCGTGCACACCTATCTGCTGGAGAAGTCTCGTGTGGTGTATCAGGCGCAGGGCGAGCGCAATTACCATATTTTCTATCAGCTATGTGCGGCGCGTGCCAAATATCCAGAACTGGTGCTGGGTAAGCCTACTAACCTAATTCTACAAAGTTTCGTCCCATTGCTACATATATATTCTGTAATCCTGCAGATCATCAGGATAACTATCAGTTCTTGAACATGGGCGGCTCACCGGACATTGAGCGTATCTCGGATGCGGACCAGTTCAACGAAACCGTCCAGGCAATGACCGTCTTGGGCTTCTCTATACAACAAATAGCCGATATCGTGAAGATCTTAGCTGGCATCCTGCATTTGGGCAACATTGAGGTGTCCAAGAAATACATGGAGGGCAGCGATGTGGAGGACTCTGATTCTTGTGATATATTTGTGAGTGGCAGAAGCACTTAAGTCGAGTGCCATTGTTAATCATCTCTCTGAACGATTGCAGCAAAACGATTTGCATTTGCAAGTAACTGGCGATCTATTAAAAATAAATGCTGAGGATTTGCGTCGCTGGCTATTGATGCGTAAGATAGAGTCAGCCAATGAATATGTGCTGATACCGAACAACAAAGAGATGGCGATGGCGGCGCGCGATGCGCTGGCCAAGCACATATACGCGAAGCTGTTTCAGTACATTGTCAATGTGCTGAATAAGAGCTTGCATAACGGTAGCAAACAGTGCAGCTTCATTGGCGTCCTCGATATCTACGGCTTCGAAACGTTCGAAGTGAACTCGTTTGAACAGTTTTGCATAAACTATGCGAACGAAAAGCTCCAGCAGCAATTCAACCAGCATGTCTTTAAGCTAGAACAGGAGGAGTACCTCAAGGAGGGTATTACCTGGACCATGATCGACTTCTATGACAATCAGCCCTGCATTGATCTCATTGAAACGCGCCTGGGTGTGCTCGATCTGCTCGACGAGGAGTGTAGAGTAAATACTTCACATTTTGTACGCCTTGCGTATACACTTTATATTTCATTTGTTTCCTTGCAGATGCCGAAGGGGTCAGATGAGAGCTGGGCGGGTAAACTGGTGGATAAGTGCAACAAATTTCCACATTTTGAGAAACCACGCTTTGGCACCACAAGTGAGCGCTGCAGCAGCACGTTTAATGGGCCTTAATCTATCTCTCATATACCTTAGGTTTCTTTATCAAACACTTCTCGGATACGGTTGAGTATGATGTGAACGGATTTCTGGAGAAGAATCGCGATACGGTGTCCAAGGAGCTGACAAATGTGCTGGCGCAGTCCAACATGCAGCTGTGCAAGCAAGTGATGATACTCGAGGAGGTGGACACACTCGGCACGGATGCCAACAAGATGGCCACCACCTTGGGCGGACGTGTCGTAATTAGTGCTAACCGAAAACAGGTGCGTGACTCAGCCACTAAATCACGCACAGTCAACGAAATTTGTAATGCCTAAGCTTATTGTAATAATCGTATTGCTCATTTGTATTTCCACACGCTTGTTATCCATCAACCACTGTTCACTGTTCTATGACCAATGTCCATTGTCCACTGTCCACTGTATTGCTAAACTGGGCCAGCAGCAACTCAACGAGACGCGTCGAAGAGTTAGTGTTTCTGTCTTATATACAAATTTTACTTCATATATGTCTCCTATACTAGATTACGAATTGTGATTAATGCTAATTTCTTTGTCTAGGTCGTGTCATCTAAGCAGCATAAGAAAACTGTGGGCTCACAGTTCCAGGAGAGTCTCACCTCGCTAATCTCAACTTTACATGCCACAACGCCGCATTATGTGCGCTGCATTAAGGTACGTGTATATCCATATATGTATATATATATATATATCAACTACTTCTTAAACACTTTTTGTACTCTTGCAGCCAAATGATGACAAGATCGCCTTTAAGTGGGAGACGGCCAAGATCATACAGCAGCTGCGCGCCTGCGGCGTTTTAGAAACTGTTCGCATTTCGGCAGCTGGATTTCCATCTCGCTGGCTTTATCCTGATTTCTATATGCGCTATCAGCTGCTGGCGCATCGCAGTCAAATCGATAAGAATGATATGAAGCAATCGTGCCGCAATATTGTGCTCAAATGGATTCAGGACGAGGACAAATATCGCTTTGGCAATACGCAGATCTTCTTCAGAGCCGGACAGGTGGCCTACTTGGAGCAGGTGCGCGCTAATCTACGCAAGAAATACATCACCACGGTGCAGTCGGTGGTGCGACGTTTCATTAAGCGACGCCGCTATGTCAGACTGCAAAAAATCATCTTCGGCATACAGCGTCATGCACGTGGCTACATGGCGCGCATGCGTGCCCAGAAATTGAGAGAGGCGCGCGCAGCTCTGATATTATCGAAGTACGCACGTGGCTGGCTGTGCCGCCGTCGCTATCTGCGACTCTGCCACTCGGTTGCCGGCATTCAGCAGTATGCCAGGGGCATGCTGGCACGCAATCGATTCTATGCCATGCGGGATTACTACCGAGCTGTGCAGATCCAGCGGTTCGTCCGTGGCGTGTTGGCACGTCGCGCCTATCAGAAACGCCGTCGTAGCATCATCATTTGCCAGTCTGCTGTGAGACGATTCTTGGCACGTCGCCAGTTCAAGCGCATGAAGGCGGAGGCAAAGACCATCTCCCACATGGAGAACAAGTACATGGGATTGGAGAACAAGATCATATCCATGCAGCAGCGCATCGACGAACTCAATCGGGACAACAGTGCGCTCAAGCACAAGACCAGCGAGATAAGCGTCCTAAAGTTTGTTCACCATCGCCTTTATATAGCACTTACTCTAAATTCCTGATCTTTGCAGAATGAAACTGGAGATGAAGAAGAACTTGGAGCATGAGTTCAAGAATATTAAGGCAGCTTGTTTGGATAAGGATAAGCTAATCGAGGCGCTGAACAAGCAATTGGAATCGGAGCGCGATGAGAAAATGCAGCTGCTGGAGGAGAACGGTCACTCGCAGGAGGAGTGGAACCAGCAGAAGCAGATCTGGTGCAATGAGAACAGAGAGCTGCGCAAGCAAGTGGACTCCATGATAGAAATGGCGAAGAATGCCGCGGGCAATCAGCGCGAGCATGAGGAGCGCATGCTCACCGAGATAGACAACAAGGAGCTGAACGAAGCCTATCAGCGTGCCATCAAGGACAAGGAGGTGATCGAGAACGAGAACTATTTGCTGAAGGAGGAGCTCAGTCACTTTCAGCAACAGCATAATGGCATCGCTGCCTTCAACATGCATCACACGCGCACCGCCAGCAATGCCTCCAGCCAGAACGAGGACGATATTGGCTATGGCTCTGCCAAAAATACGCTCGAAATAAATAGCAGATACCCAGACTTGAGGAATAAGAACGGTACGGCCGGTTGTTATAGTCCTAAGACAATGATAATAATTGAGGTTCTATTTCATGCAGACTCTTTCTTGGACAATACCAGCATCGTGGTCAAGTTGCGCTCGATACTCGAGGAGGAGAAGCAGAAGCACAGAAGCTTGCAGGAGCAGTATGTTAAGTTGGCGAGCCGTAATAAGCCCACTGAGGATTCATTCCGGTAAGTAGCGCACATATCGAGCCCTTTGTAAAACATACAACACACACACACACACACACACATGCGACTATATAGTCAGCTTTAGTCTAATTACAAATTATGTATATTATGTATATTGTTGCCACACACTTGCCATCATAGCGTGTCCGAGCTTGAGGTAGAAAATGAGAAGCTACGCAGCGACTACGATCAGCTGCGCACGAGCATTAAACACGGTGTTGAGATCAACGAGCTGAATGGTAACATTCGAAAACATTCCAATTGCGTTCCATTTGCTATATTCAATTCAATCCCCTTTCCCCTACCCTCTCTCTCTCTTTTCCATCTCTTACCATATGTGTTTATAGCCCAACATGCTGCCCTCCAAGAGGAAGTACGTAGGCGACGCGAGGAGTGCATCCAATTAAAGGCTGTGCTGCTGCAGCAGAGCCAAACATTGCGCTCCATCGAGCCAGAGAGCCTGCAGCTGCGTGGCACCGATGCCAGCAATGTGCACGAGCTGATGGAGGCGTTCCACTCACAAAAGCTAGTGAACAGGCAATTGGAATCAGAGCTGAAAGCCATAACAGAGGAACACAATAGCAAATTAATGGAAATGACTCAGACCATTGAGCGCCTGAATAACGAGAAGGATGAATTGCAAGAGGTGCTATTCAAGAGCATGGACGAATCTGATGAGGACAATATAGAAACACTGAAGCAGAACGATCGCTATTTGCGGATGGAGTTGAAGAAGGCCATATCACAATATCTGCTCGTGCAGGACGAGCTGAAGCTGGCCAATGCCAAGCTAAAGGCCTACAGGCAGGACGGCGGCAAGCTGGAGAATCAGCTGGAGGAGGAAATGAGTCGCAACAAGGCGGCGAATAACAACAGCAACGATGTTGGCGCCAATGTGACCAAGCAGAAGTCTCAAAATCCGCTCGGCCTGATGAAGTTCCACAACAGCGATCTGGACAAGATATTGCAGCGTCTGCTTAGCAGCCTAACGCCTCGAACTGTTGTTGGCCTTCTACCAGGCTTTCCTGCTTATCTGATCTTTATGTGCATTCGGTAAAGTGGTGAAAATTTAAATCAATCTGCTCGATGCGCTAATCCTTATCCATTTGCAGCTATACCGACCTGACCAATGCCGATGACGATGTGCGCGAGCTATTGAGTAAATTTGTAATGCAAATCAAGAAAATGCATAGAACTCCTCATCCCATTGAGAACCGCGTAATTTGGCTGGTGAACTCCATAACGTAAGATATCTGCTCTTATTGGTTGTCTAACAGCAATTTAACAAGTCTGTCTATCCATTTACATAGACTCCTTAATCTGCTGAAGCAATACGGCGATGTTGAGGAATACGTCAAGTTTAATACGGAGAAACAGAATCAGCAACAGTTGAAGAATTTTAATCTCTTCGAATATCGGCGCGTTATTCTCGACTTGATTGTGAATCTATATCAAGCACTTGTCATGCAGATACAGAGTTTGCTAGATCCCAAAATTGTTCCAGCCATATTGAACAACGATGAGATTCAGCGCACCCGACATCCGCATGGAATGCGCAATCGCAGTGCGGATGCTTCGTCGCCGGATCATGGAAATGTGCCTGCTTGGAAGCAGCTAATTGGCCAACTGGAGCACTTCTACAAGCAATTCCAGCACTTCGGACTGGACAGCATATATGCTGAGCAGATCTTCAGTCAGCTTCTCTATTTCGTCTGTGCCGTTGCGCTCAATTGCCTAATGCTGCGCGGCGACATTTGTATGTGGGAGACTGGCATGATAATACGATATAATTTGGGCTGCATTGAGGATTGGGTGCGCGACAAGAAGATGGTGAGTGGCTACTAGTTATCTCCATATCTATAATCTCTCATCTGCATCTCTCTTCTGTCTGCAGTCGAATGAGGTGCTCGCTCCATTGGCCCCATTGAATCAAGTCTCTCAGTTGCTACAGTCGCGCAAGAGCGAGGAGGATGTACAAACCATATGCGACCTGTGTACATCGCTGAATACCGCCCAGGTGCTGAAGGTCATGAAGTCATACAAACTGGATGATTATGAAAGCGAAATAACAAACGTGTTTCTGGATAAGCTGGCACAGAAATTAAATGCTCGCAAAATGGTAAGAAGCCGAGAAATAACTTTAATGTATTACGTGCTTTGATGCAGTCTCATTTGCAGCCCAAGAGCGATGAATTCACAATGGACCAGAACTTCATACATCCGTTTAAGGTGATGTTCAAGTACAGCGACATCAAATTGGAGGAGATCGAGTTGCCTCCACATTTAAATCTCGATGAATTCCTCACGAAAATATAAATTTACTACGGAAGTCCGTGTGAAACAAATAACGCTCGTTTGCCATTTTGACGTGAATTCATCTTGTTTTGTATTATATTATATATGAGTCGTAATTAAGTGTAGTCAGCATGCAAAAGTGCATACTATGTAGTTCCTGTTTAGTCTAAAGTCCAAACGATACCCTTTTACATTCTATTGCTTTCCCCGTCAGACCGCCAGACTACTACTTTTTGCCAATTTTGTAAACTTATTTATGCAGACATTGGACATTTGTTAAGGGTTCTCAACCAATGAAATTATAAGAAAATTAAATGTATGTTCATCATGTGGTTGGAGTTCAACTCCATTAAAGAGAAAATATCATTCCTAAGTTGCAATAATTAAATAACCTTGTACCTTACATTATAAATCTGAAAGAGAGATATATAAATATATTTATATATATAATAACTATATATTTATGTATAGCAAATGTACTTAATCGTAGAAATGTTATAGAATCGTATGTATACAACGGCCGATTTGTTGCCTTAATCGATTGCAATACAGACTTGTAAGTGTTAAGATAATAAGAATCTATATATATATATATATATACATATAACTATATACACATATGTAGAGCGCTATAATTGTAACGATGCTGTATTCGATTTATGTATTCTCATATTATTTTTTGTTTCTGATCTTTAACTTATTGTATTAGCGTGTGCCCTAAATGAAACTTGGCTGAATCAAACTGAAAAAGAAACGAAAACAATATTTACTGTTGGCATTTGCTTGAAATGTTATATGATAAATCCTTTATTTGATGTTATATATAAATATTTATATATAAACATACACATGTACAATGAAATTATACCCGAGAATTGTACAAAGGCGATTTACACATGTATCCGTCAATAAAAGCTATTAGCAAATAACAGGTGCCTTGGACAGTTTATTCTTGGGCAGGTCGAGGGAGGGCAATCGGTTAGTTATCATGCCCGTTGCCACAGTGGCTCCGTTTTCGCGTATGGTGAAGGGCTGGCCGGGTGTCATAACCATCTTGCGCAGCAGTGTGACACGCACCTGGCCATGCTCGCCGGGCATCAGCATTGACTCCTGTGGAACTGAAGGGGGTTTCGGTTAGTAATAATATTTTAATAATAATTCAACTCGGCAACTTACTTATATCAATGCGAGCTGGCTGATTCCATGTCATACTGAACAGCTGCTGTATATACTTGGATAACATGGGCTTGCTGCGTCCGCCTTCGGCACGTGAGAGCAGGTACATGGAGCCCTCAAAGTGATTGGATATATCCTCCGAGCCAGTTGCGCAGAGCAGCATGCCTCGTTCCACAGATGAAATTTTAATGCCCCGCAATAGGGCACCCACATTATCGCCGGCCAGTGCCTGAGGCACGCTCTTGCGGAATATTTGTATATCACTAACGCTGGTCTTCAAATTCTGGCTGAAGCCAAGAAGATCGGCGTCCGCGTTTCGGGCTATGGTGCCGCGCTTAATAGTTCCCACGACCACAGTTCCGCGTCCTGGCACCGTAAATGCGTTATCGATGGGTAAAATAAAGGGTGCTTGGGTATCCCGCGTGGGCGTTGGTATATACGAGTCGCAGTGCGCTAGCAGCTTCTCGATTGCTGGCACACCAAACGGGGACACATCGTCACGCAACGCTAGCAACGCCGAGCCACATATCACTGGACTATTGACGCCATCGAAGCCAAAGTCCGACAGCATTTCACGCATTTCAATCTCTACCAATTCCAGCACCTCGTTGTCAACTAGATCCGCCTTGTTGATGAACACCACAATACGCTCTATGCCCACTTGCTTTGCCAGCAACAAATGTTCCCGAGTCTGTGGCATTTGTCCATCAGTGGCGGCCACCACTAAAATAGCTCCGTCCATTTGCGATGCACCAGAAATCATGTTCTGCAAGACATTCAGTTAGAAAGCAATAATAATTCGTGAGCAGTCTGACTAACCTTTATGTAATCAGCATGGCCCGGACAGTCCGTGTGTGCGTAGGTGCGTTCTGCGGTCGCATAGCCAATGTGACAGGCATTTATGGTTATGCCGCGAGCTTTTTCCTCAGGCGCCCGATCGATTTGGTCATACGACATGTAATCAGCCAAGCCTTTTCTCGACTGAATTTTGGTTATTGCCGCCGTAAGCGTTGTCTTGCCATGATCGACATGCCCGATGGTGCCCACATTGCAGTGTGGTCGCTCCCGCCGATTGGGGTCCACTTTTGGCTTGTCCTGAATATTTGTCGTAAACGAACGTGAACTAGCGCATATTCTGCTGGTGTTGCGGCCATTGCAAGGAGGAGTTAAAGCACCGTGCAGCCTGTGCAGAGCGGCTGCTTCGTATTGCCTGCAAAGCTTAAGCAAAACACGTCTCATTGTCAGAAACACCAATGCACGTAACCGTTTGCAAAGAGCTAACACGCCGCAGTGTCCAATCAAAACAAAAACAGCTGTTTTCGTTAGCGATTACCAGCTCTCAGTGTTGTAAAATGACCTAAAGTTTAAAACGGAAATTTTGTTGCAAGAAATTTTGTCGATACGAGTAAATTTTGTAAATGTCTATTTATTTGAAATATCTTCTGTTTGTGGGAATGTGTTTGAGTACGATGCGGCGTCCGTTGACTCCGCAACTGTTGAACTATTTCGTATGATTTTATGCGTACGCTTCATATGCACTCCCAGACTGACGCGCTCTGCAAATTTCGTATTGCATAGAGTGCACTGCAAAGTCTTCTCCTTGTGGATGTGACGATGCTTGACCAATGCGTTTGCATTTGTGAATGCTTTCTGGCATATTTCACACACCTTATCGCGAATATTCAGATGCGCCTTTATGTGGTCCTTGAGATCACGTTTAGTCAAAAAATCCTTGGGGCACATGCTGCACTTGAATGCCCGTATTTTGGTATGCACAGCTGTCACATGGTTGCTCATTTGGATCTTCTGCTTGAACGATTTGCCACAAAATTCACAGACAAACGGCTTGGCTACGTGTGTCTCGTCGTGGGTACGCATATGGCTGCTCAATTGGCTGGCGAAGGCAAAGCTGCGCTCGCACATGCTGCAGCTGAACGTTTTGCCCATGTGCACACGCTGGTTGTGCTGCTGTAAGTGGCAGCGGCGCTCGAAATGATTCTCACAGAAGGTGCACTTGAACCAGCCACCTTCGCCGATCTTATGTGCTCTATACTGATGCGCCTGCAGAGCGTGATCCGTGCTAAAGCTGGTCTGGCAGACGTCACAGGGTATTTGTTGGCGGAATGTTTTCGTTCTCAGAAAGCCCTTGCATGTGTCAATATATCGTTTCTCGGCCTTCAACAGGCCGATTGTCTGGGTCTCCGTCAGTCCTTTGATTCTGCGGGAGTACCATTGCCGTAAATGCAGCACACTATCGTAAACATCATAGTGTGTAATGACGCCCAAGGGTATCTCGATGGCAAGCAGATCAGTCATTGACATATAGGCTGATTTGCGTTCACTTAAATTGGCAAAGTCCTTGTGCGTCGGGTCGTACAGCTGTGGAAACTTGGAATAGAGCGCTATAAACTGTGTTGTCAGCGCGTTTGTTTCGGTAAACACCAACTATAAAGAGACCATAATGAGAAATTGAATAAAAATGGAAGTAAAATGGTCGTATTTACCTTTATTTTATTATCTCCACTTTCGTCGTCACTTTCCGGCTCTTCCACATCACAGCGTTTCCCTAGGAAACTATACATTTCGTAATAATACAAAGGTAATTTTGTTAATTTCTTGGTACGCTTCTGACGACTTATCGTCGCGTACTGGCTGTGCAGGCTGGCTATACATTTCTTGAGCTTGTAGTTGGTTAAATGCACATTTATATTTGTTTTCAACTGATCAATTAATGTGGCGTAGGCGGCTGAACGTTTTGTCTTATCCTTGAAAGAGGCATGTTTGGGATCCCAGAGACACGGATGAGCCTTGTAGAGCTCAATGAATTGCGTAATTCGTGGATTGCGGCGATAAAATGTCGGGTTGAACTAAATGTATATATGGAGAACAGAACTTCTTTAAATCGTTGAGTTTTTCTCAAGGAATATAATAAAAGTATTTACTTTGACTATTGGCGTAAAACTCTTTTTGCTGAACTCTTCTTCGGGCTTGTGGACATCAGCATCCGTCGGAGATTCGTCTCCTATCTAAGGCAAAGAATTAAAAACTTGTTAATAATAGAGATTATCCCAATATCAATTTCTTACCTCTTCTTCAAAATCATATTCGCTATCGTCGTCCTGTTCTCTGTCGCTTGATACATTCGGAAGATCCACGAAAGCTGCTTCTGCTAAACAATCTTTATTATCAACCTCATCTTCACTTTCAATATGCATTGGCTCCAATTTGAGCTCTTGAGAGCTGTCCCAGGACGCCTTGTCTTCATATTGTTCCTCTTTGTGTACATTTCGTACATGATAGACAAATTCTTGCCATTTCTCCAGGCTCACTTCAACATCGCAGTCTCTTTTACAATACGCACAGCTTAGAAAGAAATCGTCGTAATTATTGCGCACTAATACTGTTCCACAAATAACCATTTTGAGTACATTTCCTTGCAGTCTTTTAGTTAATACACATAATTATAAACATAGCTTATGTGCCGCAGCTTCAGATAATTCATTATCATTCAATGTGATATCGATACAATTATCAGCTGCTTAGTAGTGTTGGAAAATTACACCTAAAACTTTGGCGCGCAAAACGTGCTGATTACAGGCCGGCTGATAATAAAATACCTATCGAAAATATCAACCATAGCCGGTATTTTTTATGCAAAAGAAAACCGATAAATATAAATATTCTCCGTGGACCATCTCTATTGAGTCTATCAGGTGGTTGAGTTAGCTGTTGATAGAAGTAGATTAAACATAAAACAAATAAGAATTATGAAAAAGGTGCTGGTAACAGGAGGTACAGGACTTGTGGGCAAAGCCCTTCAAGATGTAATCAAAAATGAGCAGCCAAGCGACGAGGAATGGTTCTTCGCCGGTTCAAAAGATGCAGATTTGACGTAAGTTGAAATTGTTTACATCGGAGCACTTGGTTTCATATTTAAAAATAATTCAGGAATCTGGTTGCCACGCAGGCACTTTTTGAGAAAGTGAAACCAACGCACGTAATACACTTGGCTGCCATGGTCGGTGGACTGTTTCATAATATGAACAACAATCTCGATTTCTTGGTAAAGTGATTTCGCAGCTGTTTTGTCAAACCGTATAATGAAATTCTTCAACGCAGCGCAACAATTTGCTGATCAACGATCATGTACTCCAAACTGCACACGAGCTGGGCTGCACAAAGGTTGTCTCCTGCCTGTCCACCTGCATTTTTCCGGACAAGACGAGTTACCCCATTGATGAGACAATGGTGCACAATGGACCGCCACATGCGTCTAACTATGGCTACTCCTATGCCAAACGTCTGATAGACATACAGAATCATGCTTATCATGATAAGTACGGTCATTTGTACACCTCCGTGATACCGTGCAACATATTTGGACCGCACGACAACTACAAGCCAGATGTGAGCCATGTCATACCGGGCATGATCAATCGCATGCACAAGCTGCGCACAGAGCAGCCAGACATGCCGGAGACTGAGAAAGTCTTCACTGTTTATGGCAGTGGCAAACCATTGCGCCAGTTTATCTACTCCCTGGATTTGGCTAAGCTAATGATCTGGGTGCTGCGCAACTACAACAGCGTTGAGCCCATAGTGCTGAGCGTCGATGAATCGGCGGAGGTGACAATCTACGAAGTAGCAGAAGCTATAGCCAAGGCATTTAACTTTAAGGTACAGAGAGGGTATCCAATCCAATTATTATACTCATATATACATATTTCCAGGGCAAACTGATCTGTGATACGAGCAAGGCAGATGGACAATACAAGAAGACCGCATCCAATGCAAAGCTGCGCAGTCTCTTGCCGGACTTTAAGTTCACTGACTTCAAGGAGGCCATCGAGGCTTCTGTGCTCTGGTATACGACAAACTATGATCAGGCTAGAAACTGATACATATTTGAATTTGTATATTTATATACATATATATTGTATTGTGATGTGATTTGTTGGCCAACAGCAATAGAAAATGCATTTACGTACGATATTTATATATCTAAATAATTTCTCTTTATTTAAAAATTAAATAAGAAGCTAAATTTAGATGCATAGACACTTTATACAACATGTTTAACATATTACATACATACATATTTTATACGATTTTACGATATAGGAAAAGCTTTAAATAACGGTAAATCTCGGTATTGGTGCACTAATATTGTGAAAAGAGGTGCAGGGCTTTAAAAACGGGAAACTTATACTTAAAGCTGTGGTAGAATAAACAAAAATATTTTATCATCTATATTTTCTTTAATCTCAATTGCTGTTAAAGGAGTTCTTCTTCATTGCTGTTGTAATTTTATATTGTTTTTCGTTTTATTTTATTTCTTTTGTATATTTTTTCTTTACTCTTCTTTTTTTCGTCTTGGCAATTCGTCGAGCTTGTACGTAGAACCTAGGCTTATAATTAAATATTTTACAACTTGCTGGACTCTATACCATTTAAAATACAAACAGTTGGAAAGAATTGTCTCGTCGTCTATTTGAACTAAAATAGAGAGAGAGAGAGCGAGAGACAGTGAATCAGAGATAGATTTACAAAAACAATTGATAGATACTCTGTGGCAGTTAATTGAAAGCTCAGAATTCTGGTTTTCGAATAAATTAGAAAGCGGGTCTCCGACATGAGTGTGGGGGAAAGGAGGACGTAAAGGTGGTTGGTGGTTCTGGTGCTGCAGCGCAGTGTTGGCTACATTAAAAATAGTTCAACTAATAAAATCGTGATTTCACATCAATCTACAATCATCTCTTTCTGTTTTCTTCAACATCAACGTCTCGGTCCTCTTCTTCATCGTCTGTTTGTAAAAAAGAAGCTCTGCTGGGAGCTCTAGAAGCGCCTGAGCAGTATGGGCTTGTTGCGTTCCGTGAATGCCTGGTTTATCCATTTGATGTCGGGCTTCGAGAAGCTCACAGTTTGGTTCTCGCCGCAGTTCTGCTCGGCGCTGTAGATACCCTTGAGATAGACAGCGGAGCCGGTGCTGCAGGCGAGCGCGCTGCCCTCATCGAATTCGCACGCATCGAACTTGGTGGCACTGCAGACACTGGTGGCATCAGCACCACAAGAGGCACGGGACTGCTTTATCGTCTCAGTCACGTGCATAATGGCGCCCTCCTCGTGATCTGAAAGCGTGTGGCACACAGATTAGCATCAATCATGCTCTATATGGGTATTCTAGTTTGTTTGGCTTACATTTCAACGCCCGCTGGCCCCAGCCAGTGGTCACGCACTGCTCATTCTCTTCGGGATCATCTTTGCTGATGCAGATGGGGCCAATGTGAGTGGCGAACTGGAACCGTCTTTCCAGGCGTATGATGGCCATGTTATTGGACCCAGTTTTTGGATCGTAGTCGGGATGCACATCAATGGACTTGGCGCCAATCAGCTGGAATGGCATCGGCTCATCGGTGATGCCTAGCTGCCATTCGCCGCCCTTAATGCGCACATCGCTGACGGACAGGCTGCAGCAGAAATATATATAAATATATATATATCTTGGGTCAATCTTAGGTTAGTTAACACTTACTTAGCCACACAGCTGGCCGAGGTGAGGATGAATTCGTCGCCAATGATGGCACCGCCGCAGCGTGGCTTCTGGGTCGATTCGAGCAAAATCATTGCTTGCCATGGAATCTCAGCGAAGTTGGCATCAATGTCCTTTATGCCTTTGGGCTTGGTGCTATTAAAAGAGGGAGTGAAAGCGAGAGAGAGAGAGAGAGAGAGAATATTAGGCAACTATTTGAATTAAATTGAATTTTAGGTCTGCTTACCGCCTGTTGCGAATGCTGCAGAAGCCACCCGGAGTGATGGGCCAGGGATCAACGTAGTTGGGATCGCGACAGCACTTGCCGGGCGCTCCAGTCTCGGGTACCAGGCAGTCGGTGAGTGGCACACGGAACGCAGCCTCCCGGGCGCTTAGCGTCAGCGGGGTTTCGCTCAGCACGCCGAGCGCATTGCAGTAGTTCTCCGGGGTGCAGACGAGCGCAGAGGCGCATTTGGCATAGTACTTGGGGAAGACGTCGTTAGTGCCGGGCAAATTGTCGAAGCCCTTGGGCGTGGGGAAGATCTGGGGCGAGAGTTGATCCTCGCCGCGGTACACGGGCTTCGGATTCGATGGCTGTGGCACACGATCGGGCTCGTAGCGTGTGGGTGGCTGAGTGGGGCGTGGCTCGCGGTGTGGAATCTCATTGGCCTTCACGGGGGGCAGGTACTCGTTGATGGGGCGAGGTGTCGTGGTCACTGGCCGATATGGGGTCGGGCTGGGTGTTGGGCGACGCGTCGTCTCAGGCGGCAGGTAATTGTTTGTGGGGCGTGGTGCGGGCGTAGTAGTGGGCTGTGGACGGTAATTGGGCTGGGTTACGCGCACGGCTGGCAGGGTGGGATTGGTGGGCAGCGGGAAGGCCTTATTGGGCACTTTCAAGATGTAACCAGTGTCGGACAGCGCCGTCGCGGGCATGCGGCAGCAAACCTCTGGAGCATAACAGCGATTGGGCTGCGGAGAGAAAGAGAGAGAGAGAGAGAGAGAGCGAGGTGAGTTTATTAGTTGCAAATCTCTGTCTGTGTCTGTGTGTGTGTCTGTGTCTGTCTCTGTGTCTTTCTGTGGTGCATTAAATTGCCAGCAACAAGCGAGTGGCAACTGCTGCCAACCACTTGGGCCTCCTAACCACTCATTAAAGTGGCCAATGCTGCCTGCCAATTGTTTTTCTGCTGCTTCTCCTTCTTCTTTAGTTAGCTTGTAGATCTTCTTCTTCTTCTAGTGTTAATGTTAACCCAGAAATTTGCAGTTTCATGCTGCAATCTTTGGCAGCAACGTTTTGAAACGTTTCAATTGCAGCCGCTCAAGTGGCAAGTTTGTCGCCTAAGTCATTTGCTCACTAGCAACACCTACACACACACACACGAACAGCTATTAATTTGCTTATTTATATGCTAAAATCAGTCAACAATTATTGCAAACGGAAAACATTTTCGAGACTTTGTGGGTGCGTAACAAAACACAAAAGAAACAAAAATAAATAAATTGATGACTATAGACGCCCCCACAAAAGAATTGTAATGGAAATTCTAGCATAAGCAAATGCAAAAGAGGTGCGAGACTCTTCACACGGCCGCGATGTTGTCAACGTTGGCGACCTTCTGTTTTATTGTTTCGCGCAATTTGTAACTCATAACTCAAGAAGCAGACGGACGGACTGCCGTTGGGAACAGAGCTGATGAAGAAGAAGCAGAGGCAGCAGCAGCAGCAGCAGAAGTAATGTGCACATTTGTTAAAAATTAAGCGAGAAATGAGCTGCGACAGGCGACAGTCGACAGTCGACAGTCGACAGTCGAAATGCAGTCGAATGACAAATTAATAATTATAATTAAATGTGCGACTGCGGCTGCGACTGTGCGACTGCTGCTGTTTGTGCCTGGCCTACATCAGCAGCGATCCGGTTGTCCTTCCTGCCTTGGAGTGAGCGAGCTCATTTCTTATCATTATCATTAGCCGGCGACCCTCTCTTGGCATAAATTTCATCAATTAAGCGTTAATCAAATGTTATCTTAATGTAGACATCACTCAATGACCATTGAGCACGCATTAAATTTTATGTAATACATGTTATCATTAAAGGTAAACAACAACAGCAACAACTACAACAATGCGAAAACTGGCATAATTTGTTGTTGCTGCTGCTGCTGCTGCTGTTGTTGTTGTTGTTGCTGATCAATGACAAGGCAGCAAGCGGGCAGCGGGCAGCAGGCCCTCCACCTGATTGCCGATTAAGTCGCGTCGCTGGCTCTCTTGCTTATGATCAATCATTTTGCAGCTTCAAGATAACAACAACAACAACAACAGCAGCAACAACGAGAGTCGCAGCTACTTGTAGAGGCGACAGCTAAAATATGTAATCGCCAGCAACAACAACAATGACGCCAAAATGCTTTTAATAAATTTTGCTGGCCATACAACTTGTTCGCTGTTTGTTGTTGTTGTTGTTGTTGCTGCTGCTGCTGCTTGTCTCAATTGCCGCGCACTGCAATTTGTTAATAATGTTGCAATTACAATAAGTATATGAAATTTCATGAAATTTATTTTAATGTCAGTGGCAAGCCGAAAAAAAAAACCAAACCAAGCCAGCCAAGCGGCAGCAGCTGAAGAAAAAAACAAATGACTTAGGCAACGAACTGACCAAAGGCTAATAGTTCATGAACTGAAAAAACTACCATGGCTTAAAGTAGCTTGGGAAACTTTAGAGGAAGCTGAGATTACATCAAAGTTTAGAGCACATAGAGAAGAGAAGATGGAGAGGTTGATATAGAGAGCAGATGTTAAGCGAAATAGAGTAGTGTGAGAGAGAGAGAGAGAGAGAGTGAGAGAGAAAGGTAAATTGCTACTGCCAACAACTCATGCCGTTTCCTAGACGCATTCGAGATTAAGCCATTGGTCATTCGGCCATAGAGTCTCAGAGGAGTCGCTTGGAGATTTGTAACTTAAGCCTGGCCCGGCTGGCAGAAGTCTCTGCGAAAATGTCAAATGTTCTTCGTGGGCCTTATGTTAAATGCAAATTTATGGCACAAATATTGCGCGAAATTGTTTTTTATGACAGCGTTAATGTGGCAAACAGCACAGCATTAAATTCCTCGATCTTGTAGTTGTAGCTATTTTTGTTGTTGTTGTTGTTGTTGTTATTTTTGGCTTTGGCAATTTATGCGCCAATAAAAAATACCAAATTTTTGAATTTAAAATTTGTTGTTGATGTTGTTGTTGTTGTTGTACTCTTGCAACTGTGATGCTGGCACAGCTCGGCTTGGCTAGGCTCGGCCCTGATGTGCATTGGCCAGTTGACAGCATTTAATGGCTCAAGTTTGTCGCTTAAGTCTTTTGTTTATGCAACATCTTCTAGGCCATAAACAATGCCTGCCAGCCGCAGCTGGCTAATTTATGGCGCGAGCTAACTCTGATGGCAAATAAATTAAATCAAATTTGTAGCGCATTACGAGCCCCATCAGCATCTGCTTCATATAAATTACGGATAGGTGCCTAACTATAACAGACAGATTAGACATGATGATATGCATGCCTGCATATTAATAATTATTATAATTGACAAGGAAAGATAATATACGAAATGCAGACAATGGAATAACGAAAACTGCCAAAATATATTAAAAACTATAAACAAAATCAATAAATGAATGCAAAACAAAAACAAAAACCACAAACCAAAATGAAAAATGAAAAAGAAAAAAATAACTAAATTTTAAACGCTGTCAACGCGACGCCCCCCACTGCCTCTGGCTGTCTCTGGGTACGACTACGACCTAGACCTTGAAGTTGTAGTTGTTGTCATTATCATCATCATCATCATCGTCATCGTCATCATAATTATCTTGCTGTTTGTTGCTGTTCACTCGACATGCTCTGTTTGCTTTGTTGTTTGTGCTGTCTGTGTCTCGTCTTGCGCTTTTTTTCTCCTCTTCAACTTGACAGTTAGCTACTCATATGACTGTCTATGGCTAAAAGCTTAAATAACGTAACATTTGCGTCGGCAAAAAACCAAACAGCAAACCTTAATGTTTGCCTTAGCGGAATGCTAGGTCAGTAGCGGCATTCAATGCGAATGCGGCCTAATGGTCAAGATTCGCGTAGATTTCTGAGGGATTGCGAGAATTTTGCATAACATACGTGATATACGTGATCGCTCAGATTGATCACAGAAACAATCTTGATGGCGCCTAACTTGATTTGCAAGGCAAATAACTCAAGCATAGCTGGACTTAATGTGCGATCGAATGACGCTTTGCGGCTACGATCTGATCTTATCATAAATTATATATATATTATTTAAAAAAATAAATAAAAAATTAAATGATGAAATAATATTATTAACTTTGACTTTTATAATATTATTTAAGTATTCATAAAATATATATGCTCATAAAAAATTTTATTAAGTCCAAAATAAAATAAACATATCTGCAAATTTTAAATTAAATTTTTTTAAACTATATTATATTAACTAAAAAATCATATTTTTTAATATTAAGAATATTTATAAATATTTTTAATATTAAAAAAAATTATTAAGTCATTTAATATATAATAGAATATTATTTTCGAATTAGATATTCGATATTTTAATTATTATTTATTATAAAATATTTAATTATAATATATTCCCTATATACCCTGAAAAAAAAAAACCCCGCCGATTGCTGCGCTGTGAAAAAGCTCAACAAGAAAAATTCTGAAACGCAATAAATTACATTTAATTTACTATGTAAAATGTCAATAAACAAGGTTTATCCGTGGCTTAAAATTTGTCAAAAAATGCAAGTGTGAAACCGGCTCGATGCCGATGAGAAGACGAAGAAGAAGAAAAACATTTCGTTTAACATAAATTACATGAAACTGGAACTAAAAATAAATAAACCAACCAACAAAAAAATATTGAGTTCACGCAATGCAGCATGTTACGAAAATGTAAAACATGCAACGTGCAGCAGCCCAAATGATAAATGGCCATAATGAAAATATGCGCCATAATCATCAGCATAATTATACGATGCCAAAGTGCATATATACAATATATGTGTGTGTGTGTGTTTGTGTGTGTGTGTGTATGTGTAGCTCCGATTGATTTAGTTCAGCTGGTCGGAGGATTCATTTGGCAAAGCTCAAAGTTCGCTCAATAGACGTTATGGAAAGTGCACTCATGTTAACATTAATTGATCAGCTAGAGAGCGGGAGAGAGAGCAGGAGAGAGAGAGTGGGAGAGCGGTAGAGCGGGCCTAGGCCACGCAACATTGGAAACGACCTTGCGGCGTTGCATTCCGCGCATTTTTCAGCGCTTTAAGTACCTCAGCTATGTTGTGGCTCTTCGCACTCTTGTAAATTAGGGATAGTGGGTAACTGGTTCGTCTATATGGGACGCAATGGCGACGCTGACGTCGACAACCTGTGCGCCGGCTGCAATTCCCCGGCGTGCATTTTGTAGCATGCCACGCAATTGGCGTCAATGCCTGCATAACTTAACGAGTTCGAGTCACCTTTTTGGTGCGTAATTGTCGCTGGCTGGGCGGGGTCGCGGCGCCCAGCTGCTGCCGTTGAGTCGACGCAAATTATGAGGCTGTGGCCCACCGAACACAGCAACAAAAACAACAACAAAAGAAACAGTGAAACAAACACAAGAGAAAAAAAACACAACAAGTGGAAAAACTGTATAAGAAAACATCAACTGGCTGAAACGATTTCAGTTTTAAGTGCGTGGCTGCTGCAACATAATTCACTTGCTGTGCTGATTTTAGCTTTCTGCTGCTTCATCGTGGGCTTTGCGTGCAACAAGCGGCAGCAGGCAACAAGAGCGTTGAGTACGCAACTGACCCGTTTTGTTGGCCATTGCATGTAAACAAATTATGCAATTGCAATGCCAGCAGCGCTCGGTCTGAATAAAGCTGCCGTCTCGCTCACACTATGCAGCTCTCCCCGCTCTCTCTCTTTCTCTCTCTCTGTCTCTTTTGGGCCGTAATTTAACACATTTTTTGTTTTTTTTGGTTGGCTTGAATGCATTTCATGCACATTGCTCGTAAGTTCAACTGCATTCCATTGCTTGATTGCCACTTGATGGCAGCAAGTTCGTTGCCTGAGTCTTTCGTTTCTGACATTGCCAGCGGCAGTGCAGCTTGTGGCAATGTCATTGCATATGCACTATGTAAATCACTGACATTTGCAATGTCTCTTAAGGGCACATACATTTTGTATCTCTCTCTCTCTATCTCTTTCTCTCTCTCTCTCTCTCTATAGGAAATTGGCCTGAACTGGAAGTGAAATCAGCTTGGACAGCTTAATGCCTTTACAATAGAATGACTAACTGTACTCGCTTTTTTTGTTCAATTTCTCATTTAACAATCTGTCAGCTGTCAGATGACAACTTCAGGCTAGCCACACCCAGCTCAACTCCCACACAACTAAGCGGATTCTATTGCATGTCGTGTCAAATCCGATTTCAATCTGAGATTGCCAGCTCGTACAATTCGTCAGAATTTGAGTAGTAGAAATTCAACAGCAACAGCAGCAACAACAACAATAGACAGCCAAATAGATCAAAAGTTGACTGCAATTTGCATCTACTTATAGATACAACAGCATCAGCTTCAGCATCAGCAACAACAAAAGAATATTTTGCCTCAAAATGTTAACTAATTGTGTGCTAATAAGCTGCAACTGTTGGTGCTGTTGCTGCTGTTGCTCTTGTTGTTGTTGTTGTTGTTACAGTTGCATCGCTTGTGAAATGCGCTGCGATTGCCGCAGTTAGCTGAGGAACGCTTTGTTTTCGGGGCATCGCATCATTGGCACATCCAAATGCTGCCGATGCTGCCTTTTTGTTAGTTTTTTTAATGCTTTTTTTCGCCCCTTTTTTGATACGCCCAGACAATTTTCCGCTGCTAATGATTACTTTTTTTTTGGTTATCACCTATATTTGTAGTTGTGTGTGTGTGTGTCTGTGCATTGCTCAAGTTGAGCCAATTAATTGTGTCTTTTGAAGACCCTGACAAATAACGCATCAAACAGACAGATAGACAGACAGACAGATGAGTAAAAACACTTACTTTTTGCGTTTTGATATAGCGTGGGGCGACGATTTCGCCATTGCTGCAGTCTTGCGACTGTACACAGTCCTGGTCACTGCGACAGGTGTCATACGGCACAGGTGTGGTCGTTCTCCTGGTCGTTGTCGTCGTGGTGGTGGTTACTGGCGGGCGATACGTGCAGCAGATGTTCGACTCGGGCAGACAGTTCTGTAAGGGCAGAGCAAATGTTGAGGTTAGAAAAAGATTGTGGAAGCTTAGATATAAATGGGTTTGCCCCCTTCCCCCCTATTGCAATGAAAGACTTGGGAAACGAGCTTGACTTGGACCAACCTCTGCTAATTTTAATAGGCAAACTAAAAGCCTGAAGCTCACATCAAATGACTTCAGAAACAAACTCGCTGCGAGCAATAATAATGTTTTTTATTAAAAACCCATAAAGCCGGCAGTTAATTTGATAGATGAATATCCTTCGGCGCAGCATTTTAACAGGCCATAATAAACAAATGACTTGGGCAGCGAACGTGCATGGGAACGTGCATTAAAAACGTCCTTTGTAGCTGCGATTTGATGGGGGCCCATTAAACGTATGTCTGGGGCAATGGAAGAGTGTGAGATCCTTTTGTTTAGCGTCAAACAGTTTATATTGGCCATTAAAAGACAAATGACTGCAGCAACGAACTTGGCAAATGACAGATACAAAGCTCACTGTCCGGCTTTGCCTTGTCGCACAATCAATCAATGTGTTTAGTAGCCGCGTACTTGACCAACACTGTTAGCCATAAAGTTGCCACTCGTTGGCATCGGCATTAATTAAGCGGCCTAAACGATCGTTGCTGCCTCTGCCACTGGCACTGCCGCTGGCGCTGCCAAGTTGCAACGCCTCTGGTAAAAGGTCAGCAAAGCGGCCATTGCAGTTGCATAAATGATGTGTTAAAATAATGTCCAAACAGATAGTCGACTCTGCCATGCCAAGCGAATCGCTGCGATGCTTTTTCTTGCAGCATCTTTGGCGACTTTTTTACTATCGTTCAGCCAGTTGGCATTGCAGCATTTGCATTGAACTTTGCCGCCTTCATTCAACGGTTTTACGAGATTCTAATGGAACCTTCGCACAACGCCCCAAACGCCTCGGCCCGCGGCGCTGGCTAATTTGTTTAAGCCAACAGCGTTCAGCTGGCATTTGAACAATTGCAAATTAATAATAATAATCATGTTATCTCCTTAGCTGTCCGGCTGTCCAGCTGTCCAACTGTGCGGCTGTCCATCTGTCCGGCTGGCTGCAGGCCAAGAGTTCAAGAATTTCCAAGGTGCTCAACGACGGTAGCCCAGAGGCGTCTATGCAAATCAATTAGATTGGCCATGCGATCGCTTAAGTGCACCATCGCGGACTTGGAGATGAAGCCATTAATCTTAATTATGCAATTCATTCATTATTTGAACCTATTTCCTAGGCAAATGACAGAAACCAGTTCAACGCTACGGCCAGAGTTATCAGTCAGGCTTTCGGGCCAAATTGATGCTGCTGTTTAATTTATGTTCACATTTTACAGCCAAAGACAAAGGCGCTCTTTAGATGGATATACAATATAAATAGACAATATATGCATAAATCTATACATACATACATACATATATACATCAATGTATGTATGTAAGCAGCATTAATCTAATCGACCTTCAGCTGAACTAGAGACGCTCGAAAACGAGATATTCTTGTCAAAGCTCATGTAGAACATGAGTTCCTCCAAGAATAGCGAAATAGATGAGGGGCTGGTTCTGCTTAGTAGAAAACACTTAAATCGAGGCGCATTTAAATCAAGCCTGACAAATTTCTGAAACGCTTTTATAAGCATATAAAAACCAGAACAGCAACAACACTTTAAGCCTTATTTATAACAGGCAGAACGCGCATATATTAGATAAACTAGTTTACACGATGAATGAGTGATGAAACACGATGAGCTCTAATCATGATTGGCTTCAAACAATTCTCGCTGATTGAGTTGAGAATGGTCGATCTTTATAATAATATAAAGAAGAAGAACTATCTCAAACAACATTCAGTTTAGGTTTCAGCTTTAGTCTAGGCCTTAATTCGTATTCACAAAATGTTTGAATGTTTCGCACTCAAACACGTTCCGCTATACATAAATTACGTCTATTGTTTGCACGGTTCTCGTAATGATAGAATTATCGTGTTCTGCGAGCTGCGTGTGAACGCTGACTAGAACACCTGATTGGGCTAGGAACTATTCCCGTCAAACCGGATGAGTAAATGAAATTTGAAATTTGAAATTTGGTTTTCCTGACGCGCAGGTTGTTAAACCCAACGAAACAAACGGAACGTGCAGAGACAAAACCGTAAATAATTATCATAATAAAGTGAATCCTAACAACAATAAAAATAATACTAATAATAATGATATTAATCACATGCACTAACACTTGACATCATCGGGCTGAGAATTCATCTACTATATTTAACTTTAATTGGCTGTGTGCGCAATAATGTTTGCAAATTATATTCAAAAATGTTCGCACAAATATTTGGCTTGTTTATTGACTCGCGCTCTGTGCGCGCTAATGAAAGAGACAACAGCACGCGAAACGGCAAAGAATTCGCGAAATATATACTAATCAGAGTCGTTGGCATTCCAAGTGAAATTCCCTTAAGCGCTAAGCTGTGAATTGTTCAGGAAGTGCAAACACTGCGCTCCCTCGACTCTGGCAAAGTCAAGTTTACACAAAAGCTGTTGGCTCTTCATTGGCCATTGGGCCGCCTTATTTGGACAAACAGACGTTCGACCATAGTGACGGGTTGACTCAGCCAGACGCCCACGCGTTGAATATTTGTCTACTGATTTGGCGCTGTGTCTATTAAAGCCGGTCAACATTTGTGGCCAACAAATATTGGCTAGCAAAACAAAAATAATAATAAATAGATACAGATGCGAATTGGATAGACAGATAGATCTGCAGATGCTGCTCTAATTTGTGTTGGAGAAACGGAAATAAATATATATATATATAGTATAAATAGATTTAGATGCAGATACAAATACAGATGTAACTAGAGAATTATCTTCAGATACAGAAATGAAATACAGATACTCAAGAAGTTGCTGTTAAAGATACAGATACAGATACAGCATACAGATACATCTAGATTTAAAAAAATATAGTGAGCTATCGAATGAGATACGGAGGCAGATACAGAACTATATATATATGGACTAAGATACAGATACAATTTAAAGCAGATATAGCTAAAATTACAGACAGATACAAGATATTTCAGCATATATAGAAACGGAGTGTTTACAGTGTAAATCCAAAGATAGATTGATAATAAGGCAATATATTCATATATGCAGATATAAACAAATACTACTTCAACAGATACAGATACAGATACGGATGCAAATAATTACAGAAAGAGATTCAAATACCCACACAGACACTGATCTAGTTCCACTATTTCAACTCTAGCTCTAGCTCGATTAATTACTTTAGTTACTCTTTGCTACTATTGATTGATCACCAAATCGTCTCAATTTGTTAGTTAATTGAAGCGAATCTTTAATGGATTCTATTAATTTGGGCAGTTCGCACAGCGCTTAAGTGCGCCTATTAAAAGTCGCATTTTTTATAGACATTCTTTCGATTTTCAGGTTCAATGCTCTAACACCGTATTCCAGCAGCTAAACCAAGCCGAGCTGAGCTGAGCCGTGTTGAGCTGCCCATTTTGGCAGACAGACACTAAATGAAGTCTTATTAGCTACGGCACATCAACTCCGCACACCCGCGCACTCGTCTCTTGAGCTGCCGTCGATAATTTATCACTTAGAACCAAAACGAATGGCTTTAAATGTTTATTACTTAAACGACATTGCTAATCAAATTTAGCCTAATGCTCGATACTTAAATATTATTAACCTATTTTGGTAGTGAGCAACGAACATGAACTGATTTAAATTAAGTGAAGAACAACGTTGAGGCAAGGCCGAACTAGATGTCTATAGTACCTATAGAGAGAAACTGTTTACTATTTGACGTGATTTCATTGATCATATAATTGCCATAAATATTTATACAAAACCTATTGGAATGATATTTACATAATAGATATGTATGAGGCAATAGACGACTAGAAAATACTCTATTTAGAGATAGAGATAGAGATAGAGATAGAGATAGAGATAGAGATAGAGATAGAGA